CCAAATTCACGCCTACATCATCAAAACAAACCTCGTCACTCACGCACTCTCTGTGGCCAAACTTGTCAACGTGCTTTCTCAGAGCACTGTACCCTACGACGCCGTTTCCGTTTTTGCTCATGCGCTCTCTTGCTTCCATGACATGCGGGGAATCGAGTTCTCTGTTCCCTCCGCACTCAAAGCTTGTGGCAAGTCGTGTGCATTTGAGGAAGGGAAACAAATAATGGGTTTCAGTTTGAAAACGCATTTGTGGAACGACCCGTTTGTCACCAACTCCTTGGTTCGTATGTTTTTGGAGCTTGGTATGGTTAAACTTGCAAGGTCCGTGTTCGATAAAATGCCTACGAGGGACTTAATCTCTTGGAACTCGTTACTTTCTGGTTACTTGAAAGCTGGTCAGATTGACATGGCACGTGAGGTGTTTGAGAAGATGCCCCAAAGGGACCTGGTTTCGTGCAATGCCATGATTGATGGGTATGGGAAGCATGGGCTGTGTGAGCTTGCTGAGGAGGTTTTTATGGACATGGGTGTCAGGGATGTGGTGACTTGGACGAGTATGATTTCAGCATTTGTTCTTAATCATCAACCAAAGAAGGGGTTATGTTTGTTCAGAGAAATGTTGAGTTTAGGGGTTAGACCGGATGCCCCTGCTGTAGTTAGCGTCCTTTCAGCCATTGCTGACCTTGGTTTTGTTGAGGAGGGAAAATGGATACACACTTATATATTTTCTAATAAGATACATGACAGTTATAGTTTCATTGGATCGGCACTCATAAACATGTATGCTAAATGTGGCCAAATAGAAAATGCCTACCATGTATTTAGAAGCATTTGTCACCGGCGAAACATTGGCGATTGGAACTCTATGATCTCTGGTTTAGCCTTCCATGGACTTGCCCGTGAAGCTATTGAGCTTTTTCAGGAGATGGAAAGGGAAGAACTTAAGCCTGATGATATAACATTCTTGGGGCTTTTAAGTGCTTGCAATCATGGGGGTCTTACGGATGAGGGTCAGTTTTATTTTGAAACCATGCAAGTGAAGTGCAAGATAGTCCCTAAAATTCAGCATTACGGATGCATTGTTGACCTTCTTGGTAGAGCAGGTTGCTTAGAACAGGCACTTGAGGTTATACATGATATGCCTTTTGAGCCTGATGTTTTAATTTGGAAGGCCATACTTAGTGCCAGCATGAAGCACAATAACATGGTGTTGGGGCAAACTGCTGCATTAAGAGCCATAGAGTTGGCACCACAAGATTCAAGTTGTTATGTTCTTCTCTCAAATATCTATGCCAAAGTAGGAAGGTGGGATGATGTGAGTAAAGTTAGATCGATGATGAGGAAAAGGGGAGTAAGAAAAATTCCTGGATGTAGCTCTATTCTGGTGGATGGTAAAGTGCATCAATTCCTAGTGGGGAAGGCCATGGATGTAGGGTACAATCAAGGCGTCTTGTCTAAGTTAGAGGAGGTTGTGTGTAAGCTGAAATCAGAGGGATATGAACCTGATCTGAATGAGGTTTTTCTAGATATTGAAGAGGATGAAAAAGAGAGCCAACTAATTCTTCACAGTGAAAAAATGGCTCTTGCTTTTGGACTAGCAAGTGTACCACAGGGTGTTCCCATTCATATAGTGAAGAATATAAGAATTTGTTGTGATTGTCACACATTCATGCAACTGGTTTCAAAAATCTACAATCGTCAAATTATAGTCAGAGATCAAAACCGTTTTCATCATTTTGATAAAGGTTGTTGTTCCTGCAGAAATCATTGGTAATTTTATTATATCTAGGTACCATGATATGTATAGTTTATTATTAGTTTGGACAATTTCTAAACCTGCACACCCAATATTGTTCAATTGGAAATGTGATGTTCTAGGATTAGCAACTACGAAATCATGGCAGTACATTATTATAAATTTTTTTGTTTTAGAGGAGGTATTTTAAATTTGAAAGAATTGACGGTTAGCTAAAATTATAAGACCTTTTTGTTTTCTTCTCAGTTTGGTATTTTTTTTTTGTTATATGTTTTTCTTTTGGATTGTTAATGATTAAATATAATTAATTATCATTATTTGTTTAAATCAAGGTTTGAGTTTTGACGAAGACTATTTTACTTAATATTTTTAACTCCTCTTTTTTTTAAAATTTTTTTTACGAACCATTTACATCATTATAGATTCTTAAAAATGGATTGTGAGGTGAACCTATTTATTGAAGCTATACCAAAAAAGGACTTAGATTTTAAAATTACGATTATCAAATAGAATAAAAAAACATAAAAATAAAAAGAACCAACATTAAAATCTTCCTTTTATTAAATTAGTTTCAATTTTTATTTTTGATATATTTATTTTATAAATAACATTTAACTAATTATTTTCTTTCATTTTAATTAATATTAAATTATGAGAAACTGTTCTTTTGGATTTAATTTTATTATTTCACTATGCAATTGTTGTCTTTTATGGATGATGAGAATTCCCCTCTCTCTCTCTTTTTTTTTCCTTTTTTTTCACACTTTGGAATATTATTTGCTTTCTCTATATCAGTATACAAATTAGAGGACGTATAAATGAACTTACAAGCTAAACTATTTTGCAAAAGTCTCCCTAGTTTTGCTGATTTTTTTTAATTAAGTTCCTATAGTTTTAAAAGTTTCAATAATTAGGTTCCAATGATTTAAAAATTGTAATTAAGTCCTTAGGAACTAACATCAATAAATATCCATTAAGTAATGCTACGTTGAGGAAGAAGTTGTAAGCGAGTGTCCATTCTCACGCGTTAGATTACAATATTTCGAAATTAAAAGCATTTACAAAATATTTAATAAAATTATAGAGACATGCTGATTAATTTAATTCATTATTTACTAAACCAATTTGAACTAATAAACTTAGTTATGATCTTTTATAAATTTATTTTACTACCTTGTTTTAATAAACATATTAAATTAACTTCTTCGTATAAATCACAAGGATTATTTTGGATCTTTAATGTTAGAACCTTCTGGAAATTTAGGAATTTAGTGATAAGCGTGATGGAAGGAAAAATCACTCTTTTCAAGCGAAGACCACTCACAAAGGATGTGAAAGTCCTTTGATACAACCAAATGTTTTTGAATCACTCAAAAACTTAGGAGAATCACTCTCACTAAGATAAAAGAGATAAACTCTAATATTTCTAAAAATAAAACTCAACTTGTTATTTATAATAAAAATGATTCAGCTTATAAAAAAACTTTGTGATCATAGTTATAAAGATTCACTAAAGTCAATCAGTTATGCACCATCTTGATCTACCAATATAACTAAAACAAAACTAAAACTCATTAATTGATTAATCTAAAACACAATTAGATCAACCAATAATACTTATTGAAAAACTTCATTTATTTCTTTTACTCTAATCCTTCTCATATGTCATATTCACATCACTTCCTTAAATTTACTTCTTACAATAAACATATGAAGATGAAATATATAATTTTTTTATTTCTTATTTATAACAAAAATTCTACTTGTAATTTTTAGGTGTAGTCTTTTTAGTTTGCACAAGTTATTTATTTATTTGTTTTAAGTCTAATAGATTTTTATATTTTTCTAAATTTAATCAGTTTATTATTTTCATAAATTTCTCATGTACAAAACCCTTCAACTGGACTATATAAAGAGAAATTTTAATTATACATAATTTTTGTACAAAATTTATGCAATAAAAAACATACTTAATCATTTTTTATTCTTTTTTTTTCAATTTTTCCTAATAGTAAAACTAAATTTAATTTTATCCCATATTTTTTAAATTAACTCAATTTGTTTTTTTTATCCAAATTGACTAAAATAAATATGGTAATTAACAGTGTAATTTTTAATGTAGCTAATTACATACAATAGTTTTTCTTGAAGATACTGTCACTAATCAGATGAACCAGGTTAAATCCATTCAGATTGGAAGTACAAAATTGTTTTAATTTTCAAAAATTAAGGGACCAAATTATAATTATTTAATTAATACATTATAATTAAAAAATAATATTAATTTTGCTGATTATTAAAAAGATGTGAGAAGTGGTACAAGATGGAAAAGGTAATTTGGAGAAAAAAAAAGTTGATTTTAATTTGTACATGTGACGTCATGGTCTTTATATGAGTGAGTTTTGGAAGAACAACACAACACATGACAAGAGAGAAGAAAGAAACATCTTTTTGCTTTGGGATTCAGAATCATAAAATCAGAACAACACCCCTTCGCTTCTTCCAGGTCACACTTTTCTTTCTATTTTCCTTTTCTTTCTTCCATGCCACTTTATCTTAATCACTTTCTTTTTTCATCTTATTTCAAATCTTATTCCACCTTCTCTCAGATGAATTTCATCTTCAATTTCGTTTTTCTTTTAAAATTTTAAATAATGGGATAATAGACACCGCCGGTGCTGTTCGGTGCGGTGCGGTGCTTTCCTTTGCGGTTCTGACACTTCATGATGATATTTTTAAATGAGGCTCATTGGTTGCCACGTGGCAGTCTCGTGGCCGTGTAAATTTTATTCCTTCTACTCCTTCACGTGCTTATGTTGTGGGAAAGGAACCTTTGGGTCTGGGAGTTTGGACTCGTGTCTTTACGGAGCATTATTTTGGAAAAAATTTATTATTTAGAAAACTAAAATATAATAACTATAATTTTAATTTTCGCATTCATATTTAGTAAAATTGAGAGATATTAATCACACACAAATTGATTATATTTTTTAAATTAAAAATACATAGTTTTAATTTGACTTATATGGGGGGACCATCACTCTGCAACTGCAATGCATTGGCCACTTTTGTGCTGCTGCACATGATGCATGCAGTGATATCTGAATCAGGGAATCCCAATGTTTATACATGTTAGTAATTCTTAATTAAAATTACGACTTTTTATTTCGTAACTTTTAATAAATTTTAAAATTGTTATGAAAGCAGTGGATAATAAGTTTGATGTTGCAGTCTCTTTGGTGCAATGGTGATTCCATTAGCAGTGGCACTGGTGGTGATTCTCATTGGGTGGGTTCATAAGGCTATAAAACCCCCAGCTCCTAAAATATGTGGATCCATTGGTGGTCCTCAAGTTACTTCACCCAGAGTGAAGCTCAGTGATGGGAGGCATTTGGCCTACCGAGAATATGGTCTTCCCAAGGAGAAAGCTAGATACAAGATCATTGTCATTCATGGATATAACAGCTTCAAAGACACAACTTTACCAGTTTCTCAAGTATGTATGAACTACTTCCTCTTCTACATTGCTACACTACTGTGTTTTGTATAGTTGTAGAGCATTAGAGACGAGGATAGTGTATAAATAAATATATAGATATATATTAATATATGTTAAATTTGTTTGGTTTGGTTATATGCAGGAACTTATTGAGAATCTTGGGATATATTTCCTCCACTTTGACAGGGCAGGTTATGGTGAAAGTGATCCTCATTCATCACGTTCTGTGAAGAGTGAAGCTTATGATATTCAAGAACTGGCTGATAAATTGGAGATTGGTGATAAGTTTTACATAATCGGAATGTCAATGGGAGGTTACCCTGTATGGAGCTGCCTAAAATACATTCCACACAGGCATGTCCATTGTTTACTTGTAGCTTCATTTTGCTTTTGATGTTTTCCATTCCTACACCAGAAAATATGCAAGAGTAAAGCATGTTTGCACATATGATCTATATATGATAAGTTTGCAGAGTTTTGCAAGAGCTATCTTAAACTCTACATAAGAAATCCTTTGGCAGATTATCAGGAGCAGCTTTGGTGGCTCCATTTATAAGCTATTGGTGGCCTTCTTTTCCTGATAATCTTTTGAGAGAGGCATTTCAGATGCTACCTTGGTCAGACCAATGGACTTTTCGAGTTGCACATTACGCCCCTTGGTTGTTCCATTGGTGGATGACACAAAAATGGTTCCCTTCATTGACTTTGACAAACATGTTGTCCCCTGATGACATAGAAATCGTGAAGAGCTTGTCAGAACTCCCAAACGCTGGTCAGGTACTACCTGCATTTTTCATTTCTCACTCCATCATCTTCACATTCATATTCACAACAGAAAACAACTAGGATTGCACATCATGATTTTGAAACTGAAAATCTATACAGACACACTCACTGCATACACTCATTATGCACAGTTAATTTACTATACTATGTGTCTCAACATTCAGGAGAAGATAACTCAGCAAGGTGAATATGAATCATTACACCGAGACATAATGAATGCTTTTGGAAAGTGGGAATTTGGCCCAACGGAGATAACAAATCCGTTCCCTGAAAATAATGGTTCAGTCCACATATGGCAAGGGTTTGAAGATAAGATCATTCCCCACACACTGAACCGTTACATCTCTCACAAATTACCATGGATTCTTTATCACGAGCTTCCTCATGCAGGACATTTGTTTCTCTTCAAGAAAAATGAATGTGAGTCTATTATCAGAGCACTTGTACTCTCACCAGATATTTCGGAATAAGATGCAGTGTGTGGAGTAAACCATGAATTTATATAGACTATTAGGAAATTTTATAAGCAGACATGTTAACATTGTTTTATGAGAAATATACGCTTTTAGAAAAGAATCAAACTTTCTTATTTAATTGAACATGGCAATTGGTGTATTGTGTTTAACTTGTATTATTTTCTCTAAAAAAAAATATTAATCCAGCATTATAAATAGGAACAATCATCCTATTTTTCTTTCGATTTTTCAATATTTAATGTCTTTATTTTCTTTGAATAAAAAATAACTTTGTACACTATAAATTATTCATAACTTTTAAATAATAATTCATAATTTTTCATTTTTTTTCGTATGAATGGTAACACTTTTCTCAATAATTATGTTCTGAATTTACCTCTATTATAATTTTTGTAGAAATCCTAACATTTTCAATTTCTTCTTCTATATATATTTAAAATATAGAAGAAAAAAACTTTTAATTATTCTACAACAACATCATACATATCATGTATAAGAAAAACTTAAAAACTTCGTATTTTGTTATGTCTGAAAAACAAAAGATAGAAACTTCTAACTGATTGTGAATTGTTTTCTTTAATTATGCGGAGGGGGCTTGTCCTCAAGAGATTCTTAGAGGCCTGTTAACTTGAGTTTCAGAGGCCCAATTCTTTGTTAGATGTTGGACTTTAATACAATGTTAAATTTTGAACAGGCCCAATATGATAAGTACAAGAAAGACTTTGACTTTTCCACTAATTTCTTTATCCACCCTCCATTCATTTTGTAATATGTTCAGTATTCGATTTCTATCATGAATTAACAATAGTATTATCCAATATTGACGTTATTAGACAGAAAACAGACACAAAAGTTTTAGGATGGATAGTGAAACCCGGCAAGAAACTTGAAAGAATATTCGTAATATGTATGGGTATAAACTATCAAGTATTAATCATGGTGGACCTGAGAACAAAAGGGACCGCAAAACCATTAATGAAATGGTGATTATATACGAACGAAAACTAAATAGAAAAATGATACCCTATTTATATATGTATCCAAAATAACTATTCATTTTTTATATGTACTTACAAATATACGAGTACAAATACGTATTCAATACACGATACTTCAAAAAAGATGCTCCTATATGGAACCTTTCAAGGGATATCCTCAAGAAAATTGGCTCCAAAAAGTCAAAAACACACTGAGAGACGCACACTCGAATCTCTTCATTTTTAAGGCGGAAATATCCAAATTCGCTAACATTCCATTCATGTGCATGAAAAGTTTATCTAAAATCTCGTGGCCAAGAGCAAATGAAAAGAATAAAACATCATCTCAAGTTGTTGGCACAAATTCCCCTAGCTCAGACACAGAAATTCTGCAGATGTTTCTGTCGGGTAAGCGTCTCACTATCTTCTTCTTTTTCTTCTTCCATATCTATGTTATCATTGCGCCAGGAAAATGCTTGCTAGACCTACCCTTTATTCTTTCAATGGTTAATAGAGCAGTAATATTGTTAATTTTGTGTTTTGTGGCAATGGTTTATATAGCAGGGCACTCAACTTTCTCCTAACCATAATGATTCGTCGGATGATTTTGCTGTGGTTTCACCAAGAATCCAACTCAGAGATGGGAGGCACCTTGCCTATGTTGAGAGAGGCGTTCCCAAAGACATAGCAAAATACAAGATCATCATCGTGCACGGCTTTGGAAGCTCCAAAGACATGAATTTTCTGGCACCCCAAGTAATTAATTACCTCTATTTATCTTTGCCATGTACTGAAAACGATCTAGATTACTGAAGTTCCATAAAAGAAAATTTTAGTTGGGGGCATATCAATAGAGAAAAATTGAAAATTTGAAGGTTAAGAAAGGAGACAATTGGAATGTTTTCAAATTGCTATGGTTTGTGAGACTTTGCTGATAAAAAACTTGTACCATGATGATGATGATGATGATGATAAGTAACTAATTATGAAATTAGAATTTAGGATCTATCAAACATGTCTCAAACACAAATTGCTCCATTAGAAATTCAAGCAACAGATATGTTTCTAATTGAGAGAAGAAAAATTAACATCCTGTCTCTCTAACTATGAGTCTTGGGCTCTGAAATGTGAAGAGATGAGGGATGTTTGGTTGGTACTCAGTTCATCCTATTAAGACCCTTGTTTTTATGAACTTTTGCATCAAATTAGACCCTCTAAGATTACTAAAGTAGCTTAAATTCTATTTTAAAGAAATAAATTATATTTTTCATATTTTTAATTAAATTTTGAGAAAGATTTAGAAAAATGTTTTTGATCTTATCTTAAAAAGTAAATTCATCTTCATTATCCATGATCTCAACTATTTCTGTTGATGATTTGTTGTTTTGTCCTGTTTGTCAAGTAAGTAGTAGTGGATTATGAGTTTGAATTTTAAGCATTGTTTCGTGACATTTCACTTGAACAAACGTATAAGTAAGCAGTTGCAGTGCACAATTGAGAAATAGTCTAATTTCTAAAGAAAATATGATGACATTGAATCAAACAACAGGAACTAATAGATGAGTTGGGAATATACATTCTGCAATATGATCGAGCTGGATATGGAGGAAGTGATCCAAATCCCAAACGTTCACTGAAGAGTGAAGCACTTGACATTCAAGAGCTCGCTGATAAGCTATTTTTAGGACCACAATTTTACGTGATTGGAGTCTCAATGGGTTCATACGCCACGTGGAGTTGTCTGAAGTATTTGCCTCAGAGGTACATTACAACACTCAGATATTTTTGTCTGAAGTTTTCTGCTTTGGGTTTGTCGTGTTAAAGGACCATTTGTGCAGGCTTGCAGGATTGGCACTGATAGCCCCAGTCATCAATTACAGGTGGCCTTCGTTCCCTAAGAATCTGATAAGAGAGGATTACAGGAGGAAAGTAGTTCATTGGTCTATGTGGCTTGCAAACCACTGGCCTAGACTGTTGCATTGGTGGGTTACTCAAAAGTGGCTTCCTTCCACTGCTGTCATAGAAAAGAACCCTGCATTCTTCAACAAAAGTGATGTAGAGATTCTAAAGACAATCCCTGGATTCCCCATGTTTACCAAGGTAACGACAATTGCTTCCAATTGAAAGATATAATACATGTGCTTAGTCAATTATCTTAGTTGAATTTAACACCTTATCCACCGTAACAGTGCAATAACAAAGAATATTTTTATTTATTTTTCCTTATTTTGAAAATATTTTCTTGATTATTATTTAACCGAAAACATGTCTCTAGTGTGAAATATGTGTTTATTTGAAAATCATTATTTTCAACTATTAACATAGAAGTTTAAGCAGGCTAACCAGTACTTGAATATGGCATGTGAACTGCACGTGATTGTACATCTTTATATAGGATTTTTTCTTCTCTTTTAAATATGCTATTGTAATTTTTTTTTTAATCTGTTGCATCTTTGATATTTCTCATTGCATGAAAGTCAATGACTTTGATTATCTATTCCTCCATCTTTTGTATATGAAAAATGAAAGCAAATAATGCAATTTAATCTTACAAATATTATAAATTTCTCTATAACAATTACAAGGAGAAATATTAAACAAACATAAAGATAATGAAAATAAATTCAATCACATCTCTTATGAGATCAATAACATCAATGATTTTTACGTAAATTCTTGTATTCATGTTACTGTTTTTGTCACTAATCTCCGTGTAAGAATGATAGTACGTGATTATGTGTTTCAAATTTAAAACATAGGTCTATATACTTTGTCTTTTGTAGCTTTTCTATTGATAGTTTGAACATATTTTTGTCATTCTTGGTGTTTTATCTAAGTATAATTCTCGAGTTATATAGATTGTTTCTAAAATTGATCAATATGAGATTGAGACTCTTGTAATCATAATAGAAAATAGCTTAAAAAGATTAAAGAAAGAAAAATAAGATATCTTTGTTATGTCTCATTTGCAAGTTAGATAGGTTGAAATTATAGTAAATCACAATGTCAAGTTTATGACAAGATTTGTCAGATAACTCTATGTTATTATCATAAATTTAAACCTCACAATCTTGTCATATAAAATACTTAATCTACATATCTCAAGTGTCAAAGTATTGTTTTGGTTGAAAAAGACTCTTTTAATTTAGAATCTAGTATTTGATAATTCTAGAAACTCTTAAACACGGTACTCTGATATAGATACAATACTCTAATATAGATACAGGTACAACCAAACATGTTAGATAATAATTAGTTTTTTTTTTCTTATGTTTTTCAATTTGTAGTATAACCTACCTGTGATTCTTATGTTTTTCAATTTGTAGTATAACCTACCTGTGATTAGACAAATTCATATGAAACTTTTTTTTTCACCTACATTTTATGATGTAAAATTGATGACTTTGATTACCCTGTCCTCAACCTTCCTTCAAACAATGATATCAGTTTTTATCAAAATGAAGATTTCTTTACATGAAAAATGCAAGCAAATGGTATAACTAATCTCATAAATTAATTTCTTTATAAAAAATCAAAGGGAGAAATGTTAGACAAATACATAAAAATAAACTCTATCATAGATTCAGATGTCTCGTGAGATCAACAAGATCAAACATAAATTTTTGTATCCATATCACCAATCTCTTTACGAGAATGGTAATATGTGATCATGTGTTTCAAATTTAGAGCATCTTATAAATTTATTTTGAATCAAAGACTTGTGTGAACATAACTCTGCTTAAAACACAATTTAAAAGATATCAAAATAACAAGTTATTTGAACAATTATCTCTTATTCGTAAAAAAATTATTGATATTTTGTCTCTCTTGACTATCTTATTGATAATTGTGAACATATGCTCGTTATTCTTGATGGTTTAACGGGTGAATATAATCCTCTAATTATATCGATAATTGTTTAAATTGACTCATATTCTGTAATTGAGATTGAGATTCTTATAGTCATAATATGAAATAAGTTAAAAAGACAAAAGAAAAAAGAACAATATATTTTTCTACACTTCATGTTGCACATGTAAGTTAAATTGATAGAAATCAAAATAATAAGTTAAAAAAAAAAAAAAACAACGATTTCAGAAGTTTTAGAAGAAACTATCACAATAAGATTTATCACACAAGTCTATGTTTTTATCATATGTTTAATTCTCATCAATATAATGTCATATCAAATACTTAATCTACCTATCTAAGTGTCAAATTATTATTATGATTGAAGACAATTCTTTTGATTCATAATATAATATTTCAACATATACGACAATTCTAGAAACTCTTTATTATCCATCATGTTATCTTGATAATAGTGCAACCAACATGTCAAATAATAATTAGTTTTTTTTTTTATGTTTTTCTATTTCTAGTAGCTGCATGTGATTACATATGCCAATGATTCTGATTACCCAATCCTTAACCTTCCCTTAAATAATGACACTAGTTTTAATGAAACTCGACTATGAAGATTTCCTCACATGCAAAATGTCAACAAATGGTATAATTAATATCACAAATTGCATAAATTTCTTGATCAATAATCAAAAGGAGTAACGCCAAACAAACACAAAGATGAAACATAATTACTGACAAATGATGATCTTTACATGACTTCTTGTATCCATGTCACTAATCTTCATGTAAGAATGGTAGTATGTGATCTTGTATTTCAAATTTGGAGCATCTTCCAGATTTATTGTGAATCACAAAATTTACTCGAAAGTAACTCTGTTTAAAACACAAGTTCTATAAGTATTTATCTGCTATTTTAATTATAGTTGTAAACATATTGTTGTCATTTTTAGTGATTTATCTAGTGAATATAATCGTTATTTCTAAAACTAATTTATACATTGTAATTAAGATTAAGATTCTTCTAGCCGGTTACAAAGACAAAAAAAGAAGAACATAATTAGAAAAAAATATATAAAGAACATGATGCCTTTATAATGTAGATTTATAGACTAATCTTGCACATACAAGACAGGTTTGGTAGAAATCAAAATGATATCTTTCATGAAAAAGAAAACAAGTAAAATTTTCAAAATGTATAGTAAAATTTTACAAATAAATGATGATAATGAACATAGAAATTACAATAAATCACAATGTCAAGTTTGTGATAATATGTGTTTACCTACTCTATCTTGATATTATAAATTTAATATTTATTTATCAAGATAATGTTATATCAAATGCTCAATTTACATATATAATTGTCAATTGTCAATATAAACGAAGTTGTTCTTGTATAGTTTTCATCAAAAGATAATATATTAGATATATAAATATTGTAAATTAAATGTCATTTCAAATGAAAATAGGTCATCTAGATGACTTGGTCGATGGAGATATTCTCTTATCTATTAGTCATTTAAGTTCAAGTTTAGATTGAAAAAGTTATATCTAATTCTATATTATATTATATTTATATAATGTGATTTATCTTTATTTATTAGATATCACTCAATTTATAATACCTACATTGTAATATATTGTAACTTGATTATTCGTAGAAATTTATTCGTAAAAACTTTCGTATTTTTAGTTATACCCTTGCCAAACAAATTTTCTATAAAAAATTTTCTTTTCTTTTTTTCTTGGCATTACCTAGTACATCAAATATAAAAAATATAGGATCTCATACTACCTCAAATGAAATACATTCATAATGTCCTCAAGAAAATATGGTGATTATCAAGTCATGAAAATATCTATGGTGGCTAACCTAATAATGGTTCATATTTTGGACAACCTTGTGGGAAACTTTTAGTATTTGAATGTTACAAGACCATTAATTTCATTAGTTGTTAATAAAGTTTGTCAGTGCAAGCAAGCAATCTACTAAGGAAAGTGGTTGGTAGGTATAGTAAAAAGTATATCAAGATATCTATGTGGGATCTCTGCATCTGACATAAAGTTTACAAAGTCCAATCATTTGACATTGTCAACCTTATATTATGCATATTGGAGAGCCACTGTGGATGGTAGAAAATCAATCACACAATTCTGCGTCTTCTTAGTTCAAATTGTAGCATAGTCATAAAAAATAAAAATATTATAAACATATCAACAATTAAAACAGAATACAAAAATATTATTGTAGTCTCTATAACATATACTTAGTTAAACTTACTTTTAACTGAGGGAAATATCAATACAATTATTTGTAAATAAAAAATTATCTATAAGTTTGACTAAATATCTAGTCACTCATGACATATATTGAGACAAAGTTTCTTTTTTTTAAGGTTTCAAATGAATAAAGAAAAAATATATTTGGTGAATTGTAGGATGAACTTCAAGTTATTTATCAAGGTGTAACGATGAATCATTGATCCAATCAGAACCGAATTCTAAAATAACCTAGAATTTTAAGTTTGATATTATATTAACCTAATATATTATTTTGATCTGTTTTAAAAAATAACTAAATAAAAATTGAAACATTATATATCTAAAATATATATTATTTTAAAATTTATTTTAATTTTAGATATAGTGATTTAATGTAAACTATAACATATTATAAATATTTTTCATTTATCTAATTTATTTTTCTGTATTTTTTTAGATGATTTATTGGGCAAGTATTGAGATATAATTTAAATGGGTGGCAACTAATTTCATCATGGATAGTTAGGTCTTCTGAGTTGACTATCAATCCTAAGAACTGAGAGCATTTAGTTTATGAGTATCCACTTGATGATATATTATTCTTGTGCGAATAACAAACAAAAATAAATTATATTAATTCAGAAATATTTAGAGTGTTCTACCTTCTTCCAACATTAAGCATACTGTGATGATGATGACAGATGTTGTTACTTGCAGGACAGTTTGAGGGAACATGTTGTTTTTGACACTCTTCGCCATGACTGGAGGGTGGCTTTTGGAAAATGGGAATTTGACCCGATGAAGCTGAGTAATCCATTTCCTCATGATCCAAGTTCGTTTCACATTTGGCATGGTTTTGAAGATAAGGTTGTGCCCTCTGAACTCCAGAGATTTGTTTCAGAGAAGCTTCCATGGATACATTACCATGAAGTTCCAGATGGAGGCCATTTAATTCTATACTATGGGGGCTTGTGTGAGGCCATTTTGAGGGCACTTTTACTTGGACAAGAACATCTTGCATATAAACCTAAAGCACCATTATTTGAATCTTAGTTTCCCATCTTTCAAAATCTAATGTCCATGTTTGTTTATCATTAGCATTCTTTAAGCAAACTGTTAATTGTGTAAATTACATTTGTTTGCTATGAAAAGGAAATTGATATATTCTGAATGAATGTTACATGCATGTCTTCTTAACTACTATGACACATGATTTTTTTTTATTTTTTTATTAACTTATATTGTAAATAGAGAAAACACAAGTTATATATATAAAATCATGACTGACTAATAACATCGTATAATTATGATATTTATAATATTTAACTTTTGTAATTAAAATTAATAAAATATTAAAATTATATATCTAAATAGTTAAAATTACATTTTAATATTTAAATATAGATTGATTTTCTCGTGACTCAATATATTACTCACTATAAAACATATTTTGTCGTGAACTTCAAAAAACCCTTAGAATATATACAACAATGAAATAGACAATATGACGGTGATTGAAAGTTGGAAAATAATCATAGTTCATTTTTAAACTTTTATTAATAATAGATTGATCCATTTTAAACAAATAATATTTAGTTGGGTCAAATAATCTTAGGTGTCTCATGCTTATATGAAAAAAAAAGATATTTAAAATTAATTTATTTTTTTCTTGGTGCCTTTTCTTCTTTTCAAAATTTTACCATCATTTATTTGGTAATATTATTTTAATTATTTTCAGATGATTATAAAAATGTAATGTAAATAAAAAAAAATGAGACAAAATTAAGTATATAATTTTTCATTTTAAAGTATCATGTCATTCATAACATATCGTATCAGCAAAATCTACCCCAAGTTTACATAAAGCTCACAAATAAACTTAATAAATACATGAAAAAAAAATTAGACCCAAATAATTCAATAAAAATGACAATTAAAGTGACAATTCATCCTTCTAAAATTGAAAAAAAAATCTTATTAATTATATAACACTCGTTAAATTTTATGGAATGAAAAAAAGAAGAAGCTGAAAGTGATATAATATTATTAGTATGTGACCCTTTAAAAGAATTTGAAACCTCTAAAATATATTAGAATATTAGAAACCAATATAATAATTTAAAATTATAAAGTGAAAAAGTAAAAAAAGAAAAGAAATTGAAATTAAAATTAATAATTTAATATTTTGGGAAGATGATTTTTTTTATAAAATTAAAATCAAGTCTTACTTATCTATAAAGTTTAAACTTCAACCAAATTGTATGAAAAGGGCAAATTTTGGTTCCATAACCTTTCCCCCGATTTTTAATTTAGACTTTTTTCTACTCGACAAATTGAAAACGTGAAACTACATTAAATAAATGACTCCCTTTTTAAAAGATACTTTTTCATGATAATTTATTTTTTATTAAAATATATTCTTAAAATAAGTTATTTCATTAAATAATACTATTATCTTTATGCACCGAACAAGAAACAGGACAAACATTGAAGAGGTAGATGCTTTGAAATGAGAAAAGAAAAATGAAAAATAAAAACTTGTGGTATGGTGAAAACGGTTGATGGCACAGAACGTGTCAATTAAAAAAATAAAAATAAAAATACAAAAAATGCCAGAAACTGAGTGAAACAAATGTTGTTTTAAAATGATACCAATGGCAGTTAAAGCCTTTGTCCCTTTGCAGTGTACAATTCCTTCCCTTCTCTTTAAATCTCCCTTTCTTTCACTTCGCTGTTGCTCATTCTATATTTCTCTCTGATATTTCTCATTCCATACATATCTCTCTCTATTTCAGAATTTAGACTCTCCCTTGTGTTTGTGTTAAGGTACCCTATGCTTTAATTTTGTTTTGCCCTTCCAAGTTCATCATATGATTTTGCTTCAATTCTTGCCCTTAATCTGGTTCTATCATTTGAATCGTATTCAGATGCATGATTGCATGTTGCATGCAACTGGTATAGTCCCAGTAGAGCATCCATGGCATCATCTGAATTATCTGATAAATGATGAGAGTTTTTCTTTTTTATCTTTTGGGGGATCTTGGGGTTACTGAAAAATTCGTACAGATTTGCCAAATCCTTGTTACTTATTGTTGCATTTCAATTTTTTAAGGGCTTTAAATCAGAGAATCCATCGGAAACAGGCAATAATTAATGCATTTAAAGTTTTCAGTCTTTTTTCTTTCAATAATGGTGATTTCTGAGACAAAAGCTTTTTCTTGTAGCCCGTTCACCTGCAGACATGAATTTCCAACAATCAGAGCAAGAGGTGCTACTGGAAGAAACAGAAGCCACATTTTCTCAACTGAGCCAACAATCATTACTCTCACTCACCATTGATGAGTTCTATGGCAAGAACGGAAGGAGCTTAGGGTCCATGAGCATGGATGAGTTCATAGCCAGCATTTGGAACACAGATGGCATCCAAGTTAACCCACCACCAGTAGCCACCTATGATGAAGCTGCAAGGAACAAAAGCGTTGCACCAGAACCCATCATTCTCCCGCCAGCTCCATTCTCTGTCCCTTCCCCAATTTGCAAGAAAACTGTGGATGAAGTTTGGTCTGAGATCCACAAAAGCCAACCAATATACAATGAAGGTAATAGCCTTGGCAGGAATGAAACACTCCAAAAGCAACCCACACTTGGAGAGATGACTTTGGAGGAATTCCTAGTGAAAGCTGGGGTTGTCCGAGAATCATCATCACTATTCAATACTTTACCACCACCTCAGAACCCTTTTGGTAATATTGCAACTAATGTACCATTGGGTGCAAGTTATATACTAATAGGGACTACCGGATCTAGTGTGTCTGGCGGTGGATTTCAACCACATCAAATGTTGCCACAGAATAACACCTTAGTTGTAAAAGATCTCACTACAACTGGTGGTGGTGTTGTTGCTGCTGTTGGTGGTGGTGCTGTTGCTGCTGTTGGTGGTGCTGGAGCTGGTGCTGGTGGTATTTCTGCTCTTGGTGGTGCTGGTGTTAGTGGCGCAGGTGCTATTGCTGCTCTTGGTGGTGCTGGTGTTAGTGGCGCTGGTGGTATTGCTGCTCTTGGTGGTGCTGGTGTTAGTGGCGCTGGTGGTATTGCTGCTCTTGGTGGTGCTGGTGCTGCGGATAATTCTCAAAACTCAGGAGAATCCAGTGGGAAGGGTAAGAAAAGGATAATTGATGGTCCTCCGGAAGTGGTAATAGAGAGAAGGCAACGCAGAATGCTGAAGAATCGAGAATCAGCAGCACGTTCTCGAGCAAGAAGACAGGTTTTATGTTCATCATAAACTACTCTTTGTTATACACAAATTTTTGTTCATATTCCATCTAATCAAATTTTGTTCATTTTTACCATGCGAAATTCCTTGGGATGGTCTAAGCTAGCATTCAAGTTCCTTTCCCTCATCTAAATTTTTTCTAATGCAGGCATATACTGTAGAGCTTGAAGCAGAGCTGAGTGTGCTGAAAGATGAGAACGAAAAGCTAAAAAAAGTTCTGGTAGACAATATTAAAATTGATGGTTCCTATTATTTTCTTTTCTTTTTTCTTAATTTCTTATGTCTTTTGGTGTTTAACATATTTTATATCCATTTAAACATGCAATAGGCTGAAGATGAACGCAAGAGAAAGGAAGAGGTAAGTGATTATGTTTCAAATATAAATTGGTGTTTTATATTCAAGTTAATGGTCTTGAAAACTTTTACACTAACCATCATTCTAAAATCATATTATTAGTATGGTTTTTAAGATAATTATTCTAAATTAAAAAAAATGCAGTTTCTGATAACCTTATCATTGAATAACAGTTCTATTTTCTCAATATATTGAAGGTTTACTGAATTATAATCTCTGCATAATTATCATATATTGATGCAGATATCTCAGAGGAAGCCCACAACAATGGCTCAAAAGAGGACAGAGAAAAAGAGGGCATTGAAGAGGCCTCTGAGCGCATCCTGGTGAAGAAGGATTAGCATGTAAGCGTCAACGGCAAGGATTAAAAGATTATCATGCATATGTGTGAAAAAAGAAATAAGGTGTATGTATAATCTATATGAAGCACCTGAGCCGTCAGAAAAAATAAATAGGGGATATGAATATTGTTATTAGTAGTACTATTTTTATATTCTGCTGCATAATAGTTTGATATTTCAAAGGTTGTAAAAATTGAGTATCTCACCCTCTCAATTTTTACTTTCCTGGTTTGTAATAAAAACAGTTATATGAATATTTTGAGTGTGGTTTATTTTACTTGAATTCTATGAGTATTTGATATTTTTGCAAATTAAATGTGAAAGATTGTGTTATTTTATTCATTTTACTATGATGATAATAGAGCTTATATATAAAAGACCAAATTGAAATTTTCTATCTTTCTGTCTCGTCTTCTCTGTGGTGACAGATAATTATCTTAATATTGATATGTCTGTTGTGAATTGATATGTCTATTGTGAATTTTTGAATTTGTCATTGTTCAGAAATTGGATCTAATATGACACAATGAATTTATCATTCTTTAAAAACGTGAATTTTTAAATTTATATTTGTTCAAACTTGTTGATTTTTGAATTTGTCTTTCTTCAAAAGTTAAATATGACTTGAAATAAATAAAAAAAATTGTTTTTTCTATTCAATTTTGAATTGTGTAGACATTGTTTTATTCTTTTATTTGAGAGGGTTGTGTTTTGTTTATACAAGTTTGATAAATATTATGCTAGAAGATTTCATTCTCATTGGGAAAAATAGTAAGAAAATTATCTTTATTAATAACATGTGTAATAAGAATCTAAATTTGACATTATTTAGAAGTTGAAAGTTAATATTAAATTTTTCACTATTTAAAAGTTAGATGACTTCATTAAATTTATCATTATTCAGAAGTTAGATATCACATAATATAATTGGAATAACATATTGAGTATTAATTTTTAGTTTTATGAGTCATAGATAAGTATCATTTAAAAGATTAAATCCTTATTAGAAAAAATAAATGACAGAATTATTTTAATAATGAAATGTGATAAGCAAATTTCAACACTAAATTTGTCACTGTTTAGAAGTTGGATATGACTTAATACTAAATTTGTCACTATTTAAAAATTGGATAAAACGTTAGCTTCAAAATTTTAAATTTATCATTATCGAAAAATTAGATGTAACACAAAATTAAAATTTCAACTATTCAGATGTTGAATATTACATAATATTAAATTTTTAAAATTGGTCGAATTCATTTTTGACCAGCTATCAATGAGTAAAATACAATAATTTCAGGTTGGTCTTTGACAAAGATAAATTTTAAGTTTTAGGAAGAGTTTTTTAAAAATTCTATATAACGTAATATTATATTTATCATTACTCAAAAATAATGTGATATAAATTTAAATTTATTATTGTTTAAAAGTTGAATGTGACATGACACAAGAAAATTTTGTTTCTCAATTTAATTTTAACTTATACACCCATTTTTTCGTTATTTTATAATAATAACATAAGTATTATGTAGAAGATTAAATCTTTATTAAAAAAACAATAATAAGACAAATATCTTAACAATCAAATGTGTTATGTAAATTTTTAAATTTTTCTTATTTAAAAGTTGAATGTGCTCTATAATTAAATTTTTCTTCTTGTTCAAAAGTTAGATTGATATAATATTAAATTGGTAATAGAATATAACATGAGATAAGATGATTTTTTTTTATTATTTTAAATTGTATTAATATTTTTTTATTTCTTTTATTAGAATATTGAAGTTTATTATATATCAAGTTTTTGAATTCATTATTATTCAAATATTGGATGTAATTATTAGATAAATTAGACTTTTTTTTTAATTTTGTAATGATTGTTTTTTATTATTAAGAATTATATTTAATATTATGTTTTATTTTATCAAGTGAAATCATAAAAAAATTCAATATTCATCAAAATGATAAAAAATTACTTATTAATACAAACGAAATATTTAGCAAGCTTTTTAAACTTGTAATTCTTCACAAATTAAATATACATTAATTCTGCTTATTTATTTTGATGAGTCAGATAATAAGTGTTTATATGAAGTTTTATTTTAATTTAGTACGTGCAAGTAAGAGCAAATAATTATATAATATTATTTTATTAACTAATTTTACTTAATTTGTTATACTTTTTTTTATATAATTAATGTGATTTTTAATAATAAATAATTTTTTCTATATATAATAGTAAAATATTTATCATTTCATTTTAATCTTTCTACTAAAAATTTGAACATTATTCACATGTACTTTTCATTTATGATTTAAATATTCTAAAAAATCTTTACAATTCTACTATTTTTTTCCTAGAATTATATATATTCAAATAAAGATAAGTAATTATGCAAGAGGATTCGTATATGTTAAAAAATATAAAAATTCTTACAATTTTTTTTTACATAATATAATTGGATTTTAAAAGTTTTATGAACATTTTTATAGTAAATGGTGATTAAAAAACACTATAGTTACTGTCACAAGGTCATTACAACACATAATTTAGTATGTGGTACTCCAACATTTTTTTCATTCAAATAAAAATTTTAATGAGTAAATAAAAAAATTGTTAGTATTTTTTATATTGCTAATGTGTTATATTCATAATTTTATATTTAATAAATTTCCAGAAATGATATATGAACACTAATAAATATCAATCAAAACTCAAATTATAAAAATGTAAAACTAAAATTTGTTATATCATAATAAATAATTAAAATAAATTTTAGTTTAACCTTATATAGGAATAAGAGACAATATAATAGAAAGTGTGATAAAATAAATAAATAAATGAAAAAAATTATTTAAAAAAATTATAAGTTTTTTTTTCATTCTTTGATAAGTATTTGATATGTTGGTATATTTGTTAATTTATTTTAAAAAATTAAAACCATAAAAGTTTAAAGAATTTTTATAACTAGGATAATATATATATATATATATATATATATATATATATGAATTAAAATTTGATATTAATTTATAAAAAGTGTTAATGACTCAAAGTAAATTGAATAAATTAAAATAAAATCGTTGATAATGGATATAAAAATATTACATCATTAAAATAAAAAATAAAATCAGATTATTATTGTCCATTCATGTAAATAAATAAATAAAATTATCAACCAATATTTTGTTCAGTGATTAATTAATTAATTTATAATGAAATTTTAATTTTAACAACATTTTAATAAGTGAAAATTTGACTGAATGTTTTTATTTTATACATTATAATAAATTTAAAGTGATTTATTAACAAAACAGAAGAAGAAAATATAATTATTTTTTTTAAAGCTATTTTGCATGAGGCGTGCATGGCGCTTACGTTAACCGTCTTTTGTTTCTACTCGCCTGTGCATGTGCGCCGAGTCACACGTAAATATTAACATGCATGCACGTATGAATTTGGATTATTCTTGTTCATTTTTTTCTCTATATCTTTTATCTAATTTATAGTTTTATTTGTTTAATTTTTTTCTACTTGTATATCTATTAGATAAATATAGCAATAAAAAAATTGTTTTATGAGAGAATATAGAAAAGAAAAACAAAGATTAAATCATAATTTTACCTACATGTCATTATGAAATAACTTATTTTTTTCTATGTAATTATGAAATACATTTTAATTTTAATTATTTAGGATGAATTTAATTGTCTCAATATTTCCTGCAACCACTTTTTTTTCAGTACATTTCATTCAAATGGTTGATTAAATCAAAATATAATTTATGGATTAGGAGTAGGATTAGTTTATAATGTAAATTCAACTATTTATATTAAATTTTAAATATTAATTTTATTAAATCTAATGATTCACATAAATTTATGGACAAAGTTATAATTAAAAAAAATCAACAAGTAATTTGAATCATCATATTTCATGAAAATAATTTAAAAACAAATATTTTTATTTCTAATAAATTTAAATTATATATAACAAGTAATTCTTTTTACAATGCATAATATAAAACAATAATCAATAAATATTTAACATTCCTTATTTAATGTTCATCTAAAGAAAAATATCTAAAAATGTATTATATTTGTTATGCATAAAAGAATATGAATCTATATATATAAAAGAGAGATTTTTTAACACATAAAATATTTACATTTTGGTGTTTAAGTATACATAAAAAACAGAGCAAATGTTCATGTTCTGTGTCTATGTAGCTCTTGGCTGAGTTTTCAAGCTCCAACAAGGTGCTCTAGAATTACAAGTTGGTTGTGGAAGGTTACTGCTGGTTGCTCTACTTCTTATCTTATCCTCTAAAATGGTGTTCTTTGCTCGAAAACTGGCTGGACAAGAGAGAAAAGAGAAAGTTGGCTGGGAAAAAAAAATGTTGATTCCACTTGCTCTGTTTTCTTCAATGTGATATTTGATCTTTCTCTAGATTTGACTAAGCTAGAATAGTAAAGTTTTGTTTTACCAACCTTGCATATCTCTTGTCTTTGCTCTCTTAAATACTTCTTCATCAAATCCTAAAAAAATAATTAAAAAATGTTAGATATGACAATTAAAAAATATAATCAATTTCTCATCCACTATAATTATAAAAACTAAGTAAATTATATTAAAAAATATTTTAAGAAAAAGAAAAGCATAATATTAGGTTGAGGACAAAAAGAGAGAAATAACAAAATCATATATAATATATTAAGGCTAAAGAAGAATTGTGGTTGAATAAAGTGCATATTTTGTCTTTTTTGAGAGTTTGATACAATAGGCTAATTGTGTACCCTGTTGTTCCCTACTTTGTAGAAGTGCTTTTGTTCTACCAAACAACTCCTTTAAATAATTGGGTAGAAGAATAAGGGATTTTCAGTCACATACAAAATTGAATAATTATTAAACTAGTAATTAACCTTTTGAATCCTTTCCAAAAAGTAAAAATAATGTGTACTTTTATTGAAAATATCTAATCTCATTGCTCATCCACCATCTCCAACATCACCGTTTCAATTTTTATTTTTAAAAAGGGATACTTTTTTTTCAACTTTATTTTAATATAAAAATTCTGTATAATTGAAAATAACAATTTTTTGAAGGTTCCAGGTCTTACATTAATGACACAATAAATAAACAAGTTATACTAGAGTTAAATTATTTGAAAACTTATTTCCATCATACACAAAAATACATATTTATCTAATATTTTAATTTTTAACTTTAATTTTAATTACTAAATTATCAAGTAAACGATTAATCAAATTTTTAAACTAAAAACTTAAATGAAACTATTTATAATTATAGACTAAAATTGCGATAGAAAATAAGAGAGTATTAATTTTGTAATATAATTATTCAGTTTAAAAGAGTGTTTACGTAGATAGTGTAGGCTAGTTGAGAAAAGTATAAGAAAAAGAATGTTTATATTAAATTTAAAAAATGACATTGAAATTAATAAAAAAGTTAGATTTGACAAGAATATTGTAATAATAATATTGAATTGAAAAGTAATGTTTTTTTATTGTTAAAAATTACATTTATGTTGTGTGGATATGCTTGTGCGGCAGAAATAGTCCTTATTCAGAAGTAGACGTTAGCATGCATTCAGTGTTCTCCCTTTAATCATTTTCACGCACACAGTCTCATCTGCAGTTTAATATATGCATAAATGAATTTGACTCATAGTGGAGATACCCAAAATCCTTTTTCACATATTTTGATACATATATATGACCTCGGAAAACAGAATATTAACTGAAAAATAATCAATAATTGATCTCAAGTTAGAGTAGAAAAATTAAGTTACATTAGAAACAAACATCTAACACATATTACTAAATTAAAATTATAAAAACAATACATATTTAAGTATTATATATTTATATTATTAATAATTTATATAACTTTTAATATATATATATATATATATATATAATTATAAAAATAAAAGAAAATGACAGTCTAAAATTATTAACGTTTTAATTAACTACCTTAAAAGTCATTGTACCGGTGCTTTTTCTATTTGTTAATATTCCAATGAAACAGTTTCGTAGATAATTAAGCTTACTAGAAAAAAAATGTTAGATGATAGTTTATAGTTAAATAAATAATAATAATATAAAATCAATATTCATCATGAATATTTAGTTTTTTCATTTTCTTTAAATTTTCTGTATGTGCTGTCATTCTATTGTGATAAATCTGACATCTAAATTTTGAGAGCGAAGAAAAGAGAAAGAGAAAGAAAGAAAATAGAAGAAAAGCCAAGGAAACCATGAGTACACCTGTTTTTTTAAGAAATGAATATATCTGCTGCCTGATAGTGTGGTGGAACCCGTTGTAGTGTCAGTTACATGCAATTCTCTCCATCACACTCAGAAATCAATGCACCGATGCTTTTGCAGTTTTCATAAAATCCAAATCTCTCTCTATATTCTCTCCCTATTAAACGCAAGCAAAGAAACAAAAACATTCATTTTCAACTCTTCCTCCCTCCTCTTTTTTCCCTTTATTGCATAGATAAACTAAACTTAAATTGCAACCACTTTATACCAATGAAACCCTTCCCCCATTTGAAACCACTTAATGAACTTGAACAACCCTCCCTTTTTAGATACCAAATTGTGCAATGAACCACCACCACAGGACAATATCTTCTTTACTCATACCCCTTTTTCCTTTTCATTTCTCTCCTCACCGTATATAGAATACTCCACTAGCAACCACAACCACTACCACCATAAATGTAACACAACAACCTCTTCTTTCTTTCTCTCTATTTCCCCATTAATTAGTCTCCACTTTATATGTTTTTGTAGATCATTAATCAAGATGTGAGGTATTTTTTTTTTTATATTACAAAAGTTAGAGAAAGAAAAGTAACTACCTAACTAGGGATGGAGTTAATATAATGGATACTTTATCTACATCATACTCACATATGCCAACATGCACCTTCTCATAAACTGCATTTTTTTTTCTATTTCTCTTTAGCTAATTAAAGTAAGAGCTTTCTCATCTTGCATGCACATAAAAACTAATTTTTACATTTACAATCATAAAGACGTAAGGGAGCATAAAAGATTGAAAAGAAAAATAAATAAATATTTTTCTTCTGAAGACACTGACATTCATCATCCGAAAGCAGCCTAACGAAATCCACCTATATGTAGCAACCTTCTTAATTTCTGGCTAAAGGGTTTTAATTACATCTCTCAGAAATTTGAGAAATGATTCTGGGAATGTTGGACTACTTGCATTTCCGTTGTTGTTTGGCACGAGTTATCATCGCCTATCAAGGTCCTGTTTCCAAAAGAAAATTGTTACGTAGCATGTATAAAAGTTATATGTATACACTTAAAATAAAATAAAATGGAAGCAATCAATTATTCCAATTAATTTTTTTACCAGTGATAGTGTAAAAACATTAATGAAAAACGGAAATGGTAAACTAGAACAAGTTTTTGCTCAACAGAAATTAATTAGAAAGTTCTGTGATTCATTGTTTTATCTTTAAGACTTTGAAATTTTATCTTGAAGAAAAATGTAAAAAAAAAAACTGATAAACTTACTCTCGTGGTCTTGATGCCCAAAGAGAACTAAGGGCTCGAAGACGTCCATAGTATTCTCCAATGACAATGAAGCATCGCGCTGCTTGACGAACTGTGAGTAATCGACATAACTGATGAAGAGTTTGTTGCCTCAAATTATCAGCCTTCAATTCATAAATAAACATGAACCATTCAGGGAGTTAATAAATCATCAATAACCCAATCTCAAATCAAGAAATTAAATATACGATCGATTTTCTTTTTTTAATTTTTATATGATGACATTTTAGTTTTACTCGTCCAATTACAACACCACTAAGTTTCTCAACAACAAAAGTAGTGGAGTTAATCTTGCTTAAACATTATTAACATGGTCTCCGATACGAGAGTTTAATACTTTATTAAGAATGTAAAATAGAGTGGTATATTCTATAAAAGCCGTTAAATAAATATTAAAATATTATTAAATTAATTATCAAAAAAATTCTGGGAACATAAATTCTCCAATCGCATGGAGCATGTTGGCTAGAGCGTCAAAGGGGTCGAATTTGGTGAATTTGGCTAATCAATAACTTAGTTGACAATTACTAATCGTTGAATAAAGTAAGATAATTTATTTTCTTCTTTAACCCTGCAATTTAATAAATTAGAAATCACTACGAAATTGTCTTTAAAATGGTAATGATGATAATAATTCTATATATCGAGAGTTTTTTATTCAACTTGGCCGTCGCTTTCTAGAACCAACTTCTGACTGAGACAATTAAAATGGAAAAATTACATCAAAATCCTAAACGCAATATTTTGATGAACAAGAACGTTATAACTCACAAGTATACGAAAGTAATTCATATCTATAGTTATCATCTATCTCATGTGGAAGGAAACAATATACTTAGAGAGACGTCACAACAGAGAAGATAAGATAATTTAAGTTTAACTAGCTAGTCATCTGAATATATATATAATTAAGCAAAAAAATTATATAAAACGAAAGTAACAAATTTAAAAATAAATCGAGTTGCTGGCAGAATGTGAGGCCCAAAATACGCAAAGGAAATATATGGACTAGAAAGAAAGTATCATCATTTCAACTATTACTAACAAATCATATATTAATTTCTATCATTTATGTAGAAACAGTTAAAAACATAATTAAGTGCCATAACTATCCCATAAAATTTTTTCCAAAAGTCAAAAGAAGGTAAAAGAAGCCATTGCCGTAGTCTAATTAACATAGTTTCCATTATCAACTAGTAGTTTATAAGCTAATTAGCATCTAAACCCCAAAAAATTAAAATTGACAAGTCACACATTCAAATCAAATTTTGACAAAAGCACACGAAATCATTAGTTAAGCAGAAATTGCACCTCACGCATATATATATATCGGGCCACCATGAGGCTTTATGTCAACCTCCCCACCAAATTTTGTACTTAAAAAAAAAAGAATTTAATTCACCCAAGAAGAAAAAAAGAAAATTTGACCAACCAAATCTGTTAAAGAAAAATACTTGTGATTCATTTTATGAAACATTCTTTTATTGTATTCTATATTACTGTGTATGCAAATTAGAATTTGTTTTACCTGACGAACAAATCCTTCAAGGTTGGCTAACTTGCTCATGGCAACGACCATTTGTTGCACACCATCAACAACTGGGCCTCCCGCAATGGTGTCCACCAGAGACTGCTGCAACTGTTCAAGGCCCTGAGAGAGTGCTTCTTCTGCTTGCTGTGAGGAATGTCTCAGGCCATACATCCCCATAATCTGTTGCTCAGCTAGTGGCTCCAACTGTTGAATCAGCATCTGTCCAAAACAACAACAATAGTAATAATAATAATAATACAATAGTACTATCCTATATTTCAGGTCTTGAATACATTACAATGATTAAGAAATTAAAAATTATAACATTTGATGAGTTTTGTTAATGCTAATTAGTATAACTCGTAATTATTGGCTGCAAATTTCCCTACGACATTGGAACAGTTATTCCCTGCCACAACCACTGACATGGGACAAATTACTAATAACAGCAAAGCAATGCTGTTACCAAGAAAGTTGTTGATCTCATTCTCCAAAATCTGATCCCCAATTTCCGAAACCAAAAGAAAACGACTCACCTTTGATGAGACTTGAGTTGCCAAATAAATTAACATGTTACTTGTCTATACCATTAACTATCTTTACTACATTAAGCAATATATGGATTCCACAACCTTTGCGCTCTTTGTCATTACTACTATGAATATTGTTCTTTTTGTTAATGTGTAATTTTTTTTTTCTTGATGTAATGGATGTATTGTGAACACACCGTGATGAGATCAGAGGGTCTAAAACCACCAATCCAGAGGAAGCATCGTTCAGCTTGGGAAGTCCACATGCCATTGATGAGGTGGAACACGTCTGATTTTGCGGCCACACCCTTGAGCCTGAAAATGTCATCATAGTGAGAGAGATATCCATCCACCATCACTCTCATATCAGTATCTGATAAGGGTACTTGCAACCCGTTCCGGAGCTCCCCCATTAGCCTGTGGTCTTCTTCTAACCATCTTCCATATTCCATGTCAAACATTGCGGCTCCTGCTACATAACAAAATCAATAATTGCTTATTGATTATATTAGTATACATATTAAACTACAATATAATATGTGGTGCCGGTTCAAATCTGAATATTGCTTTCTTGTATTGTTTTTATATTTTATACATTTGTTACTTGTGACTAATGAATGGTACTATATTTTTAACTAGTAAAATGTTGGTTGATTTGGTGGCCAGTGCAATGTGGCCACTAATGAAACAGACCTGGCACAATTTTAATTCCTTGCAGGGCTAAATTGATTAATCATAATATTTCGTTAGAAAGTGTGTTTCTATTTATGATGATTAAAATTATTTTTTTATTCGTTATCAGCTTTTTACTCTAAAACCTTATTATTTTACCACAAGTCCAAAAGAGCAGTATCAGAACGGAATAATTCTCTTCTCTGAAAAGCCGAAGCATATAAAGTGGCTTGTATAGTTTATTCAATATGTTATGAAAAGGTCGTACATCTAGACATAAATATGTTAGCATTATCTAATTCAGATATAGGCCTTTTGATTTTACTATTCAAACAGGAATTATCTAGCCACAAATTTTGGTCAAATGCAGAGATTTCATTAAATTTGGGACGGGGCTATCTAAAACTTGAACTTTGAAATTAATTTGGTATTGCAAAGATGTGTTCTAATTAAAAATTATGGCAATAGCACCTTTTATCTGTCAGTTTGAGGAATTAGAAATTGGCATCAACAAGATAAACTCACCAGAGCTTACATTGCTTCCAACACCACCGCAATCCACGAACAAGCCCTACGAATTAACAACTCAAACAATAATCATTAAAAGTAAGAGAATAAAGTAAAATATAAATAAAATGTAATACATTACTAGAGAACCTGAGAGCGTGCTCTTTGGAGTTCTTGTTCTATCTGGGTAAGCTTTAATCTACTTGATTCTAGTTGCTGCACATAAGCCTGTTCCATACACAGAAGGAAAATGCAGTAACTTTTATAGCTCTTCTGGAGTTTCCACTTTCTGCGACATTATATCTGTTCATTTCTCAACAACTGATTGAGTTTGTACACAATTTGCAGGACTCACCTTTTTCCTGAGACGGCTTTTCCTTGCAGCCTCTCTGTTTTGAGCTAAACGTCTTAGAGTCTGAGGACAACAAAAAATCTTACCTTAGTTTTTTGGTAAAACCGCTTATAAAAAATACAAAAGAGAGAGAGAAAAAAGGACTTTGGAAAAATTTTCAAATAACCTTTGCATCAAGTGTTTTCTCTGATGTAGAACCAGCTCCCTTTCTCTGCACGAGAAAGGATCCAAAAACATTATTTAAAAGACATTGATGATTTCAGAAGGAAAAGAAATGAAGTGACATGCACAGAAATGTTAATTTGCTCTACGAAGTGTAGAACTTAGGACTAAAAACAATAAAACTGTGATCATATCAGTTGACAAATAAACGAGGGAAAAGAAGAAAACTATTAAACATTACTCAACCTCATACCATCTATCAGAGTTTTAGCAAAAACAAAAGTGCTAAATTTTTAATCCAAAACAAAACATGATATATTAGCGTGCTCACTCTGGGAAGCATTTCTGAATCCTGAGGCCCCTTGGGCCATTTCTCTAGAGTCATGCAATCATCAATATGATATGGGTAGCAAAATGCATCGTTACCATTCATTGTTTCGGTGTATACAGTGGTTTAGATTTCGAACTCCAAATTTGACTCTCGAGAAGAACACAAGTTTTCTCTATATTGGGCCAAGTGAGGGGGTCACTTTAATGAGAAACGTTGATAAGTACTGAAAAGATTCTCAATTTGTTTTTTGTTCGTACTTTGTCCACATCCCTCTCAGTATATCTCTATCATATTTCATGTCAGACATTCATCAGAAAATCGTTCAGGAATCAGGAAAACTCTGTGTTCTTTTGATTTTCTGAAAGCTGTTGGGATCTGTGCCTACTTTGTGAAGATACAAGAGAGAGAGGAAGAGGAGTGACAGATCAAAACAGTAAAAATAGCATTTAAAAGGCCAACTTTCCCCGAGTTTTGGGGATATGGAAAGAGAGAACTGAGAGATTAACAGTGAAAAACAGTGGTTTAATGACCTTTCTTGATGTCTAGACCCTCATGAGAGACCAACTGGAGTTTAGTCTCCTGGAAAGACTGCTTTATAACATGGTGAATTAAGATTCAGATAAAAGTGCTCATACTTAGTAAATGATGGTATTTTCAGTAAGACTGTTTTCAAAAAATTATTTTGTGAGATATAAAAGAAAAAGAGACCCTGAATGCGAGAGACCTTTTCTTGTGGTGATTTGGCTGCTGATTGATTCTGTGAAGAGGCTGTTCTTGGGGCATCACTTGCCATATCCTGTTGAAGTTGCTGTCTATGCTGCAGATGCTGCTGATCAAAAGCCTGGTGATCTGAAGTAGATGCCTTTTTACTTATGGGAGATTCTGCCTCAAAGGGGGGCTCAGTTTTGCTGGAAAGACCTGAATCAGTGCTTTCCCCTCCTGACTTTGAACCACCCTGTATGTGGAATTTTTTTTTTTATTCTGATAATTCAACTAAAAAATAAAAATCACCTCAAAATATTTGCTGCAAGAGTCGGTTTAGAAGAAATAATATCAAATTATAGGGATGAGAGTTTGGAGAATATCATTTTCATACAAAAGGAATATAAAATATTGAGATTTCTTGAACTTAAAAGCATAACCAATTAAGCATGTTTAAATAAATGGTCAAAGATGGACAAGTAGGAGACTAGTACTCTTGGGGTTTGCTGGAATCTCATTGGCCATGAAGGGAACATTTCCAGTGTAGCTGCAGGTCTGGCCGTGAATAAAGCTGCAAGAATCACAAAGCAAAATCTCAAGAGGATCACCAAACCGAAGGGGTTGAAGATTACCAAAATAAAGACTGGAGGACTTTCAATTATAACAACAAAAAAAGGCAGAGGAACCTAATCCAACTTTTCAGCAGTTATGGAGTCAGTAAAATCATGCAAAGGAGGTCAGTTTCTAAGATTGTAACCCCACGCCATCCAAGTCTATTGTCTCAGAATCATTATTGTATCGGAAATGGTAACCCCCCACTGCGCATTCTTTAGACATATTCAAACCTCTTATCCTTCACCCCCACCACCTCTTTTTTCTCTATGCTTTAGGAAAGAGTTGGTTATGCTTATCTAACGTCAGAAAAAGCACAAGTGATGAAAACGGAAACATACATGCTTTGCCATCATCATTTCTACCCTTAACTCCATGCAGAACAATTGCTTCCTCCAGCTCCCCAAAATCAAAAGCAGATCCTTGATTGCTAAGAAACAAAACAAAACAGAACAAAAGTTTAAAATTGAACAAACCAATCATATTTATAAAATGAATTGAACAATGAATCACCATAAATATATTCGTTCTTAAGAATTTAGCTACGCTAAAAGATAAAGGATGATTAATTGAAGAATACATTAAGCTTGATACGGGAGTGTTAATTCCATGAAGCACTCCATACGGGATGTGGTGACTTGAAGGTCCTGACTCAGACAAACCAATTTCTCCTATTCTGTGGCTGGCCATGCAAACTTTTTTTAGACCATTATCATCTCTTCCCCTGAAGCCGAAACATTGTAACAATTCAAATTGAATTTACACGAAAAAAAAGGTGGTGTGGCGTTTCTCTAGCATGAATTACTATAGCTGAAGAATTTTGAAAAGTGGTATATATATGGTGTCATGTGTGTGTTTAGTGTTCACCTTACCTCTCTGTGTGCTTGGGATAAATACGAGTCTAAATTGAGAAGGTCATAGAGCACCGAAAGATCAAGGCTTTCTTGTCAAAGTAATATCTAATCTATGTTGTAAGTTGACACAAGAGGGTCCAGTCTTTTTCTCAGATATGATCCTCCCTTTGCAACTTTTTATCTTTCATGGGGTGTCTCTTTCTCTTTCTTTTCTCCTTCTCAATGAAGAAACCTGATTGATTAGTCTGTTTGGCTTGCTTTATGGATGTCCTTGGATGAAAACATTTCAGATTGAGAAACTCATTCTGTGGTACCCAAGATGTTGTCCCAGCAAACTTGTCTCATGCTCTCTTTGGAGTTTGGACTTGTGGGGCTTCAAAGGTGTCTCAAATAAAAATTTAAAAGAAAATTTGAATAAGACCAAAAAAAATTAATAAATTCGAACAGATGGGGTCTGCTGCAGGAACCCACTAGAATCACTGACTCCTACTCCACTCTCTCTCTCCTCTAACCGCCTGTGTTTTCTAATTGGTTCAATTCTGTGGTGAATGTACTTAAAACAAATAAGGACTCATGTATTTTCATCTCATATGTGAGCACACAATATGTTCAGCGAACTCCTGTATTAGACCAAGTTGAACACAATAAATTCATTGAATCCATGCAGGAAATCAAGTTTTCTTTCCATTGAAATTTGGCTAAATAAAGGGGCCAAAATTAAAAGTTAAAGGTGAATTTTCACTTTCTTTTTTACCGTTGGAGTGACTTATTTTACTCATACAAATAAAAGAAACAAAAAAAAAAACTATGCTCATACCAATTCAACCAAAACATTAGAATAATAGTCCACAAGTTTAACCACTTTGTGTATTTAATACAAGCTCTTTGATGGATTTGTTTGGTGTTATTCCCTTTGTTAATGGGTCAACATCCATTCCCTGTCATCACCTAAACCATGCCACGTTAAGATTCCTTTCTATTTATAGTTATAGAAATCTGTTTCCAGAGCAAAATTGTGCAAAAGGTAATCTCAAATTACTAGCAACGTGATTTCATTATAATTTGTTGTTTAGTACAATATTAAACCCATCACTTCAACGTAATTTGTATTTGACTATCCTTCCTAACTCTCAGACCTTGTATGGTAAGTTTAACTGTTAATCTTTCAAAATTCTAACTACCCTAGACAGAGGGGTTACGACATAGACTGCTGATGTAAAATAAAATGTACATAGCGGCAAAAGAAGATTATTTCCACAAATTCTAATTCTATATAGTATAAAGTTTGAGACCAACATTATTGGACACATAAATATGTAATATATCGAGGGAGATAAACAAAGGACAGACAGCATGAAAGAGAGATGAAAGAGACTTTTAGGTAATGGACCCATGATCCATAATATATCATAAAAGAGGTAAGAGCAATATTTTTAAATTGTGCTCATCTAACACCTTTTGCAGATAATATGCTTCCTACCAATTATTCTTTTATGATGCCAAATTGCCAATCATTGGTCTTAAAAAAAAAAGTGGTTTGGCTCAAAATATAAACATTCTCATGGTTAGGTCAATATGTATTTTAACCATACAAACCTTTGCTCCCAATCTGTCACTACCTTGAGATTTAAGACCATAGATCATTCCACGATTCTGTCATTACCTTGAGCCGTAATTTTTTGAGCTTCCCTGTCTATAAAGGTGATTGGTCTGGATCAAATCATAAAAATTAAGTATTCTTCTGATGATTATGTTTCTACTACTATGTTGAGTCATGGTTTGTGGACTAAGCAAGTTCTAACTGAAAGTTACTTTTGGTATTACAATGTTTATGTTATTTTTGGGATTACCGCTGGACCATTTTTGCACTTGGTCTAAATTTGCATCGATACCAACTTTGAGCATATGTACAATTGTTTTTTATTCTTTATAGGTGAATGGCCATTGACAAATCAAACTTCTATAAGAGTTGACATGGGACTAATAATCCACCATATATGCTAAGAAAAATCAAAGGTCTCAATGATTAGCAATGGACCCATAGGGCAAGAATAGAAACTTGTATTGAGTATGACTTATTAATGGTATCTGCAAAATTCACTCACTTAAACCTCATATATTCTTCGGTCGTACGAACAAGGAAATTCATAAATCATAAAGATAGTGTTACTGTTGCAATTTTAGTTTATTATTCCAATTAGCTATTTAGTTTGCTGATGAGTTAGATGATAGCAGTTGATTTTTCCGTATAGGGAAGCAACCTCATCTTTTGGCTTTGGATTCCTAGAGCACTCATTTGAAATCAACTAAATTGTAAGTGAACTGAAGGATAAGACATAAAGCATTAAAGAAAGGTGCAAATAAAGCAATAAATAATGACCATAGTGAGCTTTAAAGAAAGACTTGTATTTAAATTGAATAATAGGTGGTTCTTCATCCTATAATTTCTATATGCTAAGGTAAGTCTGAAAATTACTGTTAAACCCTTCAAGCTTATTTTTTATATACTCGATCCATTAATCCTGTTTTACAATATTTAAGATAAAGACCATAAGGTTGCTAATCTTTCCATTAGCTATGGACAAAATTTATTTGCTTAACTAATTACTATCTTCTTATCTTAACATGTCAAACAGTTTTCAATTTAAAGGAAAGTCTCGGAGCACATCCCTTAACCCGGTTAAGTAAAAAAATGTTTGATTTCAGTTTCATGACTTTAAACTGAATGTATCCCTTTAGAACAACAGTCATCCTTATCTCTAAGATGTAAGAAACTAATCTTTTGACTTGGTTTATCTCTTACATTAAAGAGAAACGATACGTGAAACCTTGTATATTATACACTTCATCATCGATGTTTTTATTTTTTTATTAAATTATATTATCTTTTATTTCTATGTTTTTATCACATTTATCTACTTCACCCTTTAAGTGTTTCATATTTTTCCCAATGCAAATAATGTCTTATTAGTCAATCCAATATGTTGAACCAAAGGCCTATTACTTTTTTCTTTTTCTAGTCTCGAAATATTTATTTCATTTCGTTTTCCAAATTGTTGTCTATTAATAAGCTCTTCTGATTAATGATTCTATCAACTAAACTAATTCTTCAAATCAGACTCATGCATATTTTGACTGTCATTTTTGTGTGCCAGATGATTGTTAACTATCCACTTTTTACACAAAAATTTACAACTGTTGACAAAATTATAGGTAAAAATGAAAGATATAAATAAAAGATAAAGGATAATTAGAACAAGAAAAACTACAACGATCTAAGGTAATATGCATCTATTGTGTGTATACCATTTCTATTTAACAAAGTCCAAGGAATATCACTAACCAATGTTTCTTCAGTCACTTTATCCATGATGCATTAACAGTATATATTTTTACTAACCAGTAGACAAGTTGTACCTATTAGTGACGCTTGAATAAATTATATATCATCAATTTCTTAATTTTTTAACCAAGTGTCAAAATTTAGACAGATGACTAAGTCTTGTAGATGTTTATTGAACTTTGAACATGATACAAATGAGAGTTTATCATGTTTCTCTACATTCATCACCGCCAAGTAGTTTATCAAAGTTATCATCAATTCAACTAAATTGACAAGATCAGTATCTAAGCATGCTCTCAAGCTGTCATGGTAGTTGTTACAATACACTGAAATGATCTCTTTCATAACATCATAATTAATCCTTTTTTTTCATAGAAATAAAGAACCCTCTCGTCATCCAATGCAAATCATGTCCAGATAGTTGTTACATACATTGTCCAAATACAAGTAAAGACTCTCAAAATCCAGATGGCAATGTACAATTAAAAAAAAAAAACACCATACGCAAATTAGGCAATGAATTCGTTTTTTATCCTTTTAAAACATTGCCATTTTTTCTTTTAAAAATGATAGTTAAAGCAGAGAAGATGATTTGTTATTTTTACTTTTAAAAATAGAGAAGATCTTATAATTATAGTTGATGTAGTTCTCTGCTTAGATATAAAATTAACACATTCTATTTTCACACGCTTTTTATCTAAATAACATTGTATTAACATGCCCACATAGTAGAAATTGATACAAAAATCAAATTTGATGGAAAAAATAAATGAAAAATACCCAAGATCAATGAAATAAATATCGCATTGATTATTGAAATTATAAACCTACGAAAAATTCATATACATCGTTCATTTTGAATATCAAGTAGATCTTGACAAGAAAGTAAGATGTCTAACATCTGAAGTCCAACAAACCATTTAAATACTTTTACATTTATAACATTTTACATGAAAAACTTATGATCATTTTAACACTTAATATTTCAGTTACAATAATCAAACATCAAATAGTTACCACCTACATACATCAACAACAAAATTTGAACAAAAACTAATCAGTCTATAAAAAGGCTATTAAACCCATATTTCGTGAGTTCAAAAGATTGGGCCATGAAACAGAGCCCATACATTCATTACCTTTACTTAACTAAACTACGCGAGCAACCCTCTTTTTTAATTTCATGCATGATCTTTTGGCAAGTGTCCACAGTTTCAGATTATATCACTTTCTTATTATACAGTTTAAACTATTACGAAAATCATGAAATCTGTAACTGTAGAAAGAGCTTGATCCTATTTTTAATTGTACGAAATGTCACAAATATTATTGGATTTAGTAGGCATCTTCAATGGTCTAATAATTTTTTTATTAAGGTGTTTCATAGCATGAAATGATGAAATATATAAATTATAGATGCTACTAATCATTTGATTTTTTTTTTTAAATTAGTCGGGGTCTATTATTTACGTTAGGCTTACCGGATCAAGATGCAGTTGATTGCCCTAAACTTGAACGCCAATTATGACGCTAATTCCTAAACATCAAGAACTTCCTAAATGCTTTCCTAATTAGAGTCAGGTTGACGATGATTCCAAATGGATACAAAACGAAATTTAACTGCTCGCCGTGAAGTATGAATAAGGATAACATGATTTCTGAAGTCAAAACCACATCGCAAGAAATTTTTAGCTTACGATTACCAAACGAAGCTTCATAGTACTCTCGCCCTTCCGCACTCGTTTGCATACCCTACCTACACACTATCAGATGCCATATCAAAATGAAAAGCCAACCAATCAATAAACAGCAAAATTGCAACCTAATAAATCAGAGCTCGGCTTCCTACATAATAGATTCAAACAAAGAACAAAAAAATAGTTTAATAATATTTCGTTAGGTAAAATAAAGCGTCTCTATATCAAAAGCAAGCATAAACAAACAAAAGAAATGCACAAAACATGAAAAATAGAAAATAAAACAGGACAAATTAAAGAAAAGCAAACAACGGAAAAGAAAAAAGTAAGGAAAATGAGTTTGGCGAGCCCGCGTGACCATCACAGCCCCAAAGCCATGCCAAGCAGAGCAGAGAGAGGGGCTCTGACCGCGGGCAGTCCTCATTGCAGGGTTCCAACGGCGAAATGCATTCAACCTATCGTGGAGGCGGGTCAGGGAGCAGAGCCGCCAAGAATGGAGCTCCGCCGTCACCTTCGCCACCGCGAGTAAAAGGATCGGAAATGCATATGCCGTGGCTTCCTCTGCTCAGATAAGATCAAGTAGTGTTGAAGTTCTGTTTAGGGTTTGTGCTCTGCTTAAATAGTACCCAACCATCTTTCTTCTATTACCAAAATACCCCCTCGCTGTAAAATCAAACCCACCCCGCGTTTTTTTATTCAAGATTGTTAAAAAAAATACAAAAAACATGGGCACTATTGCATTTATTTTTTTATCAATATTTAAATTCAGTTTAGATAATTTGCCGTTAATATTAACTCTAAAAAAGTGCAGGTTATAAAAATGAGACTTCAATATTAATGTAAAAATAATGCCACACTCATACGATGTATAACATTTAAGTTTGTCCTTAAAAATTACAAAACTATGTAAAATTAGAAGAAAAACAATTTGTTATTGTATGTAAATAATTAAAAATAATAACTTTTACAATAATTTGATATAATAAATTTTTCTCTTAAACTTAAAACATAGAGTAGATAATTGCAGAAAAAATATATAGATGATATTACATTCTTCATGTAAGACGAATAAAATACCCAAATCCAACCAGTTCAGTTAACCCTAATGGTTTGTTTTGAATTGACTTGTATGAACACTGCCGTGTTTGAATAATTATTTTCACAAAGACTTCCAAGATTAAGAAATTTATAAAATATATCTTTTAAATTGATATTAGTTCATGCATAGATTAAAATATAAAATTTTAATAAATTTATGTAAAAAAAAATTATAAATTAATTTATACATAAACTATTTACTTTATAAAGAGTGCTCCAAATACACCCGTTGACCACAAATTAATATGCAAGACAACCACAATTTAATTATACATTGTACAAATAACAAGATGAGACATTAACTTGAATTAATTTAGATTAAATGAGCTTCCGAAATGCAAATAATGGAAATGAATTCAAAATATACACAAAATAAAATTCTAATTTAAAAAATGTAAAAAACATATATATATATATATATATATATATATATATATATATATTCATATGAGCTGAAATTACATAATGAAACACTTACCATGTGTGGTAGGGTGAAAAGAAATCAAAGAAATAGGGGGAAAGTAGAAAATAAATTTAATTTTAGAAATCAACTTACACCTCTATTTTTCTTTCACTGTCACTCCAATTAGACAAAATAAAATACATCACTTTCTGTGCCTTTTCTCCTATCTGTAATCCTTCCTCCCATCCAAACATACCAAACTCAAGAGCAGTATTTACACGAGTCAAAAACAAAACTCTCCTCGGCACACTCACTATGATGAATGCATGGTCACAGAAAGATAGCAATTATCTAATTTTCTTGACTTTTAAATGTGTTTATCCTTTGACGGCGGCGGTGCGGTAGGAGATGAGTATGCCGCATGATAAGAGGAGGAAACAAGTTGTGCAGCAGCAGGAACAGCCCCACCTGCAGTTATGCCAATGAAATTTTTATCAGCGTGAAAAAAATGTCATCCCTGTTATGCTATAAACAAAGATTTCCAAAACTTTAATTGTCAGATGATAGCATGATAAACACACTTCAATTAACACAATCACAATAAGTTCACAGTTTCAATCAAGAATCTAGACAATTCAAATTGCTCGGCCTTAAACCGAAAACAGGAGACAAATGGAGTATACGCATGCCAGCAAAAAACAACACATTCAGAACTCACCTGCGAGTCCCGCACATGCTGAAGAGAATACTATCACAGGGGGTGCCTGAATTACAGAGAAGGTTATGTCAATATGATGGTAAAAATGTTTTGACTGGATTAAGAAGGAACATAGTGTTCAAATGTACAAACAATTTATGAGTGAAAAACTCTAAGATGCTTCAACATCTATGAAACTTAACTCCTTCCAAATGATACTGCAATGGCACAAATTACATAATCACACAAAAAATGGATCCACTGAATTTACAGGTAATAGAAAAACAAAGTTTTTTTACCTGGAAATCAACCAATGATTTGTGCATCAAAACAAGACTGATACAAAATGGAAAACAACGATGATGCAAGATCGTGCAGACAAACAACATTGCAGTTTTAGAAAATTTAACTAAAATTTCCTCAGAGGAAAAAAAGTTCAAATTGCATGAAGAAAAGTAACTTTTAGAATGGCTGCTTCAAGAACATAACAAAAATCAAATCCTCCCCAATTCTTCCCAACTATATTATTTCCCTTTTTGTTTACATAAAATTAACTATCTATCTAGTCCAAAATTTAGTCATCAAAGAATTCTGTATGTAGAAAACACCACTGGAATTAACTAATAATTAGTGAATACTCCTATTTTAAGTTCTATTTATAATTTATGATTCTTTGGCAGATTACAAAATTATACAAGTCATCTCACTTCTATTTAAAATGACTTAGATCGGTGGAGGAAGTGAAGGAGTCCAGGTCACAAGGGCTGTACCTTCACCACTGTATGTAAGTTTCAGGTTATAGTATCAGTTAACTGTCTCGCGATGTCATAGATATACAATAATTATTTCAATAGCTGCTAGCAAGAATTAATTTGGGGCAAATTGTTTTCATTTGAAAATTTAAGAATTTACATAATATTGCCGACAACAACAACTGCGTCACTTTTCATTGGGAGACTATGAGAAAGAAGTTCAGTCTCTTACTTAAGAATATTTCCATGATTTCTTATTAAAGAATAAAGGAAATCTCCAAGTTCATAACAGGTGACAATTTTTAAGAGCATAATATGATGTGCTGAAGTGATACTCGGAGTTAACTAGTCAAAAGTTCATAACTGGTAACATTTCTAAAAACATAATATGATGTGCTGAAGTTATACTCACTGTTAACTAGTCTAAGATTTACGTCTCCAAAGCATTGAATATGTGGAAAACCATGAACTATTGTTACAAAAAGTAAAAAACTAGCAAAAGAATAATGAACAAAAACTAAAAACAACAGAAATAAGAATCACTGTCAAACTTACACCAATGAGAAAATGCAGCCACATGGGTCCTTTTATTCTTCTCTGAACAATCGGCATAACTGCATAAGAAGACAAAAAAATTGCTTCCGAAATCTGAATATGTTAAATACATAAAAACAATGAACTAAGAAAATAAGCATAAGTAAATATTTATAGAGTTTCATGCTAAATAAAAAACAATAGTTTAGTTTCTAAATATAAAATAGGCTTAATTAATCATTGGTCGTTATATTTGTGCCAACTTTTCCTTTTTAGTCCCTATATCTAAAAATTCTATGTTTCGTTACCTACTTGGGCAATTTTTTTCCTACATTTTGTAGTCTTTGTATCTCCATTTTCAGACAGTTTTATACTGTCAGAAAACTAATAAGGGTTAAAAAAAATGCCTGTATAGAGACTAAAATATAGAGTTTTTAGGTATAGGAACTAAAATAGTTAGTGTAAATATAGGGACATTAATTAAACCTATGAAAAATTAAATCCTTCAGTTTGGAAGGTGAATAGTTACCACGTTTAAAGTTTGCAAACCACTCAAACTTCAGCTGGGTTCAAAAAAACCAGTTAAATGGATATTTACCATACCACTTTTCAATGTCCAAAAAGTAAAAGGAATTGTGGTGTTAAATTTCAGTTACGTTAAACCTAACTTCAATACAAACACATACTTAATCTTTTCATCAGGATTAAAATCACTTGTCTCCATCTATACATGCATAGTGTTCCTATTTCCAAATAACAGTCTGCAACTGATCACATGAATAACCCCGTTCAATTTTAGAGAATCTTCGCAAGCTATTTAAAAAAAAAAAAAATCAAACAGCAAGGAGCAAGAGTATATACCAAGATTGAATCCATAAAATGCACTTGCCGTGCCGCCAACAGCAGAACCAATCTGAAATATTCAAACCCCACAATCAAAGATCAGAAATTTCGCACACCCATATACAAATCGAAGAAAAAAAAAACGAGTGGGTGGGAAGAATGTACCATAGAGAAGCTATCCCTGATGAGAGGCGAAACGGTCCATTGACTAGTTTCCTGAAGAAAAGGAATGAAATTGATATGGGAGAAAGAGAGAGAAGAACAATTATTGAGATGAAATATACCATGCGGTTTGAAAGGGGTCCTGCGCAGTGATGGCATCGAATGTTTTGAGAACTGTTACTGAGTCTGGAAGCTTCCATGTTATTGTCACTGTGCTGAATACAGCGTAACCTAACCAGAACAGAACCCTCTCTCCTATGGTCTTGGTTATCGTATCAAACTTACCATACAAATCAAATAATATAGAGAATAGACAGAAAGAGAGATTTACAGGGAGGGGGAAAATAAAGACAGAAAATATGACAGATATTTATACAAGTGAGTAGGAAAAATTTGATACAAATATTTTGATTTTATTATTTGTAATAAAAATAAATAATAATAAAAACAAACTATTCATTTATGAGTGTATTTTGTTTCGATATAAGGGAAACGTTTTATTTTTGAATTAGTTTTTGTTATATTTTATGCATTATGTGCGTTTCAAGGTTTATTTTTTATTTTCTAAAAAAAGTAAAACACAAGATGAACCAGAATTATTTTGTAACATTTGATAAATCATGCATCCAATATTTAAAATGTAAAAAATAATAAAAATTAATATAGAATTTAAATATTATATTATTTATAACTTATATAAAAAAATCCATCTTAAATTGTAATAAATTTAAATTAAATTAAATTTTATATTCTAATGGAATATATAATTTAAAAAAAATAAAAAATGAAAATATATTTATTTACCAATATTTGATTAACTCAACTAAAAAAGTAACAACATCAAACCACTGAGATTTAGGGAACTCCTTGAGGATATCAGGAGTAGCATAATAAAATATAAATAATAATTTCAAAACTTAACGATACCATACACAAAGCTTATATCTCTTTCAAAAATTAATTTTTTTTTTTTACATTATACACTAATTTATTTACTGACTTATAGATGGTTCCTCCATTCTATTAGAGACAAATTGAAACAATTCAGAAATTTCGAGTCAACCTTTGTAATTTAGGTAAAAATACAAAATATAACTACTAAATATTATTTTTCTCTCTTTATTTCTCCTTCGTGCATATATAAAATCATAAGTATATATATACATATTCATTAATATTACAATCATTTTAGCAAATATTCCAAGTTTAATACATTAACTTTAACAACTTGTAATCAAAAGTCAATTAACTTCTCATAAACTTTGATCAATTCTGTCAATCCAAATCTTCCCTTTTGTCATTTTCTTTGTACAAAATAAAGAATAAAATCTAGTCAATAATCGCATTATAGTTCTTTGTCTTTTAAAGTATCAAATCAAACCAACCTTTAAAACCGAAGCACATTTTGCGATAAACTTGATTCTTCTAATTTCTTCAAATATCGACAATTGTCACTATTTTAAAAATCAATTAAAAGAGGTTTTATTGTTGAAAACTGCATATTTTAAATATAAATTGATATTTTGAAATGTTTTTGAGATATTACTTTAACTCACTTAATAACTCCTTTAAAAAAATTCGTGTCACCTTTTTTTAATATTTAGGGAAAGATATAGTTTGTATAACAAGCATTATATATGTAAAATTGTTCCCTTAGTTTGTATAAGAAAGTTACTCCATGGTTTAGGTATTATCTCCAACAAATTAAGTATTTGAAAATAAATTTTCTGAACTCACCGTGTGTTTATGTATTGAATATCAATTTTTAAATGTTTACTATTTTATATATACTTTGACTTAAATTTTAAATTATTCACATATTATTATTATTATTATTTTTTTTTTTTTAGTAAAATTAAGTTTGAATTGTTTAGAAATATCAAAGCGGGTCAATTCACCCTTATTTTAAGTTGTTCCGCCTTTAATTCATTAAAAAAAAGGCATAAGTTGGTCCGTCATAAATTTAGATTTTAAATTTAATTTAATTGTCCAAAAAGTTTTTTTTTAGAGTATCTTATCATTTTTTTTAAAATATTAAAATAAAATAATATAAATTATTTATCATAAATATAAAATGATAGTTATATATTCTAAATATTATGTAATATTATTTTAATTATAAATTGTAACTATAAAAAAATTGTAAATACTAAATTATTAATAAGAAAAATGGGAACATTAGTCCTTTTTTTCATAGAATCCTTTTTCATAGAATAAACAAAATCCTATTTTGATAAATTGGGGAAATCACTCCTAACCGAGGTTGTGTTTGCAGTGCCTTGAATATAAATCTATATTTCATAATCAAATTTAAATAGACGTTGATTTGGCTAAACTAATTTGAGATTCCCCGTCATGATCAAGCTCGTGAAGGGATAAAAGAATAGAATCTTCACTTATGCTGAAAAATGATTACATCATCGTATTATGTTAAGAATAATCTATGACTAACTACGCTTTATTCAGAAAGCATGCATATCAAACATTTTAACATTTTTTTAAGCAAAATATTCTGTTATCAAATAACTTTTTTCCCCTTTCATGTGGAGAATAAATATTTACTTTCTTCTAATTGAATGAAAAAGAAATAGTAAAAGAAATTCACTAAAAATATCCACCAAACGTTTAATTCAACTATTTTTTTATATATTATTTTCATTTTCATATATAGTACATTTATAATAAAATTAAAATGAGTAAGAAAATATATTAGGATTAACTATCCCATCATAATTTTGACTGGACTCTAAATTAATAGGTCGCTCTATGTTTTTTTTTTTATATAAAAAATATTTCATATGTTTTTATATTATTTTTAAAAAATAACTTGATTATATGAATATTACATAAGTTTTTTAATTGTTAATTAATATTAAGAGAATTATTATATTTATATATTAAATTATTAATTATAAATAATAATTTAAGTTGAGATATTATTATACATTTTTACCCATTAAAAAATTATAATATAACAAATAATTTCGTAAATTTTAATTTATATATATATATATATATATATATATATATATATATATTAAACTTATCTTAACTCTTCCAACTGATAAATTAGGTGGTACAGTAAAAGTAAATTCAGAAATTAAAAATAACAATCCAAACTGGCACATCAACAAGCTGAAATTAACCCACTTTGCCATCTTAGCTTCATCTAATTTTCTTTATGCAGAGTGTAGGCAATCTAAAAGTGTCAAAGCATCAATTTGTTGTTTAATTCAGCCATGAATTAGTCTGGGGCTGACAATGGTTGTTATTCTTTAACATATCCTTTAATGTAGAATCATATTCAGTCTCACAAGTATCATCTTCCCAACAGGACATTTAAGCTCTATTAATTTTGTTGTCATGTCAAATCTAATATAGCCATAGATAGCTATTTATAGGATATCAAAAACTAAGTATCATCTAATTATAAAGCTGATGATCTGAATTGAAGACCAGGACAATCCCATCAGAAAAAATAAAGTTAAAAAAAAAAAAAGTGGAAAAGGTACTGGAATTATCCAAGTGGGGAACACCAATCAATTAGCAGGGGAACAGTCCAAATGTCAACCAACAAGGTCACTTCTTGGAAGTAAAGTGGAAGGTAACCGCAAATCTTATTAAAACATCTAAACATAGCAATTCCCATAATTGATATCAACACTAAGGTGTTGATGGAGGTCTCAATGATGCTGAAAAGCATCTGATTACAATTAGTAAAAAGATAGGTGGGGAAGTGAGAATCCATTTTTTGTGGCTTCTGGAGAAGAAGAATAACATAATTCTTTACTTGAGAATATAATATATGGGCTTTAATCTAAGTTAAGATTCTCATATTCTCATTCCAAAGAATCTTTGAACTTTCCTTTTCCCTTTATTTTTTTTCCTCTCTCCCTTTTCCCCGCGAGGAATAGCATTCCGTGGTCATTTCTCGCTTTTCATTTCAACCAATGCCATCATCATGTTTGCTGAACAAAACCACAGCCAGTAACCCTCTCAACAAATGGTTTTGTTTTGCTCATGATTGACCATTTAGTCCACAACTTGATTCTCATTAGACCTGTGCTTCTCAGCTTCTGGCACTCAAAAGTGAATCTCTCATTCATACGTTAATGTAACATGTAAATACGCAATGGAAATTAATATAAACCAAGAATAAAAATTTATGTCCCATGTCACATGTGGGGCATCTCCATATATAAAGCCAATGGGTTACTACTTGAAAGAGATAAGTACTCCTCTGTTCTGTACAAGCACATACTCTTTAAAGATGCGAAAGACTTGAAAGTAGCAAGGACAGTTTGGCAGCATCAAGTAAAGATGATATCAATATTGAAAAAAAAAAAACGGTTCCAAACAATAATGAGCATGATATCAAAGCTGCAAAAACAAAGTTACATCATAAATGGATTTGGTTTTGAAGGCTTTACTGTTTTCTGTGATTATCCATTCACAAACTCAAACAGAATCAAAACATGATTTTAGATAAAAAGAAATGACATGAAAGTTGTAGCAGCAGATTTTTGTATGTATGGTTAACTCTGATTGCATAAAAAAAAAAAAAACAGTAATCATAGAAGATCTTATAGCATGGTCAACAATGATATAAAATTAATCAGGCTATGCAGAACTAAGACTTCTACGAATTGGTAGACAAAAGCAACACTAAAAAAGGGTAAACTTAAAGGTTAGTTTCCTTTATTCTCTTCCAACCTCGTTTTGATTTTTTTTACGCTTATGTTCTTTTCCATTGTCACCTGAGAATATTAAACACCTACGGTATTTTTGCGATGGGATACATTCTATACTAAGAAAAAGTAGACCTCTTGAGTTACCTGAAGAATTGATAATTATGAGTGTGTTCTTGTTAATTTTTGATGAATTTTGAAAGTCTTGTAGTGGTGCTCAAGAACAACTTCAAATAAATGCTCTTGCCAAGTGGTTATATGAAGTCCATCTAAGGAGCAAATTCGATATCGAAGACGGATAAAGTACCAAATCAATCCTCTTGCCCATATTATTCCAATCCACATGCAAGAAAACTACTTAGGAACTCAGCTTTAACTTGTCCAAAGTCTCTCGGGATTCTCCTGGCCGCATTAAATATTCTCAAAAATCAGAATCAAGAACAAGAACAAGGAGAAGTGATATCAAGATACTGTTCAAGGAATCTTTGCAGTTTGGCCTATTTATTTTCATGGTTTCTATTAGTTGTCCATAAAATGTTCATCTTACTGGCCTCTTTAGCACCTGATAAATGGATATCATCAAATCAGATACTGTTTGCAAATGACCCTCTACTCTCACAGTTGTTTTGAATTTTATATATGACTTCTATATATATATATATATATATATATTATACTCTAATTTACTCTGTATTAGCTGTTAATCATTGAATTGTTATTCGTAGAGTTTTAATCAGAGAGTACTACACCACTTACCCTTACGGCACAGTGTGCAGCACTAAAATTACTTCTTTCTTTCCATTTGAATAATGGAGATTAGCATGCACTTGACACATGCATTGCCTATGGAAAGCGTGGCTTTAATTAAAACTGAATCGGATTCTAATACATTTTGTAATTATTTTCATAGTGGTTTAACATGGTATATGCCATTTAGTGAAAGGAAAGTTCCCCATGGATAAGAACAAGTGTATACAGGAAAAAAATTAAAAGTGCATGTGGTAACATAAGGAATGACAAATGTACCTATTCTTACACAAGAATCAGCTACATTAACCATGGTACAAGTCAAGGGCAAGGGAAGTGGTCCTATGCAGTAGTACTGTGTTTAACCAAATGCAAGTATAAAAGCAAGTACAATTCTTCTATCTTTCCCTTTTTATTAGGTCCCGCCTACTTAGGATTCCAGAGGATGGGGCCAGAGGTTTTGTGCTAAAGAAAGAATGAAAAGTTCAGGGTCCATCTTCCTTATATTTTAAACGGTGCAGGCTGAATAAGTACCAGACTTATTGAAGGAGACAAAACCGAACGTATTCTTATTCTATTCCTTACCTCCAAACAGTTCCACGAGAAGCATCTTCCACAATTATTTTAAACCTTCCTTTGCATGGCATGGTGCTCTAGTCAATGGAATCCTTCAACTATAGTTCTTCATATATAAACCAGTTAAGGCCTTCCTTCATGTCTTTGTCTGAAAACTTTACCAAATATAACATTACCCAACCTCATATATCATGCTACTAAAGAACTATGTATGCACATTAAGAAAGGACTTGTAAAATGGCACCAAGGTCAAGGTTTGGAACAACAAATTTAAGCTTCTAAGTTCTAAGAATCTTCCTCTACAACAAAAATAATGGCTATTCAAAGTCGAGAGGGATATCAGATTCTCCAGAACCAAGTCAGAAAGAAAAAGGAAATACTCCTTCAAATGTGAGCATATGATTCCTACTTTTACCTGGCAAACGAATAAGAATGCATATTGGGTTAAAATTTGAAGGATCAATTCTGGAACCTAATGCAGTTTGGAAATTGATATTTGCGCATAACTTTTTTTACATATCTAAATATTAAAAATGTTTTGATTTATACGCAATTTCTGCAACGGAAACCAATAATGTGTGTGGATAAAGGTTGTGCATGGGAAAAAAAGTAAATTACTTCCGAAGTTTTATTGCAGAGGAACTCAAATGGAAAGCACTATCTGAGAATGGAAAATGGAACTAGAAAATGGGGTCCACTAGTGAACAAATGTAGGAAAGAATAATATCTAATTTTCAGGTCACCGCACACAAGGATTAAGTTGGGTTTTCTATTGGTTCTATCCAAGATTCTATTGGATTGCTAGCTCCCCTCCAGCTCTCATATAAATACAAGTTTCAGCACACTTTCCACTGAAGAGAAGTGTGTATAGGAGAAACAAGACCAACACAACAAGCATCGAGAAATTCTCTTATTTTTTAGTACCGGGGCTTGTGACAATTAATCTTGAAAATAAAGCTTCATCTAGTTCATCGTCCATAGGTTGAAAAGTGATCAAGAGAATACACAAGTCATCAGGTAACTACACTATCGGTGTTCAGCACTGGGAATTAAGTTGTTAGTTTTTATATGTTAGGGTGCTTATAAGTGGCTTTTGTAGGTGGAATGTACCATCATCATCAACACCAAGGAAAAAGCATTCATTCTTCTTCCAGAATGCCAATTCCTTCTGAGAGGCACATGTTCCTTCAAACGGGAAATGGGTCTGGTGATTCTGGACTTGTGCTCTCAACTGATGCCAAGCCAAGATTAAAATGGACACCAGATCTTCATGCCAGGTTTATAGAAGCAGTCAATCAGTTAGGGGGAGCTGACAGTGAGTATACACGTCCCCTTTTGGATCATCCAATCTTGAGGATCATAGATTTGAGTTCACTAATGCAAATTATAATATTTCTATTGCAGAAGCAACTCCAAAAACAGTAATGAAACTCATGGGGATTCCAGGGCTTACTTTATATCATCTAAAGAGCCATCTTCAGGTAAAAACCATTATAAGATTACATTTTTTTCTATGCACTACATCTTTAGTACGTGCATCGTTTCATCAGCCCTTGCAAACCATTTGAATTTTGGTGTCATTCTCCCTCCGAAGTTGAGAATCAAACTTAGTTTTTGCTAACCAAAATGTCTACTGATAGGTATCTGAATTTCCATTTCATTGGATAGAAAATTCTTCTGCATTTAAGACTTTCACACCAACAAGTTAGAAGGGTGTTACACATTAAGAAACTTGCATTCAAATTTCTTTCCTTTCCCCTTGTCCTAATAGTTACACTATAATATGTAAACGTATATTATCGTAAAATACCTTATATATTGTGTACAGAAGTCATGCGCACATCATGATCCAAAGCTCTTTCACCGTAGTGATCATATTCGTAGATTTACTTTATTGGGATCTTGACATCATTCGTCTTAGGTTTCAGACTTATTGTGATGGATATCCTGCATACTGCTAAATTATAAACCATATATTAGCAAACTATCCTGTCTGATGCATCACAGAGATCTGGAAATTTTAAATTTGAAGAAAAATTGTCATATATAACTTGCACAAAGTCACAAACCAAGAATTCATTTTTCCATCTTAATTTGTCTGGTGCAATTACTGATATTTTTTTGTCATCAGAAGTATAGATTGAGCAAGAATCTGCATGGACAAAGCAACAACGTGACGCACAAAATCAGTAAGATACCTATCTCTTTGGTTTCTCTGATCTATTAATGAACCAGAGAGCTGTTTTTGATGGTTAAACTTACCCTAACAGCAACAAGTGCAACAACTGGGGAAAGACTTTCTGAAACCAACGGAACTCACATGAACAAATTAAGCCTTGGACCGCAGGCTAACAAGTAAGAAAAACTAAACATCTTTCACAAGCTTCATGTAATCTTGTTTGGCATGAACATTCAATTGCTTAAATATTTTGTAGTAATTATGCTTATTTTCGACGCCTTTTATGCAGAGATTTGCATATAAGCGAGGCACTGCAGATGCAGATTGAGGTGCAGAGAAGGCTCAATGAACAACTTGAGGTGAGATCTTAGTAGCAACATACTGTGCATCCATTTTTCATTCCATAATTATATAAACAAAGTAGTCTCTGCACTATTAGTATCAAATGTTTTTAGTCTGTCATCCAATTACAGATGTATATCCTAAATTTATTAACTTTTACAATAACTACCATAAAAATCTTATCAAAGATGGCCTTTTATAAATTTATAAGGTATTTTTCTTTGTGTTAACATTGCATACAAATTAAACTCCTCCATTAAACCAGTGTTCTGTCCAAATGATGGGCACACAGCTTTTGATTTTTTTGCTTCTAAAATTCATTCTCAAATTCTAACAAATCATCATGAACCCTTTCAGGTACAAAGACACTTGCAGCTTAGGATAGAGGCCCAAGGAAAATACCTTCAGTCTGTGTTGGAGAAAGCTCAAGAGACTCTTGGCAGACAAAATTTGGGAATAGTAGGACTTGAAACTGCCAAAGTTCAACTATCAGAGCTGGTGTCCAAAGTATCATCTCAGTGCCTTAACTCAGCATTCTCAGAGATGAAGGAACTGCAAGGATTTTGCCCTCAGCAAACACACACCAACCAGCCAAACGATTGCTCAATGGATAGTTGCCTAACATCATGTGACAGATCACAAAAGGAGCAAGAGATTCAAAATGGCTGCTTAAGACACTTCAACAGCCATGTGTTCATGGATCGAAAGGAAGCCACAGAAGCTCCCAGCAACCTTAGGAACTCCGAACTCAAGTGGTGTGATGATGGGAAAAAGAACACCTTCCTTGCCCCATTGAACAAGAATGAAGAAAGAAGAAACTATGCAGCTGAAAACAGTCCTGGCAACTTATCCATGTCCATTGGACTTGAAAGAGAAACAGAAAATGGAAGCAGCGTGTATCCTGAAAGACTAATCACAGAAAGCCAATCAGAAGGTGATTTCCAGCACCGGAACAGAATCAAGACAGAAACAATGAAACCAGTGGATGAAAAGGTTTCTCAAGATTATAGGATGCCAGCTTCTTACTTTGTAGCAGCAAGATTGGACCTAAACAGCCATGGAGACAATGAAGCTGCAACCACTTGTAAACAACTGGACTTGAATAGATTCAGTTGGAGCTGAAAAGATAGAAAAATAGTTATGCTTCTTCAAAATTTGATAAGTTGAAAGGAGCATAGTAGAAAAAGTGTGTTGTTAGTTCTCACTACAATACAATATCAGCTACTCTTTCTTTCAACCCTACATGACCATATATAAATAATTTTTAGCCAAATGAAATAAGTTGCATCTATAAGACCAGTCATGAATTTGTAAACAATCATCACAAAGGAGATAGCTCCAGCAACATTCGATTTTCATTCTAGTTTATTCAAAATTCAACATCTTGCAAAGAAGTTTGTAACATGCATTATTCTTGACCATCATCTATTCGAATTAAAAATCAAATTAACACTAATATATATAGAGAGGGCCGTTAGTTTTCCTGTAATCATTATGCTTGCATATAGCAATCTTAGTTTATTTAAAATTCTGAAGTGTTCATACATACAAGGAACACCCAGATCTAACCAAAGAAAACAATGGACCGCATTAATATTGGGTTTCAGAGTCTTAGCAGCCGAAATAATTGATCCATCAAACTATAGGCCCAAATCCACGAGTTTCAAATGTTCTGGGTCAAGTCATGTTTTTATTCCATACACATGTTACTCACTTACACTTATTGAGCATTTATAATAATATATATATATATATATCTTCGTCATATTCATTTTTTTAATCAAATAATTATGATAACATATTTCTCTAATTTTTCGGTCATTAATTATTTTTATCAAAATGGAACTCTAGATTCGATTTTAATATCAATCATTAATTTAATACATTTTTTAGAAAGTCTTTAAATATTGTTAAATAACACGATTTAATTTATACAAACTACTGTATTGACCGATACTCTGTGCCTCATCAAAATTTAAATGTGATGTATCATTTGTAAAAGAAAAATAAATAAAACATATAAAAATATTATCTGAAAAGCTAATTAATTTTGTTTTGCTTATAACCTTAATAATAGAAGATGGAATTTTTACTAAAAAAAATGTTTTGAAGTACTGCATGTGTGTATCTTAATTATCTCATCTCAAAGGGATTTCTTTCTTTCACCACTGTTACAAAAGTGTTAAAAGTCTTAAATATCATGAATGAACTTCATTTCTTTCACCACTGTTACAGACAGCAATCATGTCGTTTTATGGTTGCGATGGTGTCTGTTGGTCACTTTTGTTTAATTTCATGGTTTCTATAATTTGCTGCATTATATATCATCATGCATTATTGTGCTGTGTATTCCTGTACTATATAGTGTTCCATCTGTTCTAATACATTCTTTTTGTTTGTAAACTATGTCTCAATAGCTTAATAAAATTGAATTTAACTTCTAATTGATAGAGACTCGTGAGTGTATCCAAACACAAACTCTTAATCTAATTGATATGAGACCCTAGTCACAATCCTATAATGAAAATAACTTTTAAATCTACCTAATCATAAGTTACTAATCACGTTAAGTCACTAATCACGTCTATTATTAACTTGACCATGACAAAATAGTTATAAATAAATTACCAGATGAGATGAGCTGTGTCCCTCTTTACATCTATTTTTTCCCATTAAAAAAATTATATTTTAAGTAACAGTAATACTAATTTTCCAGTTATAATTTTTGGTAATGAAGTGTAATTTTTTAATTAATTGTATAAATAAAGGTTTAGTATTGATTCCAAGATAATAAATAAAAAAGAGTAGTGGGAAAAATGTAAAGGTGACGAAGGTGGAAATGGAGATTGAAAAACGTGGTGCATCTTCCAAGTCATATAAACAACAACACAATCGAGACAAGTTCATTCCAAATCCACGCAACACGTACATGGTACATGGTCTAATATTAATTTTGAGGACGGTTTTGTGCCAACCCTTGAGAAAAACCAAAAATATCTGGGTAGTTGGCCTTCTCTCATCCACGTCCACATCTCTCTTTCAACAAATAAATTCCAATAAAAACTAAGACAACGCAAATTAAAGCACCCCAATCTTCATACTTTTCACGATGCATGTCCACCTCACAAAAACCCTACACTCTCCACCAAAACTAAAATCTCCAAATCTTTCTTTTCCTTCTTAGCTACGTACATTAGGACAAAACCACACGATCTATTTCCTCAAAACTTGCCCGAGACTCACATAGAACCATCACATGCCATACAAAAACATGTACATGACGTGTACTATAAAACACCCACTCAATGCCATTGCTCACTGCATCGATCTCCTTTCTCTTATTTTAGTTATTTCATAGACCCTCTTAGCTTCTCACTTGCTGCAACAACAAGCACTTGGACTTCTTCATTTGCCAATGGAAGGAAATGATTTGTCCCACAACATGCCTACATGGAGTTCAAGAAAACTCATCACTCCCCAAAGTTATACTTCATTTTCCCTTATACCAAATGAATGTCTCAAGAATAACACTCAAGAATGCAAGTCTTCAGATACTAGAGACAATGATGATAAGGTGAAGGACCATGAGGAAGGGCATAGTGTAGAAAAAACAGGGCGTGAGAAGCTGAAGAGACTCCGGGAAGAGGTGACGATGGAGAAGGTTAACATACCAGAAGATTGGGGTCAAGAGCAAAAGTTGAAGGATTGGATGGACTATACAATGTTTGATGCATTCTTTGCTCCTCATAACTTGATTGTGTCTGCTCGTGATGCCCTTGTTGCTAATGCATGCAAAGCAAAGTCACGAAGATTAAGGATCTAAAGTAGTTGCTAATGTTTCTTTTTTACTAGTTAGTAGTATACTTGTTCTTAATATTCCCATGTTATGGCAGGAATAATGCTTCTTAAGATTCCTATGCTTAGATCTGATTCTCATATTCTTTCTTGATCTGGTATTTACATTCACACTTGCTAACTAATATATTTTTTATGCACCAAATGTATTAATTCTCAACCATGTTAAATAACCCTTTTTCTAAATGGTATGTTGTTTGAAACTGGTTTTTAGAAGTGGAAATTTAAATGGAATATTTATAAATTTCACAAGTTGAATTTCAATATTCTGATGAAACACATATGAATGAAGAATTCAAAAGTTAAAGAGAGAGATACCTTGGATCTCATTGTGTATAACATTCTCGATCTGATTATCTTGATGTTTAATTATTATATGAGATATATCATGGAAAGTATTTGATTTGTATACCACTTTTTCATTTTGTGATAATGAAGTTGAAATTCCCTCTTTTTATGTGCCTGTATCACATAATCCTTTTTATAATTTTCATAAATATACTTACGATAAAATTAAAATAATTTATTATTGGGTCTAAAACATGGTTGCGTAACAAAATATATCCATTGGAGGAATCTATTGTTTGGTATGTCTATGTGCAAATATATAAACAATTTATGGAGAAGAAAACATGGAAGAGGAGATTCTAAAAAAGTTTAAATACAAAAAAAATTATCTATTTTTTTAAGTATTAACTATGTGAGGATTTTCAACTTGTTTTTGTTTCTTATTTATTTATGTAATACTTATAAATAAGTACATTTTTAAAACATTATTTCAATGTTACTTTTCTTATTTTACATCTACGTGAGTAACAAACAATACAATTTTAACAATAAATATATTTTTATTTAAAATATCTAATTAATTTTCGACTAAAAAAATAAAAGCCATCAAAATCAAATACAGAACCTCCACTGTATGGTGTTTAACTATGAGATTTATGTTAAGGTTTGACAACTATTAAAGTTGTTTTCAGATTAAAAAAAATGTTATTATGAGAAAATTTATATTTATATTTAAAAAGCAACTTAATTTTTTTAATTTATGTAGTTTATATGTTTATAACAGCACTTTATGTGATAAGTTCATTTGTAAGACGATTCTTACAAGTGACCAAGAAAATAGAAAATACAAAGGGCGTTGTGGACCTAATAATTTTTTGTTTACAAAAAAAACACTTATCAATTATTTTACCAAATTTTTGTTAAAAAATTACATTACATGGAACAGCAGAGCCTATTTTAATTTCATATAAATTAGGCCCAGCCCAATCATATCCATCAATCGACGTTATATACTTCTTTCTCCTACCGCTCCAAACCCTAGCTAGGGTTTCGCCTCCGGTACTTTCTCTAATAAAAAGACTTTGCTATTACATTTTCGTCTGCTTCCTTCATTGATTTCAATTCACACTTTCTTCATCTCTGCAATTCTTCGCTTCATTGATTCCAATTCTCACTTTCTTCATCTCTTCAATTTTTCGCAGTCTGAGATCTGTCCCCGCCTAGCCGTTGAGTTGGAAAAGACCAAGTTTCAAAATGAGGTATTCGTTTTATCGTCTTCTACATTTTCTGTTGAGTAATAGTTCGAGTAAGTCTTCATGTGAATAAACGAATTTTTGTCCTCCGTTTGCGAGCTATATATCCTCCTTTAATTCTGGTTATTGTACAGTTCACACTCTTTGGCTCTACCCATCCAATATTTAGGACTTACTTTATTTTTATTTGAAATTGTATTTTCTCCGCTTAACGGGTAACTAGTTAGCGATGGGAAAGTCCTTCTCATCTTAAATTGCAAATTATTCTTATTACACTCTAAAGAATTATATATATATATATATATATATATATATATATATATATATCTGTGTGTGTGTGTGTACAATTCTTTCTTTGCTTGTTCGACCGTTGTATTTTGAATGCAATGCCAGTGATGTTTTTTTCTACTCATCTGTACTATGTGCGGTGTTATTGTCGATGAAAATCTTTAGGTGAAATTTGTGCATTTGAAAAACCTACGATTTGTCATTTCTGATCTGTTTTGGGTGTTGGCTATGCAGTAAGCTTCAGAGTGATGCTCTAAGAGAAGCTATCACAGGAATTATGGGTGATTCCAAAGAGAAGAACAGGAATTTTGTGGAGACAATTGAACTCCAGATTGGGCTGAAAAACTATGATCCCCAGAAGGACAAGCGTTTCAGTGGCTCTGTTAAGTTGCCTCATATTCCTCGCCCAAAGATGAAGATTTGCATGCTTGGAGATGCCCAACACGTTGAGGAGGTAACTAGCTGCTCTAATCTACAACCCCTTTTGTAAACTTTTCAATTAGGTACAATACTATACACTTAGCAAATCCTCCGTTTCAATCGTGTGTTCATTGTTGTAATCATTAGGTGTCGCCTTAGCTTTATGTTTGTTGAAATATTGATTGTGCTACTTATTTATTGCTTTGCGGACCCTTTTTATTTCCTTTCTATTAACTCGGGGCTATTTAGTTTGGATTTATGGTTATTGTCTGTAATGACTGCTTTTCTTGAATTTCCTTGAAATGACACATTTTGTAATTCAGTAATAGCAGCTGAAGAAGAACAATTTTGTTCCATTTTTCTGTGGCAGTATATATGTAAACAACTGTAATTTAATTATTCTGCTGTTTGGTGGATTGTTTGTTGATGTCTATTATCGTAATCTGCAGGCAGAGAAAATAGGATTGGACTACATGGATGTAGAGGCCTTGAAGAAGCTCAACAAAAATAAGAAATTGGTGAAAAAGCTAGCCAAGAAGTATCATGCGTTTTTAGCTTCTGAAGCAGTTATCAAGCAGATTCCTCGTCTCTTGGGGCCTGGTCTAAACAAAGCAGGCACGCCTCTTGGGACTTGGTCCCATTAAGTAGTTGTTATATTTCGGTTTACATGTCAATATTGCTGTCGCTGATAACGATAAGTTGCCTGACTTTGCAGGGAAGTTCCCTACACTTGTGACTCACCAAGAATCTCTCGAGTCAAAGGTTAATGAGACTAAGGCTATGGTCAAATTCCAGCTTAAGAAGGTGCTCTGCATGGGAGTAGCCGTGGGGAATGTTAGCATGGAGGAAAAACAAATCTTCCAAAATGTACAACTGAGCGTTAACTTTCTTGTGTCATTGTTGAAAAAGAACTGGCAGAATGTGAGTAGTCCGCTCTTAAATTGAGTTGCCGACGTTTATTTTACTTGCTATATTTGATCTTCTTGAACCTGTCAATCGTCTGAATGTAATCTGTTATTGATTTCAGGTTAGGTGCTTGTATCTGAAGAGTACCATGGGGAAATCGTACCGTGTCTTTTAAGTTCTTGTTCTTAAATTCAGTAAATTTCTGATCGCACTTGATATATTGTCGTAATAGGTTGGACAGAATTTTACATTGTTCTACAGTTTTGTTGGATGAGTATTTTTTGGTTAGTATTTCTTGTTATTGACATGTTGTGTTTCAAGTGCTTTGCAACATCGGATGATTTAAGCGATGCTAATTTTAAGGTACTTTTTATTTAAACATGTGCAATGTCCCTTTGATGCACGTATAATCTGACTATATCTATCCGCAACAGCTGTCTGATTAGGAATTCAATCAGCTGTTAGACCCGATAGGTTTGAAGTTAAAATTATCTTAAAAAAGAAATTTTTTGTTATGATCTTGTGGATTTTACCAGAATATGCCATAGTAGGTGAAATTGATTCTTAGTTTTCGGAATGCTTTGAGGTTAGATTGTGCATTTGTTTGAAATAAATAAACCACTAATTTCTATTTTGTTGATGCCCTTGCAAATTTGATTGATATTACAACAGTTTCATTTATTTCTAGGTGAAAATCAATCCTTCTATTTAATAAATATTGAAGAGGCACAGTAGTGCTACAAATGTGTGACTGAATATTTTATTGGGTTTGTAAAAGAAGCATAAATTCCTAGAGTCCTATTCTGAAAGCTTTAACACTATTAATGTTAAATGTGTGACTGAATATTTTATTTTAATCAATTAAACTTATGTATATATATTAATTTTAAAATATAAATATAGTTATATCTAAAAAAATATTAGATATAAAAAGAATTCTTAAGTCTGAGAATTAAATTAAAGAGAATGTGACCGGAGAAGTAAAAGTGAGGAAAGAAAAATTTTAATTATTTTATTTATATTTGAGAGTAAAATTTGAAAAGATGAAACAGAAGAAATAAAATAAATATTTCATTAAATACACTATAAATGTACCTTATTATTTTCAAGAAAGTCCACTTCTGTTGTACCCTCCTAAATATCATTTTGGACTTTTTTATAAGACATCATATTTACTTTTTAAAACAATTGACTTGCAATAGATGAAAAATAATATACAAAAGAAATTGATATGCCATGATTTACAGATGCAGTAAAAATGTAAAAAAAAAAACCTTCTAGATGAATAATGAATCATAAAAAAGAAGAATAAAGTGTCAAGAAATCTACGATCAAGTGGATTTGATCATTCAACAAATGTTTTTTCAGTGTTCATAAGTTTTAAAGCATGTGAAGATTGTTTTGCATATATTAGAATGTTTGAATATATGAAGATGCAGGTGAAGATCGTTTTGCATACAACAAATGTTAGAATGTTCACTAACCATTTTTCCCTATATCTAATTATTGGCAACGCTAATAAACAGATGCTATCATGGAACACGCAAGGCCATTATCAAGTTCAACCATATTGACACATTGTGAGAAGTAGTCATCCAAGCAAAATTAGTTATCTGTTTGGTGGAATGGCTAACCCAAGCAACTACTCTTTCCACCGTAATTGTCTTTTTCCAAACACAAAAAAGTGATCAAACTCTCCATCAGCATGCACGTCAAGCTGACGTTGAAAAGGCACGTCCTCAGAAACAATTATTAGTTACCAGAAACGTCATCATGGTGGAGACCAAAATCATCTTGTAAATCACAAAAATAATTATTTAAGCAAGACGAATCTGTTGGTGGTTACACGAACTAAGTAACATTGGTTGATATGAACACAAATATGCATAGGAAAGAAAGATAAAACCTGTTGAGTATTACTAGAATGGATGTGGACATATAAGGTGTGAAATCCTTCTCCTTTCTATGTCTAAGTGGGCCTCATTCATGATGTTTCCATTGAAGGTGGTGGCTTTTTGTCCTTACACTTGATACATAAATAATAATTGCTGTCCATGCACATACTTCAGATATGCCAAGTGCTCCTAAAGTTCCTCATAGGCTTTAATTTTAGAGAGATAAATATACTAATAATTTATGTGTAATATGAATATGGTTGATAACAATATTTTATAATTCATTATCTGATGTTCAAATTCACTTTTCAATCAAATTTGTGTTACATCTGTTGTACTCATTCTGCACTAGTGGCCAATTTTTATATTTTCTCAAGTAACGCTCTTTTTTTTTTTTTTTCGCTTCAATGTATATTAATTGGGAAAACTCCCATTTTTTCCGCGTGGTGTAAAAGAGAAGGAGAATGTTCTTAACCAATCAAAGCACCATGTGTTCTTGACCTTTGTATTTGTAACTCCCAAGGGTTTGTGTGAACAAAAATAAAAATTGAAATCTTAATACCATGTATGCGGCTCAATTTATAGACCATGATGAACAAAATTAAGAATTGAAAACGTACATACTATACGACCATGAAATCATCCACGGTTCCCACATGAAACATATTATTAAATGTGTAAGTGTTAGTTACGTGACAAACTCATCATCATGGGTTTGTGGATATATATATATATATATATATATATATATATATATATATATATATATATATATATATATATATATATATATTATAATAAAGTTAATGAGTTCAATTTATACAAATTTTTAAGGTGATGTATTTTTGGTGGATACAAATTTTTCGCTTTTAAACCTAATACGTTTGTAAAAAATAACCTAAAACATTTGTTCCTTGTCTTTAAAACATTATTATATTTTTGAAAACTAAAATCTCTCTTAAGTTTATATATATATATATGGAGTTGGTTATAAATGTAAAGAAAGTTGAAATAGTTGGCTTCTAATAATTGCTTTTAGAAAACTTTAGTCAGAAAACATAACTGATGATTAGGGTTGGTGAATATAGAGGTTCCTTTATGCTAAAGACTGGTTTGAATATTTTGTTTATATTTGAACATTCATGAAACACTATAATTTATTAACTGAAACGAATCCTTGTAGCTTATCATATTCCTTCATTTTCACGACTTGTTTTGCTATTACAATATATTTATTTATATCACTGCATGTATACGAATACAACGCTTCACTCTCTAGAATTTAAAAGTAACTTTTGACATAGGAATCCAATGATTGGGAAACACCAAAGGAAGAAGATTTTGCAATTCATAATTTATAAACTTCTAATCAGCACAATTTCAAATATATTTGCAATTTTTTATCATAAAAAATTGTAAAAATTATATAAAATGATAAAAAGATTGAGTATAAAATTTTAAAAATAATCTAGAAAGTAGGATTAGAATCGACGAGACGGTTAAACAAAAAAGGAATTTTATTTTACATAATTGCTAGGTGAAAAGTGAGAATAGCGGAGAAAGAGAAACCCTTATTGAAAATAAAATATTATAATGGGGGTTTTGTGCAAAGTTGTGCTCCGCGTAATCCTGATAACACGGGAACACGTGCGGGGTGTGAAGGTGGCGGTGAGGTGTCAACGTGTTTTCAGATAGCTGGTGCTTTAACGCATGCGGATCGATACATCATTTTATTTTATAATAAAATTTAACTCTGATTATAAAATAAAAATTATTTGTCTCAAATATAACACAATTACATATTAAAGTAACTCAACAAATATTGTTTACTCATATTTACTCAATTCATAATATTATACTGAATAAAAGTAATCTATTACCGTTTAATAATCATTAAATTAAACAGTTTTTTTTTAATTAACTTACTCATCTCATTTATTAGTATTATATTTAAATATGTGATTTTTTTTACTACCATGGAAATTGAAAATGAGACAGTGATAGAAAAGTTACGTTCACAAATATAAAAATTTTACGTTGTAGTTGCAAATTCAATTTTTCACGACATTTTAAAAAATATCTCAGTATGTCGGCGAATTTGCGAAGGTTGTTGCTGATGTAAGAGTTTCAAAGCCTCTGCGTGTAAGGTAAACAGTGGATGTTATATGATAATAATATTGACTGCCAAAAAAAAAAGAAAAGAGAATGGCATTGTCTAGTTTCTACATAAAAACAGAGTAGCTCTGCTATATATATATATATATATATATATATATATATGTAATAACCTTGCTATGTGGCAAAGCTTAGACCTTCAGCCTTGAAGCGTGGTGGTTGGTTGGCTGCTATGTCCAGTTTCAGATCAGCGATGGCAACTTCTTCTTTCTTCTTCCCTTTGTTATTGCTGTTTCTCACTGTTTCAGGTTTGCCATCTTTCACTAACCAGTCAACCTTTTGTTCCATGCAAACTGAATAGTTTTTTCAATTTAGGAAACAAAACACATGAATTGTGTTGTGTTTGTGGAGTAGTCTTATTCCGTGTTTTCTTGGCAATGGACCAGTCTGAATTCTGAGCAGAATACTATTCCTTTTAACATTCTGAATTGTCATCAGTATACTACAATTCCTTAATTCAGCTTTTTTATCATGTCTGGTGGGTTTGAGTATCTATTCTCCTACCTCTATATATTCTAAGCTTTTTTGTTAATTTGAATTGTTGGTTCCTCAGTGTTTCACAATTTTCTTTACGGTTAACTCTCTTAATGTTCTATTTTATCTTCAACTGGATATTGATTGTTAATTATGTCTCTAGAGCATTGCAAATTAGAGGTTTTAGATTTGTCATATCTTTTTCTATATTCTGATGATTTTTATAACCATGTCCTTCAGATTTATTTGTGCAAACCCGTGGACTTAATTTCGGAATCAACTACGGACAAATAGCCAACAATCTTCCATCTCCCTCTCGTGTGGCTGTTCTAATAAAATCTCTTAATGTCTCAAGAATCAAACTCTATGATGCTGATCCAAATGTTCTATCTGCATTCTCCAACTCAGATGTGGAATTCATCATAGGATTAGGGAGCGAGAATCTGCAGAACATGAGAGACCCTTCTAAGGCTCAGAGTTGGATCCAACAACATGTTCAACCTTATATTTCACAAACCAAAATTACTTGTATAACTGTAGGAAACGAGGTCTTCAGCTACAATGATACTCAGCTCTCAGCAAATCTCCTCCCTGCAATGCAAAGTGTGTATAATGCCCTTGTTACTCTAGGACTAGCACAGCAAGTTACTGTTACAACAGCTCATTCTTTCAGCATTTTAGCCACCTCATTCCCTCCTTCATCAGGGGCATTCAGGCAAGATCTGATACCATATATTCAACCCCTTCTTAACTTCCATGCTCAAATCAAATCACCCTTCCTCATTAATGCATATCCCTTTTTTGCATACAAGGACAACCCAAACCAAATTTCCTTAAATTATGTACTATTTCAGCCAAATTCAGGGTCCACGGATCCAATGACCAATTTGCATTATGATAATATGTTGTTTGCTCAAATTGATGCTGTCTATGCTGCCATCAAAGCTCTGGGGCATACTGATGTTGAAGTCAGAATTTCAGAAACTGGTTGGCCTTCTAAAGGTGACCCTGATGAAGTTGGAGCCACACCACAGAATGCAGAAATATACAATAGTAATTTGTTGAAGAGGATAGAGCAGAAGCAAGGCACTCCTGCAAAACCATCGGTCCCAATTAATATTTATTTCTTTGCACTTTTCAATGAGAATATGAAGACTGGTCCTATATCAGAGAGAAACTATGGCCTTTATTATCCTGATGGCAACCCAGTTTATAACATTGGATTAGAAGGTTATCTCCCAGAAATGGTTATAGAGTCAAGATCTAACGTAAGTATACACACTTGAGAAATTCAATCACTCACCTGTGAAAAGTTCCATTACTTTTTCTTTTGAAACTTTTCTAAAGTAGATTTACTGATTTAATGATCTCATTGCTATTGTTGTGCAGGTGTTGTCCATCAATATTTTAGTCTACATACTTACATCCTTATTGTTCACTTGGGAGCTTTCGAGACAGTGATTATGAATATAACAAAACAAATAACTTTCTATAAATCATTCTTTTGCAAGAGGAAGTTGTTGAAGGTTAGAGAAGTTTTAATATTGTCCCTCAGTTTTTATTCACAAGTATTGATATTTCTTTTCTTTCCGTTAAAATTTCAGTAACTGTGGACAAACCGGAACTGTAAACAGTGAAACTACATTTATTATGCTGTAGTTTTTTTTTTTTTTTCACTCTTTGATCACATGAAAACTAATTCAGCTTGCGAACCTCTAATAGATCAAGTTTACATTATGATAGGAAATTAGCAATGATCACGGGCACAAAAAGATGTGAAGTCTTGAAAAATATTCAAAAGCGTATTTGATTCGTTCAAGTTATTCTTTGACCTTTTGACAGTACTACGCCAAATATGTAATCCGAAAAATGATATGATGGGAAGTTTTTGGAACCATAGCGTGCAAAAGTTTGTGCCCAAATGTTATCTCTTTAAGCTGAGGCTGTCAAATGCTGTCCAATTAGTGCTTGTGAATGCACCAAGTGGACTCTTGTGCCTTTATAACCACCCCCAGCAAAACCTTACTTTCTTCACTATATATTTTTATTAGAAAAAATGGTGATGGGTCTCCACCTTCCTTATCTCCCACTTGCAATCATGCTTGTGAATCTTCTGGTGAATAAAATTCCCCTTGTCTTCAGCTATACAAAAGTCCAAATTGGGTTATATCAGACGGGAAAAAAAAAAGTCTGGAGGATCCCTCTTGCCAGATAACCAAACCTCATAAATTTTGTCCTTGGTTTTGAACCTTATCTCATAGGTCACTTCGCTTTCCCCTACTTTCTTTCCTTCTATTCCCATATGAGCTTTTGTAGGACCCTTTGCTTTAAAGTTATGCAAAGTCAATATTAATTTTAATTGAATTAGAATTTGAGTTTAACTTTTTCCATTATCACAGTAAAAGACTATCTATCAGCTAATAATTTATATTAGGTAATGCTATTGAAGTAGTCACCATAAAAGATCTTGAACTTACCATACTTCCTATTTATGATAGTATAAAAACTTCAACTGTATGGATTAATTTCTCCTAATTTTTTACCGTTCAACTTATTAAAATACATGAGGCGAATCTCAGTTGTAGAATTGTGGTGTCTCAGACTGCTGTGGAGTTTTATTAAATTGTTGAGTAAAGAGTTGAGAGATTCTCTTATACTATCTTTATCAGTGAGTGATAGCTTGTGTTCCTAGAATTTGCTTTGCTAAGAATTCCTTTGGATGAACTGTTCTGAGGTCAAATAAGGTGTGATTTTACATTACAAGGTATGTTGCGTATGATTTGCAACCTAGAGAACCTTATAAGTTGAGTGCAGTTGTGAGAATCTGAATGGAGAAAAGTTTCAACTGAGGAACATGATTTACAATACTAATGGTGCCTCTTTGTTGGACTAGAATCATGTCATGTTGAAGATTCAACAACAAGGGTCATAAAATTTAGGCTGGAGGCGGCTGCTAGTGGTGGCCCAGGTCTTCCCTTCCAGTTGAAATTATAGGGTTCTTACATCAGCATGGTTTAATTGGGATTAGTTTTACAGATAGGTGCAACCACCTACAAATTTCAAAGCTCAAATAGTATTGATTAATGCTATCTGCTTCCATGCCTGGCTTTTGGTGTATTCAATTTCTCTTCTGCTATAATCACACTCCCCACCCAACCAATTATCATTACTTTTATACTGTTGTGTATCTAAACTTAGAAAGCTAACAACTTTTTTTTAAAAATTCTCCCATTGATAAACATAAACAATTTTTCTTTTAAATAAATTTAAATTGAAAGTTTAGTCTCTGAAATATTTTTGGTACAATTTCATATCAGTAATACCAATTACCCCACCACCATGATTGAGCATATTTGGATAGGAAATGAAAGGAACAAGAAATCTAATTTAATACAAATTCAGACACATACATTGGGACACTGAACATAATGATAAAGTGTGCATCATTTAATAGGTATATCAACTACTAACAACTGTCTTTTGAATCTATAAATACAGGACCATAAAATTGTGATAAAAGTATTAAACTTTTGACATTTGTAAATGAAACAATCTTTTAGGGAAGCTGGTGGATGAGTGTTATTGAACTAATACTGATACATCTTTGCAGGGAGACAAAGGCAAGGCAAATCCTATACTTTTTGTGCACAGCCATGGGAGCAGTTTTCTGAGGCTTAGTTTGTATTTGGCCTAATTTTAGCTACATCCATTCATATGAATTTTTTTTATTTCACAGTTAGCAATAGTCAAAGGGAGAGGCCAGAATTGGATCTGTAATATGGAGTACAGTAATTTTTTGACAGAAAGATAATATAGAAAAAAGTATTTTGGATTTTAGACAGAAGGAAAGGAGAATTATTATGATGTACAGTTATGACTTTCTTCTGTGCTTAGTCTTAGTTTGCAAATTTATGTGAAAAACTTCATCTACAAATATCACCCATCGTTTTCATGCCAATTTTCTTTTGCAGTTTTAAATGCATCTAATAACAATGTAACTGAGACGAATACAGAAGATTAGGCGTGCAAGTAACCAATAACTGAGATAACTCATATTTTGTCATACTATTATAAACAACTCAAAAGAGTTACTTTAAATTTTGTTGAGATTCTTTGCTCTGAAGCATTGATTAGATGGTGGACCTCCTCTCTTATAATTGTTTTGGGTTGAAGTTAGAAAATAAAAATATCAACAAAGTGGTACCAATAATAAAATTTAAGGTCCACTTGAGAAAATGAAAGTTTACCAGACTTGAATGATTGCTCTAATTATGGTTTTGCAATCAATTGGTGTGGAGCCATAGATATTAAGTTTAAGCTTTCATGCCATAACAGATTCAAACAATGAAGATTAAAAACTCCCATTAGAGATTGCACAATTGCAGACCAAGAAATAGTAGGTAAAAAGCTTGCAAAATTATGTTTAGGATATATATATAGGGTATGGAGTTTCGGATTAAAAGATAGTTTCTTTATCATTTTTAATTAGAAAAATATTACACAATCTACTTAAATTTGTAGTTCTGAATATAGAGATTTGTAAATCTAAAATCAAATGATTCCAATCTTTAGTGTGGGGTACGTGCAAATAATTGAATAAAATTGTCGAATCAAATAATATTTTTGTAAAAATTTAGAATTTATTCTCAATATCATTGGTCTAAGTCGAAGTCGTACTTTATTATATTAAACTCAATTAACGTTTAGATATAGATGACTAGATCATCTACGACCATACTCTATAATTAAATCTCAAATTGATTTATAAAATTTGTTGTCACACGATATTTTTTAGTAATAATAATTCTTAAAACTAGGCAATTTGGAAAAAATATTATGATATGCATGATTTAAGATTTGGTGAATGATTAGACCTGCTATTTTATTCTTAGTATAGACCCACTATTATTTTTTCTTTTTCTTATGCTATTTATATAATCTTTTTATTTTTTATATATTGATCGGCATAGAACTAAGGATGTCCACAGTTTGATTTAGTTTTATTTTATCTAAACTAAATATAAAATTTAAATATAATTTATTTAATATTTTATTTGATCTATTTGTTTTTCTACTTCAATAATATTAGATATAGTTTTGGAAAATTCTCTTATTTTACTTTGCTATATTTTCATCATCATGATAAGAAAATCATGCAGATTACTTTGTCCAGTTTATTACCAAAGTAAAGTATAATAATATTTATTGAAGATTTTAGATTTGTATAATTAAATTTCTAGGAAAAATAAAGTATATTTCTTCTTGTCGGATATTTTTCATTCCAGGTAATATCGTTAAATTTAATTTTTATATTAAATATATTATTTATTTTAAAAGTCTCACTTATTATGATTTTATTTTTAAAAAATATATAAATTATAATTAACCTTAATTCATAAAATTTACAATACTAATTTTGTAAATACTTAAAATATTGATTTAAACTTTTGATACATATAAAATATTCATGTTTTTATAATTAGTTTTAACACTTATTTTATGTAATTATAAAAAATTAATAAAAATCTCAGTAACATTTAACTATTCATATTTTGAGTATAGAAAAATAAACTGCAAATTTGTGTTAAAATATAGGTAATAATCAAAAGATAACTAAACAAATTTTTATTCATTGAACAAATCTGAGGCATAGAGAACAATTTCTAAGGTAGAAAAATTGCTCAGCAGTTCTGAATCTGTTGGGCATATTCACATTAGAGACCCTTCTAAAAGGGTGAAAGTGTTTGATAGATGAAAATGTTTGATGGATGAAAGCTTTTGGGACGAAGAAATCTCATTTCCCTGATCAAATTAAGAAAAATTGAACGGATGGATAAAATATTACTATGTCCCTTATGTATAGATATAAGAATTGAAAAGAATAACAAAGGAAGATAGACGAAAAGAAAAATAGAGCTACTTTCAAGAACCAGAAAGCAGAGAATAGAGAGTGACTGAATCTGATATAGATATATATATATATATATATATTGTTAATTTTTCTTAATGATTTAGTTCTTTTGAAGCTTTATTTCTCTCTCTCTATATATATATATATATATATATATATATATATAAATTGAAAAGTAATTTCTGTTTCTGATATGATTCAATTGTAATCTTGATAAGATTACTGGTACATAAAAGTATGTATCTAATACAAAATTTTTAACCAATTTCTTGATTATTTAAGATTCTTAGACCTTCATACTAATTCATGTATAAATAAATAATAAATTACAAATATGTTATCACATTAATCAATTCTATCTCAATCTGCAAAGTACACATATCTTTCTTTTTTTACAACCCTACAATTGATTCGGTCCACTTGTCAAGAAAAAAATATCTAACAGTCCACTTGCCAAGAAAAAAATCTAACAGCTTTCTACCGGAATAATTTAATCAGAGTGTCCACTTACTGTGTATTAAATTTAAACAATCTTCAAGTTGAATAAATAAAAAGCTTGCAAATTTTATAAAATTTTAAAACATTAATTCATTCTACGCTGTAAAAAAATTCTTACTAATAAATATTGAAACATCTCACCCCATAGTTATATACAACGTTTGCCAAACATTGGAGAAGAAAAGTTTAAACACATATATTCTTTTCTATATACACACACTTTCACCACTCACCTACTTTCTACTAATCACTTTTCTTGCCACAAACCCCTCATTTATGCATAGATAAATTGTTGCTCAAATAAATGTAAATGAATGAGCTATATATGTGAAATGCTCTTTATGAAAGTATGTGTTTAGCATTATCGGAAAATTACAAATTTCTTCACAATGGAACTTATAAAACAATCAATTGAATGTAGCACCAAAGAACTTGCAAATCCTGACGATGAGCATCACTAGTTATCAATCGTAAGATACAAGGAAAGGTAGCACCATGGTCATGAAGGCATCGTATGAAAGTGTAGCTGAACCCGTATATCGTGTGTCCTTCTCCTTAAATTTATCAGTCAGACCCTGAAAGTGAGACAACTAATTAACACTGTAACAAACACAATATGGAACAGAATAGACACCTATGTCCTGAACCACATATACAAACAATGGCACTGGTGAAAATTGGCCTATATCAATGGAAGACAAATGAAGAAATAGAGAAATAAGAGGCACGTCAATAGGGTCAAAAGGTTGCTGAGTTTTACCTTAATGATCATGCCACACCTGCATATATCCAAAACAGAACATTAGATATGTATAATATATCTATATAATGTCATTGACATTTTCAAATACAGCAAAAGCCAATTTAGTCATCCTTGAAAGATTTCAGGACATCAATTTGGTACTCAAATCATTATTTATCACTGCATGACAAGTTTACAACACCAAGTCTTTTGTCTAATTTGGTGGACCAAATTTATGATCCAAAATCTTTCAATGACCAAAACAAAAATTATTCTCTTCAAAGACCCAGATAAAAATAACTTACTCGACGAAACTGTCAAAACCAAGCTCAACCCTTCTTCCACTTCCATCACCATACTTGGAAAGCAGAAGTTGTAGGACTGAACCAGGCACAGCATAACCAATACCATACAGAGCATCTCTTAGTTCTAATGGATCAATTTTCCCACTCCTGTCTTTGTCATATCTCTCAAATATGCCCTACAAAATTGAAGTAACATATATTCAGAGGCAATTACAAGGGTGAAGATCTGTTATAAAACACAATTTATTTTATTTCTTTTAGCAGTAAACAAGGCTCTTGATATGATGGAATGTTCAGCATAAATCCACCCATCCAAAAGATTATTACACAGATATAAACATAGAACAGTTTAATCCAGTTAAAATTACTAATTAGTCTTATGACTTACACACATATATCAAACTTACGGAGATAATACATAACATGAAACCATGCTTATCTTGAGAAAGAAAAGATTATAAGAAGAAATGAAAAAGAGACTCACTCGCCAATGACCAAGGCAACTCCAGAGTGCTGCAAATTCCTTTGGTCCTGTAAAGGCACAAGCAATAGCCAATTGATATCGACACAATGAAAATTCCAACCCAAGAAAGAAAAACAATAAATAAAATATATTGGAACAGAAGATACCAACTGTGAGGGGTTGGTGTGGGTTCTTGAAGAGGAACATGAGGAGACGAATGGTCCTGAGATTAAAGCGGTGAAACCCAGAAGAGAGAGCTTGCTGCAATTCCCGCTCATCGATGAAGCCACTCCGATCTCTATCGACCATCTGAAAGCTGTTAATCACGTCCTGGGGTGTCCCTGGTGGAAAACTGGAATACCCAGATGAAGAAACGTTTGCGTAATAGTAATTGGCGGAAGAATTTGAAGGCGGAGGAACATTGGAAGTAGAAGTGTTATAGTAACTAGAATATGGAGGTTGTTGAGGCGCAGATGGAGCATACTGAGATTGAGATTGGTATCTTCCGTCGTAGGAAGAAGACATGGCCAGTTTCAATACAAGCTTGATCTTGGATCCGAGTTGCAGGAGCACGCAGAGAAAGAGAGAGAGAGAGAGAGAGAGAGAGAGAGAGAAAGAGAGAGATGTGTGAGATAAAGTAGTTTCTAGTTTGGAAATTGTAACCTTAGAAACACACGTTTAGAAACTCAGACACGCCACGACAACAACGTTGTTTGCAATTTGCAAAGACGGTGGTCAATGTTGGTATGCCATGTGTGTCCATTTCACCAACAATTAACCTTAGCCAACAGTGGCTGATATTTTCACATAAAAAAAACAAAAAACATCCATTATACAAATTTTTTATTAACATTATATTTATAAAATAATTAATTTAAAATAAAATTAATTAAAAAATATTATTTTATTAATAAATAAAGTCGTTGAATAGATGTTTATTGATAATGGATTTCTTATAACAATTTGATTAATAATACATATAAATCCTCATGTATCAAGGATTTTAAATAGAAGTAGAATTATTTTAATAAACAACATATTTATTAGCTTTTTAATCTGACTGTAATTAAGAGAAGAAAATAATAATTTTTTAATACACTCTAATTTTAACTAAGCATATTATTTAAGATCATATTTTTTTCATGTAGATTTGAGTTTATAAAATTGGCTTTACAAAGTTTGACAAGACAAGTGAAAATACCCATATGATACACTCCTAAATTAAATAGCAATTTTCCTACAAGAAAAGGTTATTTTATAGGAGTTTTTTTTTTAATATAGACTACAAATATTTTAATTGAAAACAAATATTTTGAATTGGATAAAATTATTTTAAACATTTTGTATATGTTTAATACAAATATATATTAAAAATCAAATTATGATATTGTTAATTAAAAAATTATTTTTATTGATAAAAAGTTACTGTAGTTTTATCAGATGTTAGGATTTTAATATAAAATCAATTAATAAGATGGACAGTAATATGTGTGGAGTAAACCACAAAAAGACCATTCTTGATACAAGAAAAAGAGAGAGTAAGGTTTTGAATGCAATATTATAAATTTATAACATAAAACCAATTAATAATTATTTAAAACGTGACTTTCAACAATATTAAAAATAATTATATAAAAAAATCTTTTTATATATTGATATAAATAAATAGTTATTACATATTTAATTTTTTATATATCAGAACATTAAAAAAAAAATCAAATCTAATCTTCACGTCAAAAGTAAAATAGCATGATCTAATGTGGATTAAACATAAATTTATTTATATTAAAAATAAATAAAATTATAAAAAGGGAATTTTATTAGAAAAAAATTATATAAGATTTTTTTATGAGGTAAGTGGACAGATAAATCTATAATGTTTAATGCCAATTGTAAAACTAAAATAACAGCCACTTTAATAATAAAAGTTTACAATTATATATATATATATATATAATAATAATAATAATAATAATAATAATAATAATATTGTAGATTATTTTTAAGAAGTCATACATAAAATTATATAAATTTATTATAAATACATATAATTTAAGCGTATTTTTATTATTTTACAAAATTTATCAGTTATGCTTTTAGAAAATTTTAACTTAACATGACAAAATGTTTAAATTTTATAAAATGTCAAAATAAAAACTATTCTAATTTTATTATTAATAACCGATTTTATTAGAATAAATCTTAAAAATAATATATTTTAAAACATTATTAATTTATTTATTCAAATAACTTATTTAATATATATATATATATATATATATATATATAATTTTTTTTGATAATTTTTTTCTCTTTCTTCATTCACTCCTTATTTCATTTTTCTATCATTCTTCTCTGGTGCGTCTATCTTTTCTCACTTATTTTCATAATTGAATTCCTATATTCAAATTTAATAAAAATATGTTAGAATAAATATTTTAAAAATAATATTAAAACTAAAAAATATTAACTAATTATTTAAAATTATAATGAAAATAAATAATTTTTATGTTGACAGTAAATAATTAATTTAAAATTATTTTATCATAATAAATAATTACTCATCTAGTTAAAAAATATCAAATATTTATAAATTAAATATATCTTTTATTTAATAATTACATCTATTATAATAATTTTAAGTTATGATAATTAATTAGATTAGATAATTTAAAAAAATATTTATTAAAAAATATTTTAAAATAAATATTTTTTATAATTATAACATAACAATAATATTTATAATATCTCAAATTTATTATATAATATTTTTAAAATATAATATATTAAATTATAATATTTTTTAATTTATTTAAATATTTTTATTTTTAATAATAATAAAAGACTTGAATTATTAAATTTTAATATATTAAGAATAAAATGAAACGAAAGAAAAATAAGAATGATTTTGTATATAAAGAATAAACAAATCGAATGGGATAAATAAATTTTAAAAAATTATTTAATCAATTTTTTTAAAATATATTATTTATAATATTGATTATTTTATTACTACTTACCTAACTAAAATTTAAGAATTTTATGCAAATCCACAAATAATTGTGATGACACGAGATTTCAGATTTTTTTTTTCTGTTTAACATAAATTTTCATATATAACATTATGTAATGTTTATATGAATATTTAAATGAGTAACACACTTTTATAAAAAGTCAAATATTTTAAGATTTTTTTCTTTATAACATCCTATTAAATTTATAATTCAGAAATAATATCATTCTATCAATATTTACCTGACTAGCATAATTTTCTTACATAGTTAAAATTTGATACTTACGAGATCGAATTTCAACATCACTAATTAATATAGTTTTAAAAACAAAATAATATTTATTAAATATAATAATTAAATATAAATATATATATTTTATATAATATATATATATATATATAAATATTATATATATATATAACAAATATATTTAATATATATATATAATATTTAAATATTTATTTGTATTTTTATAAATATAATTAAATTTAATAAATATATATTTATATCTTTCTATATAACATTTTTACAAAATAAATTATATATATTATTTAAATATATTTTTAATATAAAATAATTTTAATAAGTAAAAATAATATTTTTTATAAAAATATATAAATATTTTTATTATATTTTAATATATTTTTACTATATTTATAAAAATATATTAATAATATAATTATATAAATATATTTTTATGTTATTTAAAAAATATATTTATATTTATTTCATATAATTATATAAATAAATTTTTTAAAAATATTTATATTTATTTTATATAAAATATATATATATATATATATTTATATTTAATTATTATATTTAATAAATATTATTTTATTTTAAAAATTATATTAATTAGTGAGGTCGGATTTCGACCCTGGGAACCAAATTTCAATCGTATATGTACAAATAGTATTAGTTAGGTAAATATTGATAGAATGATGTTATTTTTGAATTATAAATTTAACAGTGTGGTAAATATTAATAAAATGATGTTATTTCTGAATTATAAATTTAATAGCATACTAAAGGAAAAAAAAATTGAGATTTCACGTTATTTATGTTCCAACTAATGAAAATCCAACGCATGATGATGCAAGAAATACTGAAACATTTCAGAATAATTTTAAATTAATAAAATTTTGCTAATAGTTTAAATAATGAAATCACACCAAATTAAATATAAACACAATTAATGAAAAAAAATCATGTCAATGTGATTTATTTTGTTTCATGTTTTCATGGTTATTAATAATAAAGATATTTCATATTTTAAATTAAGTAACTTGACATGATAAATGAATTCAACGTCAACATAAAATAAATATTCTAATTTTTTATTCACACAATGTAAAGAACATTTCTGAACAAACAATTTTATTATTACTTACCTGAATAAAATTTGAGGATGTTATGTAAATATTTCATCTATTTCAATGACATCCAAATTTTTCATTCAATAAATAATTGCGTAATATGAGATTATTACCGCATTAATTATGGAATCCAACACATGATGACAATGCAAGAAATACCTAATGATAAAAAAGTTAATTATGTTATGTATCAGCATAATTTCAAACTAATGAAATTTTGCTAAAATCTAAATAATAAATATCACACCAAATCAAATTAAAAAAAATAATGAAAAAAAAAACCGTGTCCATGTGATTCATATTGTTTAATGATCTGCTTCATGGTTTCGTAGTTATTAATAATATAAAGATATTTTTAATTTAAAATTAAGTAACAATACATCTTTCCCTCATTTGTATTTAAATTAATAGTATACATTAACCGAACCCTAAAGTGATTTTTAGAAATTATAAATTCTGAAATCTATATCATTTATAATATAAATGATTAAAATATGTATAATTGTTACAAAAATATTTATATATATATATATATATATATATATATATATATGAAATCAATGAGTAATATGTTATTTCATTGGTTGCCTAATACAGTAATCAAACATTATTATTTTTATTTTAAAAAGTTAGATTCTTACAATTTCAAAATATTATTTTAAAAAATTTAGTTGAAAAACACTGTTAAACAATAAGAGAGTGATAAAAAAACAACTTTGGAAAATTTGTGAGAGAAAGTTGCAGAGGTTGTTATATATATATTTGTGGCAAAGCTTGGACCTTCTGCACCAACTGAGTTTATACCCAATATTATACGTAGCCAATGGCAACTTCTTCTTTCTTCTTCGCCTTTCTGTCGCTGTTGCTCACTGTTTCTGGTTTCTTATCTTCCACTAACTAGTCAACTTTTGTTATATGGAGTGTGAATTGAATGTACTAACAGATTTGTTATCTCTTTTTGTATATTCTGATGGTTTTTTATGACTATGTTTTTCAGATTTGTTGGTGCAAACACATGGCCTTAATTTTGGAATTAACTACGGACAAGTAGCCAACAATCTTCCATCTCACTCTCGCGTGGCTGATCTTATAAAATCTCTGAATGTCCGCAGAATTAAACTCTTTGATTCTGATCCAAATGTTCTATCTGCATTCTCCAATTCAGATGTGGAAGTCTTCATAGGACTAGAGAATGCTAACCTGCCAAGCATGACAGACCCTTCTAAGGCTCAAAGCTGGGTTCAACAGCATGTTCAACCTTACATTTCAAAAACAAAATCACTTGCATCATTGTAGGAAACGAGGTCTTCAGCTACAATGACATTAATCTCACAGAAAATCTCCTCCCTGCAATGCAAGGTGTGTATAATGCCCTTGTTACTCTAGGACTAGCACAACAAGTTACTGTTACATCTGCTCATGCTTTCAACATTTTATCCTCCTCATTCCCTCCTTCATCTGGAGCATTCAGGCAAGATCTGATACAATATATTCAACCCCTCCTTAAATTTCATGCTGAAATCAAATCACCTTTCTTCATTAATGTATATCCCTTTTTTGCATACAAGGATAACTCAAAACAAATATCCTTAGATTATGTGCTATTTCAGCCAAATTCAGGGATCACTGATCCAATCACCAATTTGCATTACGATAACATGTTGTTTGCTCAAATTGATGCTGTCTATGCTGCCATGAAAGCACTGGGGCAAACTCATATTGAAGTGAGGATTTCAGAAACTGGTTGGCCTTCTAAAGGAGACCCTAATGAAGTTGGAGCCACACCTCAGAATGCTCAAACATACAATCGTAATCTGTTGAAAAGGATAGCGCAGAAGCAAGGCACTCCTGCAAAACCATCTATCCCAATTCATGTTTTTGTATTTGCACTTTTCAACGAGAATATGAAACCTGGTCCTACATCAGAGAGAAACTATGGTCTTTATTATCCTGATGCCATCCCAGTTTATAATATTGGATTACAAGACTATCAACGATCCAACTCTAACGTAAGTATATACATAATACATGAGAAATTCAACCCCTTTACCTGTGAAAAGATTCATTACACTGTTTTTTTTTTTTTTTTTAATTTTTCTAAAACATTTTATGTGTCTATTAATGTATCTAATTCTCTCATTGATTGTTATGCAGGTGTTGTTCATCAATTTTCTAGTGTACATAGTTACATTTTTGCTGTTCACTTGGGAGCTTTCCAGATACTGACCATATTCTTTTGCAAGAAGTTCTTGAAAATATTTTGTGTTTTCCCTCAATTTTTTATTCGCAAGTTTCCATATTGTTTTGTTTTTCCTTTTTATTTCAATTTCAGTAACTAGGGATACCCAGGATAAAACTATTGTGTTGTGTTTTTTTTTTTTTTTCATTTAATTCTCGATTCGAATAAATATATATTGAAAAATTATCTTAAACATAAGTTCAATTTTTTTAGAAGATAAAGTATAATATGTTTTATGACTTGACGATGGGAAAAATAAGCATCTTGATAAAGGGAGTTTTTTTTTTAATTTATTTATATATTTCATAACCTAATAATGGCAAAACCGCAAAAAAGAAAAAAAAACACGAGCTTTCGTGTTTGATTTCACCGTTTAAAATTTCATATTTACGTTTTTTATATAAATAAAATTACTTTTTTAAGATAATTTCAATTTCACGTAGCATTAAATTCTATTCAACGTCATGTTAAATATACATTAAACTTATTTTATATAATTTTATTTTATTATTAATACATAAATTAATTTTAAAAATTATTTACTTTCTTAGAAATATTTATAAAAAGTCGTAGAAACTATTTTCTGGAAATTACGGGTTTAGTTTTTTAAATATAAGATCTAACCTTATTTCACTTTTAACAAACAAATTAAAAAAATATATTATTATTAATATTATTTTATAAAATTTTGAATTGTCTATTACATAATTTATAATTTTTTTAATAATTTTTTGGATGGATCACATCAAAATACACTTATAAATTATCCATATGTAATTTTTAAAAAATATATCTTGAAACCTAATTTACATTGCAGTTAAATAAAACTCGTATGAAGCATTGTCTTCTAAAAAAAGAATGGGGTATAGCTAGAATATCCGAGGGTGCAGGAAGTAAGTGCAAATCTTAAACCATTTTATTAAAAGCAATGTGAGTATGGGGCTCAAGCCCCACACTAACAAAATATCAAAGACTTGAAGCTAACATTATTTTTTATTTTTTCATAAAATAAGAAAAGACCAAATAGAATTTATAACAACTTAAAACATATATTTAAACTAACTACTTTATATCAGTTTAAAATTAGGTAAAATAGAAAAAAAATGAGTAATGATTATTTTTTTATATTACGTAATATATTATAATTACTAATTTTAAAAATATAAAGTATATTTATCATTTTATCTTTAAAGATAAAATCATATTTACAACATATTAGAAAACTTAAATATATTTTTAATCACTTTAATTTTTTTTTGTCAAAATTAGTTTTGGTATATTTTTTTTAAAGTTGATTATTTAGTCGTTGAATTTTAAAAAATTATACGAATTTAGTTTTTTTTTATCAATTTTACGAAAATAAAGAATTATGTTTAATTTAGGTACAAAGAATAATTAAAAACTTATATTATATATGAAAGAATAAATTCACAAATTTGAAAGTACAGTAAGTATTAAAAAAATATACAAGACAAAAATATATTTTTTCCTTAAAAAATATTTTATAACTATTTAATAGTATAATATCAAAATTAATATAGGAAATAAATCATACGTAAATAAATGAAAATATATTAATAAAAATAAAATGTTGAAACAAAATTATTGGATGGAAAAGTAAAATATATATATGATGCTTTTACTTATTTTAAATAATAAATATATTATTTAACTAAATTATATATCTAAACAAATTTAATTATCTTAATTTATATTATTCTTTATTATTATGATTATGTTTATTAGTATTTTTTTAGTGTTAAACTAACTATAATTAACCAGGATTAAAAACATTTGAATAAAAATATCAAGATTTAAAACTAACAAATACTTTTACAAGACAAAATCATATAGAAGATATTCATACAGAAATGTAAAATTTAAAATTAATAAATAATTTGTTTACAAAGATAAAATAATGAAAAATGTATATTTTTATTTAGTAGATAGTATCTCACGCATATTAAGTATGTATGACTTTAGGTAACAAATCTTTTTCATCATCCATAATAAAAAAATATGAATTTCAAGAAATTATTTAAATAATAATAATAATAATAATAATAATAATAAAACACTGTTAACCCCTATTTTATGGTGGTTATCATTTTCAGCTAATTAAAAAATATATATATTGATATTTTGACAATCAAAAACCATACAATCCTTTAAATAACTCATTTTTATTAATATAATAATATATATAATGATTTAATAAAAATAAAAATAAAGGAAAATTATTATTATAATATTAAAAAAAGTTGTTTATAGGAATTGTATAGATTTAGATTGTCAAAGTATCATATTTATATATATATATATATATATATATATATATATATATATATATATATATGGTAAAAAGAGGTGTGAGAAGAAGCTATTAACATAAAATATGAGGTTTTAGAATAAAGAAGCTAAAAATAATTAACTATGCTCTACCAAATTAATACAATAATGACAAATTATTACTTCTTTTTACATAAAATAATTGTGCTCTCTTCCTTCATACATGGATACACCAAGTTGATAAAACAATCTCCAGAGTTAAAGGATAGAACTAGGTCATCATAATATTCTTTTATTTAAATAATTTTTTTTATTAATAAGAAATTCAAATCTAACTTCATGTCAACTAAATATATGGCCAAATGCCACAGCATTTGTTAATTAAACTCTGCATAAGTCTATATAAAATTTAGAATGATTAAACTTATTTGTTATGTTATGAATGAGAATTGAATAATATATATTCTTATATTGGTGCTGTGAAAGATCATTATTATGATATTCTTTTACAAGTTTTCACCTTCTTTCGATTTACAGTTTGTGTTGTTGTCTATCTGTCTTTAGTTCTACTCTTCCTGTCCCTGTTGCTGTCTCTCTCTTTCCACTCACACATGACATTCACAAGCGTGACTACATGTTCAACACTCAACAGCACGCAACATAAAAAAAACAGAGTTAATGATTCTCACGTCCCACACCCTACAAACGCTATTACACTTTCCTTCAAACAAACTCCAACTCATAACTGTTAACCTTGGCATTTTGTGAAGGATCAGATCACAAATCTTTGAGCTTTCGTTTTTTATATTCCAAGTAAAGGCCTCTTTCATTGCCAGCCATGACCGAGGTCCTCCTCTCCCCACCCCATTTTGCATCTTCTTCATCACCACCAACAACAAAGACAAGGACAACCTCAACCACAACAACCTCAACCCCTTCTTCCTCTTCATTCTCTCGCAATGCCTTTCTCCGACCACACCTCTCTCTCTTGGCTCTTCTGTTGACCCTTCTCAGGAAATCCTTCCTTCCTCGCAAAACCATCTCCTCTATCATGGACATAGGCTCGCCAACTAACGTGCGCCATGTTGCTCATGTCACCTTTGATAGGTTCAATGGTTTCTTGGGTTTGCCTGTTGAGTTTGAACCTGAAGTCCCCAGAAGGCCTCCTAGTGCTAGGTGTGTGTGTGAGAGAGAGAGAGTGTGTATCATGCATGTATTTACAAGAGATAAAGACACTTCTTCATTGTTGAATTAGCCAGAGTCACATTTCTAGCTGCATGTTGATTTTGAATAGTTTTAACATTTAAGAGGAATATTATGTGTTATTTCTAATGCGCATTATGGTTTTGATTACAAGTTTAATTTCTATACACAATCAGTTTTCACATTGTTGGTCAATAAAAAAAATCATACTAGATATAATTTCTAAAGTAATTATTGTAAAAATTAACGTCCACCATCAGAATTCGTGTTAAATATGAGTTTTAAGGTTACTGATATAAAAATTAATATGACAATTTATGTTTATATGGGAATATAGGAGCCTTTTTTTACCTTCGAATGTATTTAGATTAGAGTCTTTAATTTCAAGGCCGTGTGTTCTGCTTTATTTAATTTCTTTTGTTTATTTTTCACATGTAGTGCATCTGTTTTTGGAGTTTCAACAGAATCCATGCAGTTGTCATATGACACAAGAGGGAACAGTGTACCAACGATTCTTCTGTTGATGCAAAAGCATATGTATGCTCAAGGAGGGTTGCAGGTTGGTCTTCACATTTGTTGTAACCTGTAAATTTCACATACCATTGGTGGTTATATATGCAATTTGTGTGAAACCAACAAAAGTGGTAGTCTTGCTACAATGCACTGCTCTCTGGGGACCTGTTTGTTCATTTTACAAGGGATTACTTTAATGTTCCTGGTGGGTTAAAAAGTTTAATTTGCACATGCAGGTGGAGGGGATTTTCAGAATTAACGCGGACAATGGTCAAGAGGAACATGTTAGGGATCAACTGAATATGGGAGTGGTCCCAGAAGGCATTGACGTACACTGTTTGGCAGGGCTAATTAAGGTATAGCATTGCAAGATGATTGCTTGCTTCTGGCTCCTCTGTTGGTGTACATGTTTATAAATGCTTGTTTGGTGAATTGAACTGAATCATCATATTGAATAGAAAAGGTCTCTTCTAAATATAATACGATGATTACTTTTGCTTGTAGAAAACAGAATGATTATTTTTATTACTATTTTCAATGAAGACTAAAAGCCTATAGTTCTTTTTCTTTTTTGTAGATCTAGCATGTCATTGAATCAATCACTTGTGCAGATTGAATTGATTCAACATGTAATGATAAGAGAAAGGAACTTATCAATTTCAAACAGTTGTCTGTCTATGTCTAATAAGTGAGACAAACAGACATATTTTCGAAACAGTACCTCATTGCATATCTAGATCCCTTTTATTTGATCAGATGACTAGTAGAATTGTCTACCCATGCAATATTTGGTTTACAGGTTAGATGGTGAACTGGGAATAAGGAATATCCTGCATGGAGGGTGTAATATTTTTTACATTGATAATGTCAGTAATTCTTTAATGCAAATCTTAATTACTCGAGTTATTGAAATAAAACTCAATTTCTAATTGAAGAACAGTTGCGTTTAATTTTTTTTAAATCTAATATTTCCAAATTTTCCTTAGGAGTCACTAGCCAAACAAGTGTTCTATTGTTACTCATGTACTCATTCAGTTTTCTAATTACCAATTCTTTTAATTTTGTTAAATACAAAAGAACAATTCGTAATTACTGGATTAGTTTTTTCCTTTTTAATTCAATGTTTGTTAAACCCAACAAACACAACTAAAAACTATAATACTAGGTTTTAAATCTGTGAACTTTGAGATCCGGTTGGAAAGTGGAAACTAGAAACAGATGTCTTGTGACTCTGTTGTACTTATTTATTTGTCAGGTCAAGAATTTAAATATCATCATGAATGTGAATCGTAAAAGAATTTTATCTTCTCTTTCCATTGCTTCTAGCCAAGCTTAGTGAGAACCTTGAATTTTTTTATCTGCTTTCTGTTCTTCATCTATCATGTACTGATCAATTGCATTCATATCCGCCACTGCTTCTATCTAAATCTTCAAACTTTTTACTGCTAGGCACATACTACTTGTCAACTCATGCCTTTTGGACAAACAAAACAAGTTTCCCAACATTTTGGTTCAATTTCTGGTTCATAAAACTATAACACTACTTAGTTGGAATATGTCATCTTTACTGTTGTAGTTTTGACCTAGCAAGCAACAACCAGAACCCATCCCATTATTCCATTTAATTAAACTCTCATATATAGCAAACTATCTTGTTTATGGTGTGATATAAGGTAAATGACACAACATTCTTTTTTAGCTGTTGCTTACAATCTATTCTTTGTGCTTTTACTTTGGCATAAAGATATGCTTAATGTGTTATGAACTACATGATAATTTATTTTGATATTCTTGTATTTTTCAAGGCTTGGTTTAGGGAACTTCCTACAGGCATTCTGGATTCATTATCACCGGAGCAGGTCATGCAATGCCAGACTGAGGAGGAGTGTGCTGAACTAGTGAGACATCTACCTCATACTGAAGCTTCACTCTTGGACTGGGCCATCAATCTGATGACTGATGTTGTCCAACACGAACATATTAATAAGATGAATGCACGTAACATTGCCATGGTTTTTGCGCCAAACATGACTCAGGTGTGTTTCCATATTTTTTCATTCTCAAGTGATTGCAGGGAAGAGAAGATGTACTATATAAGGGCTATATAATTTTTCTTTCTACATTACTAAATTGCATATGTACATCTTTTGAAATCCAATTAAAGTTTTCTTAGCTGTTAACATCTTTTCTACTTTATTTGTTTGATATTGGTCATCGCCATTCTGAAAATACTTTACCCTTACTGTTGTGAGTTTCTCCAAGAGTAAATAAAGATGCCACTGTGATAGTTGTTCTCTTTAATAGCAGAATAGTAGGTTTGATGCAATGAAACTGTTTGGTCTTTCTGACTGCAGATGGCGGACCCTATATCTGCATTGATGTATGCAGTTAAAGTAATGAACTTCTTGAAGACACTCATATTAAGGACACTGAGGGAAAGAAAGGATTCTGAGGTAGAATCTTATCCTAGATTTTATGTAGAACCTTCTGATGGTAATGGAAACCAAAGACTTTTAGAGTCCTTCCAGCAAGATACTCCTGCAGAAAATGAACAGGCTCAGGAAAACTTTGTTTTAGAGAAAATCGCCTTAGAGTTTCCTCCTGAATCAGTCCAAAACAACTCAACTCAAGGAGAAACTTGCAGTTTGACAAACTCTTCTGAGAATCTTGTTAGCAATGAGGAATTGTATTGTGAGTTTCCACCCGTAGGAAACATGGGAAAGGGTAAAGCTGGTCAATCAAATAGATCAAATGCTAGAAAAGAATCCAAAAAGACCAGAGGCAGCAACCTGTGATCCATCAAATAGTGCCAGTTGAGAATAAAAGGAATTGGGAGTTTAAGCAACACAAATTCAAGATATAAGCAGATCAAAGTTTGGCTGTGAATAAGCACTGAAATGTAAATTGATTATTTGACATTGTGCCATTATAAGTTTGTTTGTCTCAAGTTGCAAATTGCTAGCGCAAGTTTGTGAAGTAGCTTCATATATTCCTTTTTTTTTTTTTCTTTTGTTTGTTTATTTAACTTATCTGATTTTAACGATAGTACTATGATCACACTAACATTGTAATGAATCTCATTCCTTGTGTGTTTAATTGTATTCATAATTATTCCCTAATCATAAATTCACCTTCTGTTCTTCTGTAAGTTACTTTTGGATCCTTACCCTACAAATTTGGTTTCCTGCCAGCGTATGTCTGGTCCAATAGGTTTGGAATAAAACTTGAATAGCCAAGATGCTATCAATATGACATGCTACACGTTTAGGTACAAGTGGAACCTATTATTCTTGGACCATAATAGTGGCAATACAACTTCACTCCAAACTTCTACGGAAAAAATATAGTATGATTGATTTGGGAGGCATCAGGTCCACAAAAGTAGACCAATGGCAAGATGTTTTATGAAGGTCGGAAATATCAAGAGGAATGAAAACCACAAAACTATCAAACTTTAAAAGAAAACACTGCAAGCTACTTTCCCACCAAAACGCATCTATGGGTTAATTGTATGAACATTTCCATAATGGGACAAGGCGGTGAAAGGGAGGGCTACCTTGGACCCAACCATTTTCCTCGAAAGGAGTCAGCAAGTTTAAAGAGCTGAATCGAATATTCCTCTCCCTCTTTCCACCAATGATAAATAATGATCACAAGTGGGAATGGAGGAACTAGATAGAAGCCATGCATTCCTAAGTTCTCAGTGATAGTTCTATTGGGAAAACTGGCAGATTTTTGGATTGAAAATCGCATAACTTTAACCAATGCAAAGTAGATAATGTGGTACTAGCTAGCCTATCAGGGGTGGTCACTAGACACTTGTATATAATCATGCCACGTTGCGTGCAATATTCAAACCTTTCAGAGCCACTTGGACAGTTACAATTTACAAGTGGAGGTTAATTGAAAGCACCATGGAAGTGTGTGGCTGCAAGTGTATGTGTGCAAGTGCACATCATTGTAATCAGAACAGCACCATGGAAGGATCGATTCATTGCTCAAAACTTGCTCCTCACAAACCAAGAAAGTTGTGGTCCTGTCCTTTGTTTCCTTCACCAAAGGGAACGTCCAATTGGAGTGCCATCTGCACATGCAAGCTCTTGGTTATGCTACTTTTATGTATTCATCTTCACAGACAAATTAATGACTGTAGCTTTTTTATGTATTTAGGTAGAAGCCTAAAAGGCTAAAACATTTGTTGCCTGATGCAATCCGTGTATTATTTGCACCCAAGACTGGGTGTATGTTTTGGAAGATACCAAGTCATCAAGTCATTTCCATGACCGTGTATAAATGTAACTTTCTGGTTGGAAGCCCTTTTAGTAAGGGTGAGAGTACCTAGACAACTTTACCAATACATGGTATACTAATTTAGGGTGGATTTTGCTAAGGTGGTGCTTAAGAAATCAACTTAACGTAATTTTTATTTTTAAAATTTTTATTGTGGATAATGAATAATGAAGCAGAATTAAGATAAGTCTTATCACTACACAAAGAGCTAACTGATATAGGATTCTGCAACAACCAGCAGTTTTAAATTTGAGTTTGAGCATTAGATATGTGATTATCTGTTAGCCAAGTTGAACAAAACTATCTGTTACAAAGGATGATGTTTTGACTTCCAAGAGAATTAAAATAAATCTTAGCCTATAGTTAGTTACCTAGGACTTTTCTATGGCCAGAAAATCCTGGCTAAGGTAAGTAAGCATAACCACCCGTTGGCCATTTATTAGCCACACCAAAAAACAAGATGCCATAAATCAGAACTTTCTACTACATATATAATAGCATCTTCCTCTTGATTTTTTTCAACTCATGCTACTTACGTGCTTCTCTTTACTCTTTTCTCCTAATCCCTCAACTACCAAAAGTTTGCACTTAGAACACCCCTTTCTTGCTTGCTTGCTTTCTTTCTTTATTTCTGTGTTTTGTTCTACACAAAGCACCAACTCATACAACAGTGGCTAGCAAGAAAGGCATGACAACATGTGGGAGCCTGCATCACATCTTCGATACCCTATTGCCAGAAAACCCAAGGCTGCTTGAATCCCTCTCATGGAACCAAATAAAGCCCGTAAAACCCACAGACCAAACCCTCTCCTTCACTGAGATATTTGGAGAACTCCATTTCAAGGAGACTTCTATATCACCACCCTCTACTCCCCCTATTCCTACTTCATCATCAACTGAGACAACAAGCAACACCAACAGGCACAAAAGCAGTGACAGCTTCTCATCCTTGAGTTCTGAGAGTTTGCACCTCTGCACTGAGGGTCTTGGCTTTGAGAGCTCGGATGATGTTGAAGACTTAAAGGATGAAATGAATGAGAGTTGGGAAACATGTAAGGAAAAAGAGGCTGTCAAAAGGTATGCGACTTCAAGGGTGAGTGAGTACCCTCCTCCCATTTCAAGCATAGGGAGGAGCGGAAAGCCTTGTGTTTGCTTCAAGTCCTACAGGAGTGAAGGGAGATTTGTTCTCGAAGAGATAAGGATTCCCACGCACGAGTTCCTCCATGCTTGTAGGGAGGATGGAAGGCTGAAGCTGAATTTTGTTCACCCTGGCGAAGAACTTATAGAGGAAGATGAAGAAGATGACGATGCTGACGTAGAAAGTATAGATGAAGAAGAAAACATGGGAGAAGAAAATGATGATAATTGTCTGACAGATCATGTTAATGAAGTAAAAGAGACTGATGCTCAAGTCACTAGCCACTCACTTGATGAAAGGGCAGAAAATTTGAATGCTAAGGAAAATTCACAAAACTAAGAAAGAAAAAAGAGATCAAAGCACTGTCGTGATTTTGTATCTTTTCTTAAATATATGTCAGCTTTTGTCTTAATCTAAGGATTTTGTCTGATACAAGTTGGAACGTTCTGTCGAGTTTTTGTTCACACGCTAGTTCTAATTTGAGTATGAATTTGATTTTCAGAATTCTTTTCTTAAGAGATAGTAACTGAACTTGCATGTGTTTAGACAGTTGAATCAATGAAGTTATAACATTTAATATGGGGTTCCATTTTTTCAAACGAGTAGTTCTCTGTCAAATTCATATTTCTTACCACAGAAATTACAAAGAAAAAACGAAGGGGAAAAAGGGACGCAACACACACAAAATGAAAACAAAAACAAAAGGGTTCTACCCTTGAAACGAAAGAATTGTTAGTCCCGAATATTAGGTTTGATTTGGTTGTATTTTGGATTTTGATTCGTTTTAAAAAATAAAGAGTAAATTTTTTTTTTTTTTAAACAATAATAGTTACTCCATATCGTGAGTTGTAAGTAAAATGAATTGAACAAAAATTCAATTTAATATGACTTGTTGTACGAATTTTTTTTCAACCGGTAAAAACTGTAAATAAAAAGAAAATCAATATTTATTTAATGTTGTATTTCAAGTAAATGGTACAATTAATATTTATCGAAAATAAATAAAACAATTAAACTTTCTATTAAAAAAATTAATTGATTAACAATTAATATTTATCGAATAGAAAAACATTACTATAAAATTTTTATAGTATTAGAAAAAATATAAAAAAATTCTTCGGCTCAAAACTAAAGAAAAGTATATTCACAGGACATATAAGGTATTTTTCTACCGAGTGATGCTGTTTTGGCAACATTTTCTCCTAATATATCTAACTAGAAAAAAGATGGAAAGAAAAGAAAAAGTATAAAGTTATATAATAAAGATAAATAAAACGAAAAAATAAATTGTGAAAAGTATGGTAAAATACTTGAACGAACTAATATCCCTTTTTCTTTTTATACTAAATAAAGGCAAGGAGAATGTAGAAAGTTCCATAAAATATATCTTTGAGCCCTTTTCTCTTTCTATGCAAATTTTGATCCCTTTCTATGGGGAGAATGTAGAACAATTATTAAAATGTGCATGAATTGATAAAAATCTAATGAGTCTAGTTAAAAGTCGAATGGAAAGAATTGTAATTCTAACAATTAACCAGTGATAAATGTCAATGTCACAAATTTGATTTTCAACAAGAAACTTGCTGAATGATCTATATAAACACATAACAAATCACTTGTCCAAACAAACAGCAAATTTAGAGCACTTGAAAAAACTTTCGGTTGAAATTGCATAAAATGAAATATCATGTTCATACATGGTCAAATGATGTAGATCAATTGCTTATGATAAAGTGCACAACAAAACATCAAATTACTTAGGATCATCAATTCCACATGTTTATCAAATTGCATGGAATTAGCATATGATATTTTTGTATTATCCTTGTTCTTGTTCTTGACTTCTTGGTGAGTGATAAATGCTCTAGATGTTTGTAAAGGCTTAAACCATTCCAGATATCATTGTATAACAGTTACAAGGTAAAATGTTTATCTATCACCAACAGTATTGTTGCCATCTAATGTTAAAAGCACCTTATATAGATCTGGACGCCTATCACGGAATACCCCCCAACAATGTCTCATGGATTTGATCTTGTTTAAATCAAATTTTGCAATAAGAACTGCTTCATCTTTATCGTCAGCAATTGATACAATTTCTCCAGTAGGTCCTGCATGATGGTAGAACAGAGTCAAAAGAAAGACACAAACAGAGAACTTATGCCTGCAGCTATATCTTTCCAAGTATGTGAAGAAATGAAGTAAAAAAATTATTACAATATAAAATAAGAGGAAAGGGGTAATAGTAGATACCAAGATAAGATTAGCTAAGGTTGATATGATCATATGATGATGAAAAAGTATATGATATTTTCAATGAAAGGTTATCCCTCACTGCACTGGTCAACGAGTGAGGTGTGTTTGTGTGTCAAAAGAAATCAGTTCAGTCAAATTACCTGCTATGAAGGAGTTTCCATAAAATGTTATCTCACTTTTTCCATGCTCAGTCTCAATTATCTCCTTTCCAATCCTATTTGAAGCCACAAGAGGTACCTGCATTTTCCAAAATTATTTTATATATTATGTTTAAAAGTTTAAAGTATTAATGTTTACATAAATGGTTCAACCCTTGACATTTTTCAGAAGATTATCAAACAGTAAATTTTCTCTTCTCTGATACATATTTTAGCATAGTATCTTATTTACCCAACAACTAATGCTGAAGGAGTCCTAGAATCTAGATTTGGAAATAGAAACAGCTGCCAGCAGATTATATATAAGAGATGCCAAGATATGCACCTTATCGAAACACATCATAAATGACTATGTGGATGTGTAACCATTAACTTGTATACAAAACCTACCAAATTGGCCCCAGCATGTCCTTGCATTACTCGTTTCCAGTGGTCACGTGAATCAATGCTTCCATCATGTGGTTCAGTCCCAATAGCAGTAGGATAGAATAAAATCTCAGCACCTTGAAGCACCATTGCACGGGCTGCCTCAGGAAACCACTGATCCCAGCAAATAGCTGACATGAAAATAAATAAAAATAGTAATAGAAACCAAGAATGTTAACTTCTGTTTCTATCTGGAAGAAAGACAAAGAATGAAGATTCCTAAATGTGTTTGGTTGCTTTAGCAAAGATAAAAGTTCAACATTGGGAAAATATTATTTTTTTCAACATTTTTCTGTCAGTCTAAAAGTCTTGATACGACCACACTTACTAGAGGTTTGAGTAGGCAAAAAGAATAGAATGCATACAGTTATAGTAATTATAATTTCATACCAACTCCAATTTTTGCAAATTTAGTCTGGAAAACCTGTTCAGCAAAAGCCTCAATGTTACATGGTGTTCAATAGTCATAAAAAAGAACATAAAACCAAGGTCATTCAAAGCAGTGAATATCAATTAAGGCTATCTTAGGCACCCACCTTAAATCCAGTATCACCTGGATTAAAGTAGAACTTTTCCTCGTAACCTGTAGGGGAGATTGTTTGATGAGTTAGGATGTTATTCTAAATGACATTGACACATAATTTGCCTGAATATTGCATACCAGGTCCATCAGGAATATGGGACTTTCTATAAATCCCGAGATCAGTGCCATCAGCATCAATTATGGCTATTGAATTATAGTGTGCATTGTTTGCCTCCTCAAAGAAGCTAACTGGTATGACTACGCCTAACTCTTTAGCAAGTTTCTGCATCCTACATTATGAACATTGAAACAAGAATAAGATTCACTACAGGATGATGTGCATAAAAAACTACGCCAAAATCTGTTCCCCTGCCTCTAACAGCACTACGTTGAGTGGCATGCAAGTAGTGACTAAGAAGCAGATTACAGACGCTAACTTTTATATTATTTTACCTGAAGATTGTGGGATGGTCCTTATATGGTTTAGCTCTTTGAATGTAATCCTCTCTTTGTGCTTGACAGAAGTAATAACCTTCAAAGAGTTCCTGAAATTAGTCATACATTATTTATTAATATGATCCAAACACTCAACCCATCAAGGTTTGCCATCAGATTAATGAGTCCAGTAAAATTACTATCTTTACAATGATAGGATAAGGAATCTGTTTTGCCAGTATGAACATTAAAAGTCATAAAAAACCATTAGTCTGCCAGTCCGCAGTCTCAGATAAATAAATTTTCAGCAAAACATTCAGTCAATGTCAGCAATTACAGCCAAGAATCATGAGCATTATTAAGAAACCAATGCTAAACATTTAGTGAAAGAAAACAAGGTTTATTAAATTAATAAAAAGTGAAGAAGTAGAGATGTAATTTATTCAAATTTAATCAATATTCCATTTTACACAAGGATATGGCAGAAGAACAACTCTGTTCACTGTCTAACAGACTCACTCATAGTCCACTAGATTTATCATCTAGTGTATCCAATAGTTTGACCCACAAGTCTGGGACCATAACCTGTCAAGAATTGTAATATAGTATTGTATTATTCATGCTAATAAAATAGTTATATGAAAGAAATAACATCATATAAAAATTTTATACAATCTACAAAGTAAATTATAAATCAAGGGAAGTTATTTTCAAGTAAATTGATAACGTGATCTGATCTATGCTTCTAGTTCACAATCCCAATGAATGAAAAATATACTTAGCATTCATTTATGGGCATATCGCACTTGACGCTAACCTTATCAAGCAATTAAAGGAGTTAACAAAAGACTGAGGAATTAAATATTCTATAGTTGACACGTAACACCAGTAGGAAGCACTATCAGGGAAGGGCATCCCAGGTTTTAAATATGCTCACCTGAATAAGAATGATGTTTGCACCCAGTTTATGTGCAGCTCGAACCAGCCTGCAGAAGAGACAAAAGCATCACATAACATGGATAGAAATTTCATTTTTGACCAATGATCAATCTACCAATTATCCCTAATATGCTCAAACAATAATTAGGGAAGAAAAACATAAGCTCACAATGTTCAGTTAGAAGCTTTTGGTTTTAAAAATTGTTTTCTAAAACAGTTCCAACCACTTAATAACTAATTTCTCATCCAAATTCTATCAAGTAAAAACTGTTCATGAATAGAAAACAGCTGATAAATGTTATATCATGTTTTCATCTTGTTTAACCTCTGCCTCGGTTCCAAACTTTGATTTGTGCTTTATACCATCCTCCCCTAACTGTCTGAGCAATCTTGTTTAGTTGCATTTCAAAAACTAAAAACAGTCAGCAAAATTTGAAATTTTCAATAAATTTTAGTCACCAGCACTTCTCTTCTCAAATATAAATCAAACACACCCTTAATCTTTTACATAGGAAAGACAAAACAAGGGATCAACGCCAATATTAATTAAGAGTAATTTGTACAAACATAAATTTCCCAAGCTGCATGCATTGAAGCAAGCACGATAAGGGTTGACTCTGTGTACCAACCCTAAAGAAAATACTGTAATGTTTCCTTTGACTGCGAGCGATATTCAGTGGAAATAAGAGCCAAAAATTAAATCTTTTAACCTGGGCAGGATTCAGGGCATCCAAGGATGAAGAATCCGAAATGAATTGAAACTGAATGTGGGGAAATAAGAAAAGAGGTGAAATGGTTACCTCTCGGCAGTGTCAACATTCGTTGAGACATCATCGGTGCAAGCAAACTGCAGAGCGGAAACCACCACAGTTCTACCCTTCTCCATCCGTAGAAAGAACGTAATTAGACTCAGATTTTTGAAGATGAGAGATATTGTCCCTTTATTCCCTTTCTTGTAGAAGAGCTCTGCATGCAGTGAGATACACTGAAATTATTCGGACAACTTTTCTAGAGGGGGAATTCGATTCCAAGTCCCAGCTTCTAAAAATTTTTAGTCACGATATTATTCCATCCTTTCCATATGTGTTAATATTTTGGATTTATTTTGTCTTAATGTTACTCATTTAGATGTTTTTAGTTTAATTTTTACATAGGTCAAACATTCTTAATTTTGATGTTAGTTTGATCCTAAATGTTTAATTTTTATATTTAAGAGATTAATTACAAAAATTATATTGAATTGAGATTTTTAAAAAACTATTTTCATATTATAAGAGTTTCGAAATTCACAAAACGACAACCTCAATAAAAAAATTTGTTATTAAATACTATATTCTTTTATTAGTTCATTATATATATATATATATATATATATATATATATATATATATAATATAATATTTATGAACTATTTCTTAGACTTTAAATTACTTGAAATTAAGTTTTGTTTTTTATGTAATTAATATTGATAATCAATTAATAGAAAATTTACCAAGAACTTATAAAATTCTTATGTTATTTGCATCTCCCAAAATAAATTCCAATTATTTAATGAAATAATTATGTGAAAGTTTGTTTCAGTTGTGCTCTTTAAATCAATGTGTTTATTAAAAAAAAAAACTTTATATGAACACCTAAACTACTTCTTTACATTTAGAAAGAGAAAAAAAATTATATGAGATATGTGATAAATAGAAATATATAAAGAGGTGTGTATTAAGAATATGTTAAAAAAAAGTTGTAACATGTATAACAGTTTAAACAAACATTTATTGAATATTTTTATTTATTAATATAATCATAAAAGATTCTATTAAAAAATAATTAAAAACTATTAGTATATTATTAAATAACATTGTGATACTGTTATGTTTGAAAAAAATGTGAATTAATATTTTTCTTATTATTAAAATAGAGCAAATGTATATCATTAATTTTATTTTATTTTTATAAAAATTGTGCTCAAGTTTTACAATTATTTTCTATTTAACTAGATATGTATAAACATATAATAAAGAGTATGATTATTTTAATTATATAGATACATAATTAACTTTATAAATAATATATTTTAAAAAAATTATACAATTATAATCTTTATCAATTTTTTTATTTTATTATCCTTGTTTATTGGTTGTTTATAATTTTTTTAATATTTTTTCTTTGTTTTTATTCAGTTTTGATTTTTCTCTATTTTATTTAAAGTTTTTTTCTCTTTTCTCTTTCACTTATTTTTTTAATTAAAACTAATATATTAAATTATTTTTTAAAATTAATATCAAAAGTAATAAAATATTATTAATTATTTAACATTATAAAAATAATAAATAATTTTATTTATAATGACATAAATAATTAATTTAAAATTATTTTATCATAATAAATCAATTGTTTATCTAATTAAAAATTATTAAATATTTATAAGTTAAATATATTTTCTATTTAATAATTTAATCTAATCTGACTAGCGATTATTAGTTAATTTTGGATAATTTAAAAAAATTAATAATTATAACGTAATATTATTGTATATATTACAGTGACTTTCAACATATACTTCCAAAATCCTTATTTGCATTTTTCTAAGCCCAAAAGCTTATATCTGAAGCCACGATCCTGCATCATAAAATCGGTGGAGTCATTGATGAAATGCAATTTCTTTGTGCCACAGAGCAACCTTCTGATTCCAACAATTTTCACAAGTTGCAATCCTGCACTTCATTTTCTCATCAGGGACAGACATTATTTCATTTTTGTTTCGAGTTATTGGCAATTAGGCATCAGAAAAAAGTGACAGATGCAGCAATGTAAGGTGAGATCATTCTTAAGTTTAGGATAATGCCCTCGTTTTAGTATGGTTAATTTCTATGTATTAGTTGCTCCAATATGTGACATCTATTATGCAGCTGGATCTGATGTTTACAAAGCTCATTGTTGTTTTCATTTCGGCTGTCTGCAAAATTTGACACCTACTGTATAATTTTAATTATTCCACCGAAATAGTTCAGTGCGATAAACTTAGAGTTCTTCTTTTGTATTATTCTGTTGTCTTTTTAATGAAGAAGGTGAAGATTGAAGGATGTATGAAATATTGATAATATATCTAGACAGTTTTTGTCCTTCCTAAGTATGATCTTGATCATTTGTAACTTCTCACAATATTATGTTTCTGAAGGATTACACAAATTAGTGTGTATCATCTCAAACACTTTCTAGATATAGAGCAATTATCCATTTTAACAAGTCCAACAAAAGCAAAATTACAATAAACTTTTGTCTCCATGTGATTGGACTTGGGTATGAAGAGCTACTCATGCGAACGTTCTTGTTGCCTCAAATAGTTCTCTGCAGACCTCAATAAAAGTTACTTTGAAATCTCCATTGATGCTATAATACAAACGGCCAGCATATAGGGTAAAACCCCCTATATAATGTTCATGAAATTTGTAACACACGATCTTCAAACTACATTAATCCAATTTTTCCTTTGCTCAAACTTTCCTCAGAGATAATAATAAATAATCATGTCTTCCACCACCTTTAAAGTGCTCACACTGATCATATCTGTTGTTACCATCGTGCAAATATCATCTGCTGGTGATCCTGACATCCTCAGTGACTTCATAGTCCCTCCTAACACCACACTTGATGGCAACTTCTTCACCTTCACAGGCTTCCGTGCCATATTTTCCCCCACAACTCTCTCAGCTTTCAGAATACTGAAGGCAAGCAAGGCAGAATTCCCAGCTCTTGATGGACAAAGTGTCTCATATGCAGTCCTTGAATTCCCAAGTGGCAGCATCAACCCTCCACACACACACCCTCGTTCTGCAGAGCTTCTCTTCACCATTCAGGGTTCCCTTCAAGTGGGGTTTGTGGACACAACCAATAAGCTCTTCACTCAGACACTACAAACTGGAGACATGTTTGTGTTCCCAAAGGGTCTCGTGCACTTCCAACACAATGTGGATCCTAAGAAACCTGCAGTGGCTATATCTGCCTTTGGAAGTGCCAGTGCTGGGACTGTTTCAATTCCTAACACTCTCTTCAACACCACCATTGATGACAATGTCTTGGCTTTGGCGTTCAGGACTGATGTTGCCACCATTCAAACTTTGAAGAAAGGCTTTGCTTCCTAAGCTTGATGATGGATAGAATAAACTAATTACTACTTTTAGTTTCCACATTGTGACATTATGCCTGCTTTGTTAAACACCAGTGCTAGTATTTTGCAGGTCAATAAGTAGTTCTATGAAAGGGTGTGAGATGCGAAATGCTTGATCCAATTATTTCTGTAACTGTAATCACCCCAAATGTAATAAAGAACTTTCTTTTGTTACCACTTTTATCAAATAAATTTTAATTACATGCAAATAACTTAAAATTCAACATCGAATGAGGATTTATGTGAACAGATTAACTCAAAAGAACTCGGGAAGTTTCAATTGAAAAAAATTATCAATTTTAACGATTGTTGTTGGACCATTGAGACACCCATTATTTCAATAAATAAAATTTTCTCTCCAAATGTCCTATTTTTAGGAGATGTGTTAAAAGTATCATATATCAACTAGTAAGTAATATAGAATAAGTGTGAGTAACCAATCACCTCATAAAATAGTTTTCAGAGACTGAAATGAATCAAAACCCCAAATCTAAGAGGTTAATCACCAAGCAAAATCTCAGCAACTTATGAGAAATCAAACCATCATCTGTAAGAAGGAAGAGAAGAGTTAACTAAAATTCCTTGATCTCTTTTGTCAACCCACATAAAAATTTTCCAAACTGTCGCTTCCATTGAAATTTAAAATCAAATTCGTGTATTATTTAAAATACTGAGATTGAAAAACATTTTCCCCTGAATAAAATCATAGGTGTGTTACAAATGACATTATTTGATGATGTTCCTTTTCTTACGGGCGAGTTTTGTTGAGGGAGAACCTAGAGTGTGGGAGGCTTTTACGAAGTGCATTAGTGTTTGATACTAGTTGTGTTAAGGTTTGAAGGTTTGAAAACAGTTAACGCTGAAGAATATGCTTCTGAATAAAAAATATACTATGTTACATGTAAAAGTATAATACTATTTCTCTTTTCACGGTGCTCAATGAATAACAATGTTCTAAAGTATTTAAGATACAATAATAACATCAAAGTGGACATGCCGGAGTGGTTATCGGGCATGACTAGAAATCATGTGGGCTTTGCCCGCGCAGGTTCGAATCCTGCTGTTCACGATTTTTTAATACTATTATTTTCATTTCATTTTTTTTTCAAATACTTTTTGCACACTGATCCCTTGTTTACTTGCCACACGCCCAACAATACAATACTTAATAACTAGATTCATTTCAATAATAGTTATAATAAAAAACCAGAAAAGCATAGCCATTATTATTTCATTTTCCTCGATCTATCATCTGCTTCAAAATTCACCTCACCGTTCTCTAGCTCCGAACCCGAACTGCAAATGGATCTAAACGACCCGAACCGGTTCCGCAACGGCAAATCCACTCTCTCCTCAAGGGAGCGCTTCCTTGGTGTTCCAACCCACGCGACGAGATTCCAAAACCCTTCCTCCAACGCCACCGCCACCGACGACGACCTAATCGAAGGCGACGTCGTTTTCTCCAACAATAACCATAGCAACGACGACGAAGACTCCATCGAACCCTCTTCTTCCTCTTCTCCAATTCCCAACCACCACCACAAGGCCTTCGCCTTCGGTCACTCCGACTCGTCGTTCGGCATCCTCGCTGCGCTCCCGGAGAACGACCACCCCTCCCCCAACGGCTCGCACTTCGTCCACCAGAAACCCTCCGTCTCTGTCGCCGTCTCGCTCTCCTCCTCTTCCTCCTCATCCTCCGCTCGCCACATTCCGGCGATCCCGAAGCCACCGCCGGACCGGATTCCCTCCTCCTCCGTCAAGTTCCACCAGTCCGCACCAGTGAATGTTCCGATGTTTCCGACAAGGAGGCGCCACGAGTTCGACGAGGACGTCGGCGACTTGGTGGCGGAGGAGGAAGGACTGCCGCCGCATGTGATTGTGGCGCGAAATTGGTCGCAGAGTCCGGCGCTGGCATGCTCGGTTCTCGAAGGAGTGGGGAGGACGCTTAAGGGGAGAGACTTGCGTCAGGTTCGGAATGCAGTTTGGCGCCAAACAGGGTTTCTTGATTGATTGAAGAATGAACCTTCCAACGCTTTTTCGGGTTATTGGTTTCATTCTCTAGATATCTTTTTTATCTTATAGAAAATGCTAAAACCGTAAAACCTCAATTGATTGTAAAGTTGAAGAGTTGGTCAATAATTGGTTAGCGCTTTGATGTTGGTTATTGGTGTTTGATTATTGTATATCTCTTATTATACAATTATTTACTTTTTGTGATCCATAATGTGCCCTGTTGGAAGATGTTTTCTGTTACCTGATGGTTTTTGGAATTTGTGTGAATCCACTGGGTTTGATTTTTAGGATGCGTCTTCGTTTAAACCCTATATTTTGCAGGGTCTTGTTCAAGCTTGTGTTGTGTTTGGTAAATGTCTAGTCATTGGAACTGGACAAGGTAGTTCATTTTTTTATGTCATCCAAACATAGAGATTTGTCAGCAGTAGCTCCTGGTTATCTGCTGTGATTGTTTCAAAACAAACTTTGATCGTGCTTTGTGGTGAAAGTAGGGTGCAATGGTTCTTTATGGTCTTTGTTATACTGAATTGAGGCAATGTTTGGATAAAAGTTGAGAGCATGTTTTAGAAATTCTAATGCATATTCCCAAATTTGAAGGAACAAATAAAGAATGAAGTTTTAAGAGTAAAAGTACTTTTGAGCTCAACTGTTAGTCAAATATGAACTTATGATAATGACATTGTTTGTGGTATTTGCCTTTTAAATATATATTCTGGCAGACAAGAAAGAAACCAGTGGCAAGGAGCTAATTTTGCTCTGGTTGTGTAAGCCTGCAGGGTACGAAGTGGCAAAAACCCTTAGGTATTCATTTTGTACATGTTAGGAATGGCAAAGGATGGAATGGAAGATGAATAAAGATGATGACTTAGAGCTTATTGAACAAACCTCCTTAGAAGCATTTTTAGGAAAGAAAAATAAGATGATAGAATGAAATTAACTTTTTTATAAGCTAAAATTAGTTAATGGATAAGTTAATTTATACTACTTTTCTCTTTTAACATGTCTAAATTCTTATTTTTAACTTGCGTATAAACCAAAATAATTGAAGTTTATGTTGAAGTTCATTTCACATTTTTCTTATTTCTCTTCTAGAAGTGCTTCTCCAACGAGACCCTTACGGTGTGTTTGTTTGAACTGATTTGCGATGAAATACTGTTCACGACGACAGAAACACGAGATTCACCCACATTTGGTTGAACAGATTTGCGAAGAAATGCAGGCGAGGAAATGCGTGAGAGGGGAGAGAAGCTTTCTTCGCTAATCTGCGAAGAAAAGCGACGAAAGTCTGCTGGAGATAAAGAAAAGTCCAAGTTATCCTCTTCCATATGATAGCGGTTAAATCTTAACCGCTATTATAATAGCATTTCTAATAGCGGTTAAAACTTAACCGCTATTATATATCACTTCTAATAGCGGTTAAAACATAACCGCTATTATATATCACTTCTAATAGCGGTTATATCTTAACCGCTATTATATATCACTTTAGATAGCGGTTACGTGAGGAACCACTATTATATCCTCCAATTATGATCGATCATTTCATAAATCTAATCGATCGGAATCATATTTCGCTCGAGCGAGATATAGTCGCTCAGCGAAAAACTAGTCGAGCCTCAATAAATTAAAATATAGTTGTATATGATAGCGGTTCCACTGGAACCGCTATCTAATATACACTTTAGATAGCGATTACTGAGGAACCGCTATCATATACAACAATTATGATCGATCATTTCAACTTATGATCGATCAGGATCGTATTTCGCTCGAGCGAGATATAGTCGCTCGAGCGAAATACGGCTTATGAGCTCACGCTTTGAGAGTTGTCTGTAGCTCTACCTAAGCTCCGCTTTTTCGGTTCAATCCAATCCGCAGTGGGATTAGAGAGCAAGCTGGCGTGAGGGCAAAGGCAATAACATCCGACTCTACTTTCTTTAATCCGACTCTGCACCGATTCAATCAGGAATTGAGAAGCGACAGGGAGTTGATGGAACACTTTAAGAACCATTCTTAAAGGGAGCTTATAATAGAGGTTAAACCTTAACCTCTAATAAATTTAAATATTAAAATTAACTTTATCAAAAATTAGGGAAACAATAAATTGTTATACTTGGTTCACCCAATAAATTGTTATACTTGTCACACCCAAGCAATTGTTATACTTGGTTCACCCAATAAATTTATTGCTTTGTTTTTTAAAAGCTGATATGATAAAAGTTCCAAGCAATTCGTTTATAAAAGAGTTTTCGAAAAAGCTGCATTAATTAATCTGTTCAAAGTTTGTTTTAATATGTTGAAATAGCTAGTTATAATCTGTTAAAAGTCCTTTCAACCCATTAATGCGTTCTTGTTCTTTAACGTAATTGTTTTAGCTGATACGACCAAGTTTTTATCAGTTAAAACTTTTTACAAACATTTTCTAAGAGTGATTTAATCGATTGATTCGCGGTTTAATCGATTGATTCAGATTTAAAACTTTCTTATAACACTTTTCAAGTTATTTTAACTGATACAAAAAAGTTTTAATCGATTAAAAACCTGCACGTAATTTTTTCTAAGTCATTTTAATCGATTGAAATGCGTTTTAATCGATTGAAACTCGTACAAAAATTTTCAAGTCATTTTAATCGATTGAAATTTGTTTTAATCGATTGAAATAAGTCTGATCGTTCATAATTCAATTCGATCGATCATAACCAACTCGATCGGTCATAATTACATTCTGATCGATCATCCTGACTTCCAAAGTGGTTTTAATCGATTAAAACGTGTTTTAATCGATTAAAAATAAATCGAGCGAGATCATACTTTGCTAGTCGCTCGAGCGAGATCAGTTTCGCTCAAGCGAAAGACAACCCGATGATGAAAATTATGTGCAGGTGTCTTCGCTCGAGCGAGTTTAATGTCGCTCAAGCGAAATATAACTTGTAATAGCGGTTAAACCATAACCGCTATCTAATATATACTTTAAATAGCGGTTACAGAGGAACCGCTATTATATCCTCCAATTATGATCGATCATTTCAAATTATGATCGATCAGGATCGTTTTTCGCTTCGAGCGAGATATAGTCGCTCGAGCTAAATGCAACCCAGAGCTGAATCTTAAAATATTTTTTTGAATATTATGTTTTTAAATTTGCTATTAGAGAAAACCTTTCGAATTCAAAATGTTAAATACTTTTAAATATTAAAATTAACTTTATCAAAAATTAGGAAAACAAAATTTATCCAAAAGAGTTCAAAAATGTATAAGAGTATTCTCAATTTTGAGTTTAATTATATTGTTCATTTTCAAAGTAGAAATTTATATTGTAGTTATTTAATTTACATTTTGTGATCTTCTTAAAATTAGCATCAATAACATTAGACTTTACATTTGATTCATACCTAACTAATTATAGATTAAAAGGAAAGTGGTATAACCATGCATTTTACTTTTCTATTTACCTTATTCTTTTAATTATTTTATATAATAATAATCAAAATATTCACATTCATATGGGCATTTTCGAAAATAATATTATTCTATTATTGTTAAAATTAACATCAATAACATTACACTTTATCACTTCTTAATTATTATTCTATTTTCACTTGTATTTTATATTTGTTTTAAACAATAATGTACAATTATATTATTAGTTTTCATAATTATTTGTTATTATCAGATCAATATTAATTATTATTTTATATTTTATAATTATTTAATTATTAGTCAAATAATTTATTTAATATGTCAACATTATTTGAATATGGATATGCAATGTCCATAATTTTGTAATTGTTTATTTATATAATTTTTAATAACTATCTAAAAAAATTAATTTTTTAAATTTGTTTCCAATTACAAACACTTTTAATTTTGTTTTTTCCTTTTAAATATATAATCAATGTTAAAATATGGATAATTAATTAAAAATTTATATTTATAATCATTTGAACCTTATTTTATACAAAGGGTAAAATGGTAATTTTCTTAAATAATCAACATAAAATTATAATTTTTATATCTCATATCAATCAAATCATTCACAATTTCCCATAAACTTTCCTTTCACTTTTCATTCATCTCCCTTTCTCTTCAAATCCCTCCTTTTCCACTCTCTCATTTCCACTCCCTCAAATCACTCCAACCAAACAAAGCCTTAGTTTCTTTCCTCAGCATGGAGCAACCTTAGTCCTTCAAATCTCTTCTATATATGCTGTTTTTACATCTTGCTTCTGTTAAAAGACATACATTGACGATTACTTTAAGAATTAAGATTGAATGTCATGAATTCTTTTGTAGGCTTACATCTGCGGACCGAATTAAATAAGTTTGATTCACATGTACTATTTGTGAAAAATACAATACTCATACCCAATATCAGTAATCTATAGCACCTCATTCCAATCCGCGTATTTTAGCTTTTATTAAGTACTATTAACTATTTCCTTATATGTATTCCGTTCCAGTTTTCCCAGTAGTTGGATCAGTTAAAATAAAAGAACGGTAAAAGTAACAACACAATCTTTTGTTATATTTTGTGTTTTGAGATCAAGGCACAACGAAACTAGTTTTGGAGACAGAACGGACGTTGTTCTAGGTAGTAGGTATTAAGCCTAACTGTGCTAGTCAGTTGTTCAAAGCTGCATGGACGAGGTTCGGTCAAGTCAAATTGATAGGTGTTTTGCCTGTTGGTGCTGTAGGTGGGAGTGGGACCAGTTGTTCCTTGTTTTTCTAAAGATCAAATACTTTGACCTTTTTCCGTGCTTCATTTGAAAGGTTTAAGCCTCACGATTTCTCCGTGACCGTCTTCCAGGCCAAGCAGGTCTTCAAGCACCGGTTGCACACAGTCCATTAAACCATTCCACGATCTTAAGCGCGATTTTGTCTATACTGGTTGTCACTCTATCACAACTTAAGTGCATATTGTTTCGTTAAAATTGAGTGCATATAAGTTGATGGTCTGATTTAACATTTTGTTATATATGCATTCTTTAAGATTTTGTTGCTGCCTCTGAATATATATATATATATATATATATATATATATATATATATATATATATATATATATATACTGCCAAATTGTCGTTATCCAATTTCGTCCGCTGGTTAAGAAAATATCTGAAAAAGAATTAATACTATTTATTTAAAAATAAAAAAATATTAAGAAGATAAAAGATAAAGAAAAATAATTAATTTCATTTCACTTAAATTAAACTTTACTTATAATTTATTTTAGTTTTCTATATATATATATTTTTTTTGGCCCGGTCTAGTATGTATGGTTGCCTTAATTTTTTCTTATCACCCTAAAGAGGAAAAAGAGGCGAACAAGGCCACCATTGAACTATTCTTGCTTATCCCTCACCAATCTTGGACACCTTACTCTTTTTCCTACGCTCAGCATCCTTCACACCATACCCTGAAACCTTCACTCACCTCACCTAATCACGCACAGCCACTCTCCTTTTTCATTCTCAACCTGAAAAATCCCATTCCACCGTCGTACTCACCCACGCGCATTTCCAGCTTGAACCTTCACCTCACTTCATTCCTTATCCCCTTTCCACTCACCAACGCGGCCACCACCGCGCGAGTACCCATACCACGCCTCCGCCGCGCCTAAAGCCTCCGCCAGCTGACCCTAGTCTCCGCGGTCACCTCCATCTCAGCATCTCCCCCTGCATCACCATTTTCCCATACCCTCATAAGAACCCCAAATCGCCCTCACCACCGCAAACCCCCAAACCACCGCATCAGCCACCGCGAGTTCTCCGCCACCGGTGGTCATCAAGTCTCAGCCCCATTCCCATCTCGCTTCCACAGTCCTCAATCGCCTTAGCCGCCAGCCATCTCGCCGGGGAGATTCAACTTGGGGTTTGTTTCTTTGTTTGTTTATTGATGTTTCTGCTTGTTTCTGGTATGGGGCTACATTTCTGGCAGGAGTTTTTGTTTCTGATGGTGTAGTCTTGTTGATTTGGACCATGTTATGACCGCTGGACATTTTTTTTTCTGATTGGAGTCTGCTGGATTTTGTTTAGGGTGTTCGTTTTTGCGTGGTTGGCCTTATTTCGTTTGTCTGATTGTGGACTGGGTTGCTAGGTGAGTTCAGTTCAGTTATGTCTGGATTTTGATGTGTCGCGTGATTTCAAATAGGGTTATTGAGTTTCGTCCAGAATTTTGGTTGTTGTGTATCCTAATTGTGGTAATTCTTGTTTCTACCAATTCTGTTAATTGTGCTGTGAAAATCTGACTTGTATTTGGTTGTTAAGACCGTGGGTCTTGTGGTTATGTTCGTATTACGTCGTTATGTCGCCAAATTTTCATTCAATGACTGATTTTGATATGCAGATGATTTTTTTTTGGTCTCATAGTATGTGTATGTTCTGTCTAGCTAAGGTTATACTGAATGGTTGCTTGTATTATTTAGACTGAACTGTTAAACTGGATTGGTTTCACGAGTTGTCTGTATTGGACTATTTTTATGCGTGTATGCTGGTAATCGCAACTGCCGGCCCGTTGTTTTAAATTTAGTGGTTATTTGATTCAGGGTTGTCGGCCTTTGCGTTTCGATTCAGGGTTGTCGGCTTTTGAGCTTCGATTCAGGGTTGTTGGTCTTTGCGTTTCGATCCTGTACTTTTGCTACATTCAAATTGGTGATTTTGATTGCTAGTTAGTTGATTTTTTGGTTGCTGCTGAGACTTTTGGGGTGGATGTGTTGAAGTTTGGAGCACTTATATAGTCGTACAATTTTTCTGAAAACTTCTTGTTCTAATATCGTCGGAATTTTTAAGTTCATATGCTTCTCATATTATGGTATTCATAAATTCTAAAATTCTTCTTCGGATTCATCCATGATTATTTTGTAAAGATGAAATGTGTGGTTAGAACATGTTATGTGTTAAGCACTTATGGGGGGATTAATGTCTACCAATATTTGATTCTGTTCGTATGTCAAATTGGTTATGCCTTCCAACTGGGCCAGGTAAAATTGTAGTTTAGTGTGCAAGGTGATTTATGCTTCATTCCTGTCTATATTGTGCAAGGTAATTTATGTCTTTCTTGAAGACTGAAATCTTCAAATATAAAGTATCTCCTTTTAAAAAAAAATTAGCGTGCTAAAAGTTTTTTTTCTTTAATTTGTGTACTGACCCTAACCCACAAGGTGTATTTGAATTTATATATTTATGGGCTTTATGAGCATGATCTGTTTTTTTTATCTGATTCAACATATTCATATTAACAGCTGGGCTTTGTCTCTCTATAAGAAAGAAGTATGCCGCATAGAACCCGACCCATGACAGCACTTTTGTTGTTCACTGCACTAAATACAGTTTTATGTGCAACCATTACTCCAGTCTATGATTTTGTTTGCTTTCTTCCGTACTGGGAAAGAAGGGTGAGATTTTTGCTCATTTTTTTATTTTATTATTATTTACTGTTTCTTTGTTTCATTCTATCATCTGGTTCCTTAAGTCAATCAAAATTATGTGAGATTTCCTTAGTCCAGTTGGTGCACTGTTTTATTGCCCTTATCTTCCATAGAGCAGATCTCAATTTCATTAATTCTTGAACTTGGTTATTGACAATGATGACTTTTTTTTTTTTTATGTTAATTTTTTAACAAAAGAAACACTAACTCCAAGATCTCGTAATATCCTCCGATAGTGCATTGTGAGGAAATTATCAACGTGGACTTTCAGATTGAGTATGTCTAGCGTTTGTAATCATGTAGAAAAATTTGTTAATGGCTTTTGATCTTGAAGGTGGTCCTTATTGTGAACCGTAAGGTTGTTGCATTGGGGCCTAACATTAAATCACAGATTCAAACCTTCCCTGAGGCCCTCTTTTCAATGGCTTTTGATCCTGAATTGACCTTAATGATATGTTGGATGTTTGTTTGTGACCTATTTAACTAGTCGCTGAACATAAGTAGATCAACTCAGGTTTCTTTCAATTTCCCGCTGTTTAGAAACTAGACATTAGAACCATAAAATAATGTATCTGTTTTGGAATCATTTATTAGTTCATAGGAAGTCTTAAATAATGCCATCTAATCGTATGTAGTGAATAGTGATAGCTATTGCTATGTCTAGTACATGCAAATATCAATGTAGATGAACTGGCGGAGAAGATAGCACTGTCATTGTAATGTTTTGCTTAATTTGCTGTCGTTGTCACTTTGATAGACAAAAATCTCTTCCTTTAAAATCTCCCTCATGAGTTTAAAATTTATTAAATTTATAGCTGTAATGTTCTTATTCCATGTAGCCCCTGTTTGATAAGCATTCAAAGTATTGGCTTTTTGGAAATGGGAAAAATCCCAAGTATTTTAGCTTGTCCAATGTCATATAGATCTGACTCGGTGCTGACTAGTTTTGAACTAGTGTTTGTTAATTAGGTTAATTGGCTAATTCTTCACATAATCTGATGTTACAGAGGGAAAGGCGTCGTCAGCAACGTGAAGCTACTCTAACTAACGGTACAAATTAGCCATGACTGGATCTTACTGAAGATTTTTTTTTGTACTGGGATTTTTATCGTCATTTCTTTCTCTTCTTGATGTAAATAACCATAGAATATCTTGGAATGAAAATCTGAAAACTTGGACCGACCTGGCCGCTTTAGTAGGGTATTTATATGGGGCACCCTTTCTTGTAACATTGCTTTATCGAGGTCTGAAACCAAATGTTGGATCGGATTCAAATTTAGTTTTGTTTTTTTCTATTTCTTATGCAAAATTCAAGTTGGTAAGTTGAGTTTTGTTTAATGTATATAAATGTAACTGCCACACAGTAGCCAAAGAATCCACCTTAAAAAAAATCAATACCTTCATTCTGTTCCATCAGATTATTTGTTTATGAACTTGATTTTATGAAGCAGCATACTAGAAGAGTAAAATTCTTAGGAATAGAGCCGCTTGTGTATTACATGGCTTATTGGCCTTTCTACGTGCAAGTGAAAAATGTCTTACTTCAGTAATTTGTCAACATTAACCACTTCTAGTAGCATGTGCCTGTACACCCAAGTCCTGGTTATATTTTAGTCAAATTATCTAACTTAAAGATCCAACAATATTGTGATCACTACATAATAATGAGGGGGTTGAGCCTATACAAAATTACTAATCCCATAAAGTAATTGAGAACAGAAGACAGGGAACCGGTACTCTCAACCAAAGGTACACAATCGAAATGAAGTTAAATTGTTTCATCAAATTTTAAGAATTATATAGGATGTGAGATTAAAATTATGAAAAAAAAAACATTGATTAACACATCTAAAATTTTAATTAAAGATTGCGGAAACATCTATTAGTATTGATCGTACTATACCAATTGATTTGTGCGAAAACTTTTAAGGCAACAAGGGATTGATGGCGTCATGGTGGCTCTTACAATGTGTGTCCCTACCCTACACATTGCCTTTTGATTTTTTGAGGGGTTTAGTCCTATTAGAGTGAGACAATAGCAAATGGTCCTTCTTTCTTTAACTATTCATTCAACCGAACAATTTGCCTCCATTATTTAATACTGTTGCGGTGGAGTTGGTAGCTGTTTGCCTTCATACATTTGTAAATAAACACTTTATTCTGTATCACGTTCTGGACATTTTTCTTTCTTAAAATGGCCTACTATTAACAATGTTCAATGCAAGCCTCTTTCTCTAGCTTCTCGTGTCCATTAGAATAAAACAGCCCTTCAAATATTTATAATTTGTCAAAGTAATTATATGTGCATTATATTTTTTTAACAAGTTAGATGAAAGAGCTTGTACAAATTAGATTTCACATTTTTAAAAGTAGTTTTCTCTTTTTCTTTTCTTCTAAACATTTGGTGGAGATTTTATATAAACAAAGTTACATCGATGAAATTGAAGTCAAAATTGACAAAACCTTCTTAACCATTACAACTTCGCATTGTTGTATTACATGTTTAAAGAAAGGGAGTAGCCAATGATTTTTTGTAAAGTTTAAAATGTATCTTCAATTTTTCGCCCACATAATTTGCTTCCTACCTCTCTCTTGCTTTACATCGCTTAAAAGTTGAAGTTATCAGTAGATTATAAATACCATTTTCTCTCAATTCACTGATATGCATTTTAAAAATAAAATTGTAACAAATGAGAGCTTAAAAACAGATAATACCTCGAAAGTGGGAATTGACTCTAATGATATTATCATAACGGACGTAATACTGGGACACACTCGTCCCTTAAACGAAAAATTAACATATATTGTGGGTTTGTGAGTAGAGTCTCACTGCATTCAAATATATTCCTTAGTTTATGTTTCGGTATAATCACAAGTCTTATATTATTTAAGAGTCGAGGTTAATAATAATTTATATATATTTTTTTTTTCTTAATCAATCAAAACATATTTTAAAAGACAAAACCGACGGATAAAATCTTTAAAACGAATAATAAGTGAATGTTATTACAGGACATGAGACCCTCTTTTAAAAACGAAGTTTTTTAATCATGGAGTAGACACACTCGTGGTTGATGTGATGTGGTAAGCACAACATAGAAAATCTCCAATGATTTATACATGGTTGACTACTGTGTGGTATATAGAATCTATTTCTGACACTTACAACAACTCCAGCGATCGAATGATCGATTCAAATCCCATACATGATATTTTAACATGTATAAGGGTAAGCTTGGACGAAAAAGTTTGTTAAATAATATTTTTAAATTAAATATAAAAATATAATATGATTTAGTTTCAATTATATATAAATTTTGAGTCAAACCACATTAATGTTTTATGGTTTGATTTGAATTGGTAGTTTTAAAGTTTGTTACTGTATAATTATTATATATTTTTATAAAAATTTATTAAATATTTGACAATGAAATATTATTAAATAGAGCAGTATGTTGTTATATTCAAATAAATATAGAATTTTACAGTTTAAAACTATAATATAAATTTATTATATATATTAATAATAATAAATATATTCTAAGTAAAATATAATTTAAATTGTAAAACAACATTTAAAAGAATGTTTATAAATATGTGTTTATTATAATTAATTATAAATATATAATATTATATAAGTTGAGGGTTTATTGTGTTTGATTTATTTATTTTATTTTAAATTAAATTAAGTAAGACTTTTTATTTTATTGAAAATTAATATTAGAATACTTGTAATTTGTTTTCTCAATTCAATAAACATGATCATTACAACATTAAAGTGTAATAAAGACTTAATTAGATTTAGGGTTTAGGGTTTATCTTTCCTCGTCTCATTAGTGAACCTTATTATTTTGAAATTATATTTAATATTCAGAATTTTTCGATTGGAACCGCACTTAAAACAATTATTATTATTTTAAAAAATTGAGGCTTATACTTTTACCCTAAACAATGAGTTGAAGACATATGAAACAAAGAACTGTTGTGTCAATATTTGTACCACTATATATATTTCCGTGCTAAAATACAACCTTTTTTCGTGTTTTAATAATTCGATACACAAGGATTTGTGAGTATAATTGTTGGAGGGGTCGATGTAGTTGAAAGAAACAGCAGAAAAGACGAAAATGTTGGTGGTAAAGCATGGATTTTTATTATTTGTTTCTTCCATGTGAAAGCATTCAATTAAAACCTTGCAAGAAGTTGAACATCCAATGGCCAAGTTGAGTTCTTCTTCTGAAGAGAATTTTCAATGTAGCAGAAACTCTTACTTCCTTATCATATCCTATCATGAAACTGTACCAAATAGCTTTGGCAATGTAATGAGAAAAAGAAAAGTTACATTATGAGATAAATATATAATCGGAATAATTTGGGATGCTTTATTAGGTATATGAAAGAGGTGATGACGATGATGATGATGATTGCTCATGACCAATAACTTACGGTTCATTAATATTGATAGCAATGTGATTGTAGTTAGGGTTTCCCTCCAATACCATGGCAACATTCAAATGCATGCTCTTCTTCCACGTTCAAGTTCTTGGTTAAGTGGTGGTTGTTATGGATTCCTTTTTGGACTCTCTTACCTGCACCAAAGCTACTTTATCCTGCTTAATAATGGACCACAATTTGAGCTCTTGTACTACCCATTAATTATTGCATTAATTGCAATCATGTTCATTAAACCTAGACCAAAGGAATTAACTAGTCCATTACACAAATTAATTCAGAACGAATTGTGTTTTTCCTTATATTTCCATGATCAAAACTATAATATATCCAAAAGTTGTTTCGAAATACGTTGAAGAGAAAGACAAATCACGTATTGATATTTTATTATGCTTTTGCTCATAATTTATAAGATATTTTATCTTTTTGATATATACGTTCGTTAATCCCATATCGTTTAAGAGTCAATATTAAAGTAGTTTATATACATATTTGTCTTTCAATCTATTAAATATTTATTAAAGATAGAATTATGACAATGAAAAAATCCAAATTAGATTTGAGTATAACACGTCCTTATTTCAATTAATTATTAGTTTGAATTGATATTTTAATTTAAACTCAAACTTAATTTGGTACAAAATTGATAAACAAATCAAATAAGGTAAAATGGAATCCATCTCACCCTATAAAACAATATATCAAATTTACTACATGAAAGAAATATAAAATTGAAATTTAACTCATGGATATTTTAAAATTAATTAACAGATGTACTATAAATTCAAAATGCTTTTTATTAAGTAACTTTTTTATTATTAATATTTGAAAAACTTATATTAAAAAAACCATTAAAATGAAATAGAGTTGAGAGACTATCCTAAACACAATTTAAATCCGTCTTAAAAAATGTATAAAGTTCATTTTAAAATTTAAACTCATCCAAAACAACTCCATTATATATCTTGCAACTAATGTTTTATAATTGAAGAAACCTTGAATGTAATTTTTTTTTACAAGAATTAGTCACGGAAACTCTGTTTAGAAAATTGTCTTTTTTTTAAGAGAGTGTTAAGGTTCCAACATAAAATCAATTGACAATATGTGGATTAGCCTAACATGTATTTAAATCATACCAAATAACATGAGGTAGACGATGTTGGACTTTCAACAGAAAGAAAAGTAAAATTCAGCACAAAGTTAGACCTCACACGAATTTCTTTAATAAAAGCACTTGTTCAACCACTTAAAAATCTAATTAATAAATTTATAGATCTTGGTTAAGTATGTAGTTTTTAGAGAAAGGAAGGTATGAACACATTATAGTTGACCAACAAAGAGGAATATTTTTACACACTCCTATTCTGTAAAAAAATATTTTTAAGTTATTTTATATATAATTTTTACTTATATATCTCTTCTCTTCATATTTATAAAAACAATTTCGTGTTGTCACCTTAATATAATACCAAATATGTGTAAAAAAAAATACTTTCTAAGTAAATTTTCAAGAATTCAGGATTTGTTTGAAAAGAATTTTCTATAAAAAAAAACTTTTTATAAATTAAAATATATAATTTAGATATATTTATATGAAGTAATTATAAGTTGAAGAAACTCGTTTTAGTTTTTTTTTTTTAAATCCTTATCATGAAGGTGGTAGAAAGAGACTAAAAGTTTGTCTGTGCTGTTAGGATACTATGAAGTAATGTAGACAAGGTTGGACATCTCGTTAGTTGTTGATAAACCCTACACTCACTACAAAGGTAAACATAACTACAGTTGTTGACAGTTGACACCAACTACTATATCAGCTCTAGATCCCAACATTTAATAGCTTTATGTCCCAAACTGCCACTATATATAACCTTCCAATTATCTTCTTCTTTTCCAACTTCTCTACCTTCCTTCTTTCATAGCTTTAGCTTCCATACTATGGCGTTTGCTCAGGTTATCACAGCACTTCTTTTTGCATTAACTATGGCCAGAATTTACCCTTCAGCATGCCAAACGGTAGAAGGCAGTGTCTCTTGCGCTGACTGCACTCACAGCTACGATTTCTCTGGTTTGAATCCACTCTCAGTTCTCACACTTTTAATGTTCTCTCAATACATAATTGTTAAATAGTAATCCATGCATGTCTTCTTGATTTAATACAAGACTGCGATTTTTATGGTAAAAGTAAACATATTATACAAATTTTAATTAGGTAACACTACAAAAACTCTTTGTATTTGAAATGGATGGAGTGTTTGTTTTTCAGAAAATGACAGAGAACTTAAAATCTTTTGAAACACATAGGGATTAAGAGTACTATATATATATCACCTAGATTCTACAACTCTTCAATGTTTTCAGGCATAATGGTAACGGTGAAGTGTGAAGGTGTGAAAAACCTGGCTATGGCAACAACAGAAGATAAGGGTTTCTTCAAGGTTGACCTTCCCACAGACCATACAAAACCTCGCTCAGTGAACTGTCTAGTAAAACTTGTTGGGGGACCAAATCATCTCTATGCTACAAAGAAGAACCAGGTCTCTCAAATTGTGAAGGGAAAAGAGAAAAATGCTTACACAATCTCCACTCCTCTGAGTTTCTTGACATCGTGTCCCCAAAACACAGAATGCAAAGCTACTAACCTGTTGGGTTCATCCAAAACCTTTGATCTTCCTCTTCCTCGGGAGTGGGGTCTGGCACCATCTAGCTACTATCTTCCTCTCTTCCCCATCATTGGAATACCTTAGTGTGTATGTTCCAGTAACACATAATCGCTGGAAAGAAAACAAAATATATATTGTGTCAGATAATCTTGTTATTTACGTAAGTGCTCATATATGCATATCATGTGTGTAACATGAAAGAATGGCATATAAATATTAATGCATGTCGTGAAGGAAGCTGATTTCTCAGTTGAAAGAAGAATTAAACTGAAGTTCAAGCACAGAAATAAAATATCTTTTTTAATTTGAATAAGATAGCCAATCCGACAAGAACAATCCGTAAGAATTACTTTTTCACATTAAAAAAACTAAAAATATAGATTTATTTTAAGCAAACAATTGATTTTGGTGGAGTAAAATTTTCCTAAATTTTTTTAAGAAAACTCGTTTTTCTCGTTATTTTAAGAAAACAAACATCTTTTTTTGGATTCATATGTAAATTTGTATAAAACACGGAGATAAATATCTTCTCTACAGTACAAAAATGGCATCATTAGCAAATGGGACGAAGTTCATATCATTTTCCAAAGAGGAACCAAATCCAGAATGGTCATTTTCTACTAAGGTTCGATTGGGATTCATTCTCTCCTCTACTAGACAACACAATCATTGAAGAGGTCCCAAATGTTTGGATTGAATTTTATACGTAGATTAATTAACACGACGCCGTGGTGAGAGGGTGAATGATTTTTCGTAACCAAAATCCAAACAAATTTATGCTTGTAGATGACCACACAAGAAGCCAAAATACCACACTAAGAAGAACATTCAAGCAGAGTCACAAATGAGTCATTGGACCAGTTTAGATCCCAAACCTCTCTCTTTCATTCATTATCACAATTCAGATTGGGTCGTCGATACTACGTTACTAATGACTGATGCAAAACCCTAGCATTTACGTTATTACGTGTTTACTCCTCTAATCTAACCTAACCTATACTCCCATCATCATTTCTTTCTCTTTTGGATTTTATGTACACCTTGCTTTCTAAGGTCTACGTATGGATCCACAGAAATTTAACTATGGCTTTAATAAGTAAGACAATAACATCTACAAAATAAATAATACAGTATATACCTTATTAAAAAATTTACTCCATCACCAACTATGTATAATGACAAGTATGATTAAGAATTAAGTTTTTTTTTTTCTTTTAAGTTGACATTTGTTAATGTTGGTAAGATAAGCTTTCAGTCAATCTTAATTATGATTATTTATGTAATTAAAGTTATGTTGAGTGGTAGATAATAATTTAATAATTATATTGTAATGATTATTTCAATTAGATTAGTTAGTCTAAAAAATTTAAGTGTTCGTTAAATATTATATTTTTATAATATTTTAATAGTGTTTTTATATAATTAAGTTCTAATATGGAATACAATTAATTTAGTGTATCTTTTTCTTTTTGTATTTATTTTTAGATTTTTTCAGAGAAAATTTTCTGAACATTCCACTGAAAAATATTTTCAACGACTTAAGAAAAAAATTCTAACGTCGATAAAGACTCTATTGATATGAATTAAATTTTTTTACAAACTATGATCCAAATATATAGGCCTAACTAATATTGAGTGAAAAAAAATTAACTGATATTTTGAATTATTAAATATTTGTAATATTAAAGTAAATTTTTATATGATGATAATTAAAATATTTAATATTTAATTGGCTAATTTTTCCCTAGCAAGTATTCCTTTCCCAAAATCTTGTAATCTACTACTTATTCTATCTTGTTAATTATATATATATATATATATATATATATATATATATATATATTAAATAAAAGTTGATCCCACGAGGAGCGAGTTACAATAGAAATTTTCAATTATGCTTACTAAGTAGATTAAGCAGGTTGGGTTTTGCAAATAAGAGTTGAATTGAAATTAAATGACAAATAACTGTAAATTGTTGAGAAAATATTAATTAAAGACACTTAAGATTGATTTCTTTCCTTATCACTCTTTTGTAATGACTATGTCAATTAAGAACGTCAATTAACCTAACAATGTTGATGACACTTACTCAAATCATCCATGTTGATTCCTCACACATGAAATTCATAAGAAAATTTAATAAATGTTGATTCCTCACACAATTAACAAATTTTCCAGCATTAGGGTTAGGGTGTTAAGCAATTGATACATTCATTCCATTTCTGGCAATTAACGTAACAAATATTCTTACCGTGATCTAGGGTTCAAGATATATTTTCCAATCATACCTCAAACAAGCAAGAATAAATTATTCCAAAGCATAAATGATAAGAATAACAACATCAAAGTATAAATTAATATCTCAAAATATCACCATGATACAAAAGAGTTCAAAGGAAGTGCACCGGATCCTAAGACAATGAAGTTAGCCACTCATGTTGGTCATTACAATGCTCTAATTGATGAAGAAGTGAAGAATTGATGAAGATTAGACGAAACCCTAACAGTAGTCGTGTCTCCTCTTCTCCAAGACTGCTTCCTTCTCAAAACACATCTTATCTTTTTATAAAAGAATTTGGGTCGGGCCTCGCATCATTCATTCGCTTAAGTGTTCTTCTTTCTTTCAATTTTTCTCTAATTATGTTGACAATTATGCTCCTTACTCTTGTATCAAGGTATTCTCGAATTCATCCTATATTGGGAGAAAAATATATTGGAATTAACATAAGTTAAATGGTTTCATAACAATTTAAGGCATAATTATATCAACTTTTTACCATTTAACAATATATATAATTATTTAAGAATTCTCATATCGATAATTAATAGTATGTAGGTGAATATGATTCTTATTTTACTTGGACTGGTTTTGTAGAGTTAAATTAGGTATATTACCATTTATAAAATAGTATTAGAGTCAATTATCGAGTTGTCAGAATAATAACTATTAATAGTGGTGAGCTTAATCACTTATTATTAGACTAATATTGAATCATTCATCCTCAATGTGAGGGAGTATGATAAAAAAAATTCTTTTTGATTTGAAGGATATGATGAAAAAATGTTCCTTAATGTGAAATTATTTGTTGAGAAATCTCACATCGATTAAAAATATGATAACATAATATATAGATGAGTACAATCTTCATCTTACTAAGTTGACTTTGTAAGTATTAGTATTTCATATCTATATATAGATCTCTAGCCTTTGTAAAATGGTTTCTATAAACCGTTATTTTCTGTTTTCAGTTTTATTTTTCTTTGTTGTATAAAACCCTTCTCTACAATAATACCAAATGAGTTGATCTTTTCCTTGTCAAGGATTCTTACCTTTCATCTCTTTTTAATCATGTTTTCATATTAGGTACACATTCTACGTCTTTCTACATGCTTTCTTTATCCTTGATTGATCAACCATGACTTCTCTCTTCCAATCATATTCTCCAAATCACAGTAAATCCTTCAAATCCACTTTACCTTCATCCTAGAGAAAATCCAGCGTTAATTCTTGTTGCGGCGCTCCTCACCAAATCCAACTACTATCAATGGGAACGAGAGCTGATTATTGCTTTCGAGACAAAGAACAAAAAAAGATTCATCAATAATGACTTCCCTTATCCTCTGGCTTCTAATCCTCTACAAAATCCATGGTGTTGCTGTAATCGCATGGTAATCTTATGACTCACAAGATCCATGACTCCAGCCATCAAGTATTCAATTATGTGGATGGAAACAACGGTTGAGATATGGAAAGATGGAAAGACCTTAAAGGTCACTTTTCTTATGCAAATAAATTTAGAATTCTTGATTTACAAGATCAAATACAGAGTTGTAAGCAAAGTGATTTTTCTGTTTCAGAATATTACACTCGGTTGAAGGTTATATGGAAAGAACTGGAAATGTTTGCCACTGTTCAATTGTGTGTTCTTGTGGTCTTCTTTCCAAGCTCCAAAAGGAACGTGAAGATGATTGTGTTATATGTTTTCTTCGAGGGCTCACAGATAGTTATTCATAGGTTCGATTTCAAATAATGTTAATGGATCTCATGCCTTCGCTTGTTAAAAGTTTTTCTTTGGTTTTACAACACAAATGTGAGTTTCTTGGCATTTCTCCCACCACTTCGTCCCAAGATTCCATTGTTTTTACTGCATCTACAAAAGGGCCACCTATTTCCACCAAGAGTAATCAGGACGTAATAAGTATTGTGAAAACTATAAAAAAACCAATCACACAATTGATACTTGTTACTGACGTATTGGTTTTCCTCTTGGTTACAGAAGATTCAATCGTAGCAACACTTCCAACACTGCTTCCTTAAACAATTTGGCTAAAGTTGATCTTGATACAACTTCACAATCTTCTTCTCTTCCACAAAGTTCTGACCAAGATCAGTATTATTTCTCCAACGAGTATCAGGCCTTCCCTAACACTTCTTCAACAATACAAGGAATCTTCCTCTTCCATCAAGCATACTTATGTAACAATTATAACAATTCAGGTGACACTTTATACTTTTCCAATTGGATTTTAAATAATGGAGCAACTTACCATACATGTCCTACAAAATCTTTCTTCCAATCCTTACATCCCATTAAACCTATCCTAATAAAATTGTCAAACCACACCACTATGTTTGCTACCTTTTCTGGCACCATTCAACTTGGCCTTCTAACTCTCCATAACACTCTTTATGTACCAGATTTTCATGTGCATTTAATTTCCATTCCTAGAATCATTTCAACTTTTCAATGCACGATATTATTTTGTGACAATATGCAGATATCCAATCTTCAAATGATTGGTGTAGCTAAACAAAGAAGTGGTTTGTTTTACTTACAAGAATCTCGTGATTTGAATTTGACAGCACATGCTTACAACACTTCTCTTCTCTTACATTTTTCATCTGTAATAAACATTGATAATACTCAATTGTGGCATTTTCGGCTAGGCCACATGTTTCATAAAATATTACAACATTTATCTTCAAAGGACAATAATATCACTTTTAATTCTTTACCTCCTTGTGATATTTGTCATTATGCAAAACAAAAACGCCTTCCTCTTCCAAATAGTCAAACCGTGCT